AAAGTTACTTGAAACATTGTTATGGCTGTTTTCATCATATCGATACATGTCATAAATAGAACTCTTATTCTTACAAACCTGCTTCTTTTCATACTAAAAGATGTCATAAAAAAAATAGATCTCAGAGTTTTGGTTGTATCTTCCATCCCTTAGGAAAACAAAATAACTTAAAAACTGAGTAAGTCTTAAATCTCTAAAGAATACAAAGTAATCACAACCATTTACACTTTTGTTGCAAATTAGACTTTCAAAAATTCTTAGAAAGGAATAAACAATAGAATTAATATTACTTTATTATTTCAGGTTGGGGCTACTGATCCTGATACTGTATTCACAAAATTGTTTTATACAGTGGTCAATTACAAAGATGATTTTGAATTCCAACAAAATATGTTGGTAACAAAGAAAGTACTGGATGCAGAAATCCATCAGAGTTATATAGTGAATATTTCTGTCTCAGATGGTATGAATGGACATGATTATGCTACTGTTGAAGTGTTGGTAGAAGATCTGAATGACAATGTACCTTTCTTTACCTCCAGTTTGAAGAACTTCTCTATCCCTGCTAATGCTCAAGGCAATAGAAGAGTTGGACAGTTGACTGCAAAAGATAAAGACATATCGAATGGAGGTTTTACATTCTATCTGGCAAATGAAGATCATTTCAGGATAGATAACATAACAGGAGAATTGTTTGTAATGGATGATCACGTTAAGTTCCAAGCTAACGTGAAGTACAATATGACTGTCAATGTCATGGATCATGGACAACCTCCATTAACTACATCAGCAGAAATAAACATTTTCATTGACATAACAAATCACAACCCTCCATATTTCTTAAAAGCGTCATACAAAAAGAGCTTAAAAGAAAATACCAATATCAATTCTAGTGTGATTACAGTTCAAGCTAAAGATAAAGATCCTGGAGATGCTGGTGTTGTCTGGTATAAACTTGTTCCAAAGACATTGTACAATGGCAAATTTCATATTAATGAAAACTCAGGGGAAATAACTCTTGTTGGTAAACTGGACTATGAAGGAGATAAATATTATGAGTTGACTGTATTGGCAGTAGACAAAGCTGATGATCCTAAAACTGCAACCACTCATGTTCAAATAAACATTAATAATGTTAATGAAAAACCACAATTCTTGGAAAAAATGGATGGATTGTGTGTAGAGTCTCCTATAACTGCGGGCCAACTAGTTGCTATAGTGAATGCAAGGGATCCAGATGAAAATGATGTTCTTAGTTACTCTCTTAAGGATACTACAAATTTTAAAATTGGAAATCAATCTGGTGAAATCAGGGCAAGACATAAAGTGGCTAACAATTTAACAATATCTGTCATTGTAAAAGATAAAGGCGGACTGATGGATACTAAAGAAATAGAATTATACAATAACCCCAGTCTTGTCATCACACCCGCCATTATAACAGTGGATGTTACAGAAAACAGTACTGACCATTACATAACTAAAGTCAATGCTAGTTCTAAACAGACACTTACCTACACATTATTCAATTCCACAGGATTTACAATTGATTCTAGTGTAAGTACATGCTATATGTCTTTAAAATCATCATTTTAGCTTAATGGGACTTATATATAATTAACTGCCATAGGATTTTTGACAGGATCTTCTTCAATATAATCAATCAATTTGGTAAAATTTTTTACACAGACACACTTTTTTTTAATTTGAATTAAATGCACTCAAAATATTAGATCATCTGTATTATTGAAAAAAACATTTACCTTAAGAGCATAAACTTATTTATGTTTTAGAGGTGAAGGTTTTTGTATATTTTAGAATTTATATGCCATGGTGTTGTCAGTTTATTTTCGACTTATGAGTTTGAATGTACCTTTGGTATCTTTCGCCTCTCTTTTATAAGAAGTAGTGGATTAGTAAACAATAAGCAACGTGCGATGTAAGAAATTTCTGGTAAAACGGCTGTCTCTTTTACATTTTGACAATAATTTAAGGGAAGTACATAGAGATAATTTCATATTTTGTCTATTTTATTCTTTAATAGTTTTAAATGATTGTATCCACATGGTTCACATCTATATTTAGGTGATGAATACTCAAAGTTATTAGTAAGCTTGCAGTCAAACTTGTTAACACTATTTAATTCTTAATAAGATTTTCACCAAAATGAAGCAAATTTAACCCTTACCATGCGGGGGCCGTAATATTACAGTCATACCCAAAATACCGTTATTTGGCTCCAATGGCTCTCCATACTTTTAGAGGTCAACTTTATGACATTAATTTTGAAGTTTATGCATGTTCCCTCAATCCTACACTATTTATTGTCATGTTTCTCAGGTTTAATGTTCATGTTGAGCTCAAACACGAACTTTGAAAATTGAAATTGGACAAAACAGGGTTTTTTGGAGGGGTGGGCTTCCCTTCGATGTCTGGTACACGAAGTTCAGAGGCCTAAAACTTCCAAAAATGGTGTAAACCCATGGGCATATAAATACTGATCGTGTTTATTATTGAAATACTCATAGGAAACAACTACTTTCGATTGTCGGTCAAGTTGAAGTCAAAAATCGAAAAAATCGGTTAATTATGGATTTTTTTGTGCAAATGACCTTCTTTAGACTGCTGTACTCAGATCAGTTTCACTCCTACCTAAGAACTGTTGTGGAAAATGTGTTCACTGGGGTCCACTCTACATGCAGACTACAGTTGGATACATCTATCAGCATCCCTTTGTCTTCCAGGTCAAGAAATAGGACAAAAAATCGTTAAAATTGACGCTTTTTGCACCTGATGACCAACTTTGGGGCAAATTAAAGCCCGACCACCCACCCCCACCTCCTCACCCCAACCACCACACCCAGTGATCCCCTATCTTAGCTATAATGGAATCAATATGCATCAGCATCAGGGTACAGCTCATTTGCATGTAACTTGCATTTTTTGCAAATAAACGAAAATTAGACATTTTCTGAAAACAATTCAGCATGGTAAGGGTTAAATATTTGAAATTAAGTTATTTATTGAATTTTGCAGATTTTGATGTCAAAAATATTTCACTATTTTTTATCTTGATTTTTTAGGGTATTATATCATCAAATGGACCACTGGACAGGGAGACTGAAACAAGAAAATTTACAGTCATACATGTACAGGTCAACAGTTCTTCAAGTTCTTGCCTAGCACAGGTGAATGAATGTTGAGATTATTTTTTTTACTGTTAAAATAGACTTGCATAAATACTTTATCTAAGTATTGACTTAATCTTGATTAATGTTATAAAAATAATGCAAAAGATGAAATTCAAGGGTTGTTTATACATGAATATCTTCTTGGCAATCTTTGAGACAGTGTTAAATATAAGGTATAATGAAAATATGCAGATTGCAAGGAAATTTAAAATGTGGTATGGTAAGAATTTAGCAAAATAAAATGGTAGGCATACTCTATCATACTTTGTGATGGATATTTTTGGATACATATCGAAAACACATGAAAGGCATATTTCAATCTGTGATAATTAGAAACATAGGAAAGAATGAAAAGTAAAATAACAAAAATACCTAACTCCAAGGAAAATTCAAATCAGAAAGTTCTTTATAAAATGGCAAAATCAAAAGCTATTGAATGGAAAACAACTGTCATATTCCTGACTTGGTACAGGCATTTCATTGTGTAGAAAATGGTGGATTAAACCTTGTTTTATAGCTAGCTAAACCTCTCACTTGTATGACAGTCACATAAAGTTCCATTATATTGACAACAATGTGTGAATAAAACAAACAGACATATCAGGTAAAAATGTCAAAAATAGGGGTACAGCAGTCAACATTGTGTTATAATCTTAATCACTATAAAAACAAACCTATATGTCAACAAAGAAAAACAAGATGGCATATAGACAAAGCACATAAGCAAAAATGAAAGACAAGAATACAAAATATGACCACAGCACAACACATTGGCGGGATGCATAAGTGCTGAGCCATGCCAAATAGATATTATCAAAAATGGACTAAGCAGTAAAAATTAATAATTTACTAAGACAAATAAACACAGATTTTATAAATAATTTACAAAGACAAATAAACACAGATTTTATATATTCTCTTACAGGTCAACATTAAAATCAAAGACATTAATGACAATCCTCCACGATTTGGGTTCCAGTATGACACAAAAACTATTCCAGAGAGTTTGTCAACAGGAACATGTTTCTTTCCATTGCCTGTAGAAGATCCTGACTTAAATACAAAGGTAAATAACCCCTGTAAAGGATACTGATTGGAATATACAGGTGATTATTTCCACCTAGTGTCTATAATTACGCAAGTAAATTGTCAGCTTCCAATATTTTGGCAAAAGTACACAGGATATAATCTTTTTGGTACAAATCTTTTTTTAATGTGTTTACATCTGTACGTTCCATGAAAATCAATAGAAACTTAACTTGTTATTAGCTTGCTATACTGTATGATGCGTTTTAATATTCTTTGCTCATCAACTCATTGTTTACTAAATAGTTATATATTCAAACACATAAAGACAGTCATTGTCCAATGTGAATGTATCTTTTAAGGTTCATATACATATATTACAAAGGATGGATGGTTTTATGTACTGTAAATTCAGAAATTAATGCGAGGTTTTTATTTCCGGGAAATGCGAATAATGCAACTCCTTGAGTATTGCAATAATAAGAACTCCCATTCTAATATATGATACATATATATATATATATGTATGAAGCTATTCCTAAATTCACAATGATTAATCTTGCATTTTTGTTAATTCTTCAAAAATCGCAATAATAAATGCACGCAATAATTTCTGAATTTACAGTATATACCGTATTAATTTTACTTATAAATTTTCTTCCTTTTTTAAAGATAAATTTCAGTATTATAGAAGATGATTCCAATGGCAGGTTTATAATACAGCCATACAGTAACCAAACAGGGGGATGTCTTGTCTTAAAAAATAGTCTGGATTATGAAAAAATGCCTGAACCTCTGAATGGAATGTACTCATTAAAGGTAATCATTTTTAGTTCTGAATTTGTTTTTGACTATTTTAAAGTTTTGTTTTCGTTTCAGGTAGTTTTCCATGGAGTTATTGTCAACTTGAAACTTTATTATGAAACATGCAAAATTACGATTTTTAAAAACTCAAAGATACCAGACTTATAATTTAATTCGCTAAGATATAATTTTCTTCCAAAAAAAGACTAATCAATGGGCTCAAATCAAAAAAGCTGGAAGACAAATTACTAAGTTAAAAGCATTGAAAGCTAAACATTCCCAAAAGTTGTGCAAAATCTGGATAAAGCCGTCTATGCCTAAGGGGAAAACCTGTGAAGGTTTGGAATGATTGATTTTGAGATTTTATTAACAGTAAATTTACAGAAAATGACTGTATCAATGATATTTTATGCTAGCACAGAATTTTTGACTACTGAGCTTGGTGATAACCTTGGGGAAAAAACATCTACAAATAGTGTGTAGAAACTAAAATGGACCATGCTTATAATTTTACACTCGTGAAATTCATCTCATCTACATTATATTATAAAGACCAATTTGTGACGTTCAAATCAAAACATTTGGTGGCAAAATCAATTATTAAGTAATTGTGAGTAATGTAAAATGGATTTGTTCACTTGCTGAGTGTTTTTATCAGAGAGAATATTGTGATTTGAGATTATTTTATATAAATTGTAATTTGTATTTAGGCAGAAGTAAGTGATGGTAAATACAGCAGTACAAGAGAGATCAAGGTTCACATACAAGATATCAATGATAATGATCCGTTCTTCAATCAAACACAGTATTATGCTGAAATCAGTGAAGTAAGTACATGAAATATACCAGGGACTGGTACTATCAGAAAAGAGTTTTAGTTATATTTTTTATTTGATAAACCTGAAATTATGAAGCTTTTTGAAAAAAAAGATATTCATACCCCTTAACAGGGCTGTTATTGCACAGTGTGACAAGTCACAGTCAAAAAACATTTCCTCAGATTCTGCTAGCCAACTGAATGTCTTTGGGCATGATGTTGATGAACAATATAAGATGGAAATTGTAAAAGAATATATAAGAAACTGTGATTTGCATTGTCATAAGTCTAACACAATGAATCTGGAGTATATAAGATAAGGTTTCAGGTGCTGGTACAATCAGAAACTTTACTCTTGTATACAATATTTTTGAACTGTTCAATGTATAACTATATATGTTTAAATAACTTTTATTTGTATTATTATAGAATGTACCTCAATATACAAGTATAATCCACATGACTGCTTATGATAGAGATGCTCTGGATGAAGGGAAACTGAAATACTCACTTGAAGGAGGTAGGTATCTACATATTAACTGAAGTTCTTTTAATTTGGTAAACATTAGTAATTTAAGTTGAACTGCAGTTTAAAGGACTATATAGAAATAAGAAGATGTGGTATGATTGCCAATAAGACAACTCTCCACAAGAGACCAAATGACACAGAAATTAACAACTATAGGTCACTGTACGGCCTTCAACAATGAGTAAAACCCATACCCATAGTCAGCTTTAAAAGGCCCTGAAATGACAAATGTAAAACAATTCAATGAGAAAACTAACAGCCTGATTTATGTATAAAATAATGAACAAAAAACAAATTTGATATACAGCAACAAACTACAACTACTGAATTACAGGCTTCTGACCTGGGACAGGCACATATAGAATTTTGCAGGGTTAAACATGTTAACGGGTGCCCAACCCTCCCCTAACCTGGGACAGTGATGTAACAGTACATGTGGACAAACTATTAAAATCAGTTGAAAAGGGCTTAACTCATCAGATCGATTGAAAGCAAAAAAAAGTAACAAAAACACAAAGTGGATGTGGCAGAGTACTTGTTCATCCCCTCAACAAAAAGACACTAAGTACAGATCTGAGAGTACTCACAATAACTGACAGCTAGTTCAAAGTCAATAACAACTAATAAAAAAAATCATGCATTTAAGACTAAAATATCAATCAGTACACATCCAACATCCAATGGATTTAGTGTAAAGACATCTAACCATCAGAGAAAAACATGACCTTGTGCAATATCAAGATACAGGTATTGACAGATTGTAGAGCCATTATAAATACATTGTATAAGCTATTTTTCATGTTTGATTGGGTTTTTATGCCCCCGCCGTAGAGGTGGGGGCATTAAGTTTTACCCTTGTCCGTCTGTACGTATGTATGTCCGTCCGTACGTCCCAAAATTGGTTTCCGTTCTCTAACTTGAGTTTGCCTCAACCAAATATAATGAAACTTATACACAATGCTTATTACCACAAAACACAGATCAAGTTTGAATATTGGTGGTGTCACTTTAACCGTTCTAGAGTTATGCCCCTTTATAAATGGAAAAATTGCTAAATTTTTAGTTTCCGTTCTCTTACTTAAGTTTGCCTCAACCAAATGTTATGAAACTTATACACAATGCTTATTACTACAAAACACAGATCAAGTTTGAATTTTGGTGGTGTCACTTTAACCGTTCTAGAGTTATGCCCCTTTATAAATGGAAAAATTGCTAAATTTTTAGTTTCCGTTCTCTTACTTAAGTTTGCCTCAACCAAATGTTATGAAACTTATACACAATGCTTATTACTACAAAACACAGATCAAGTTTGAATTTTGGTGGCGTCACATTAACTGTTCTACAGTTATGCCCCTTTATAAATGGAAAATTTGTAAAATTTTTAGTCTCCGTTCTCTAACTTAAGTTTGCCTCAACCAAATGTTATGAAACTTATACACAATGCTAATTACCACAAAACACAGATCAAGTTTGAATTTTGGTGGCGTCACTTTAACTGTTCTAGAGTTTTGCCCCTTTATAAATGGAAAAATTGCTAAATTTTTTATTTTCTTCTAAATAGCAAGTAATTTTTAAAATTGGAGTTATCTTCCTTTGTCCATGATTATAGTTGAATCAACTACAATCAATGCTTTATACAATGCAATGTTTAATTTTGACTTCCACTGATAAAACACAGATCAAGTTGAATTTGGGTAGTGTCACTTTAACCATTATTGAGTTATGCCCCTTTATAAATCGAAAGATTGCAAAATTTTTAGTTTCCATTCTGTAACTTAAGTTTGCCCCAACCAAACATTATGAAACCTATACACAATATTCATTACCACAAAACTAAAATCAAGTACAAATTTTTTGTTTCCGTTTTCTAACTTTAGTTTGTCTCAACCAAATGTTATGAAACTTATACACAATGCTTATTACTACATAATACAGATTAAGTACGAAATTTGGTGGCGACACTTTTACCATTCTTGAGTTATGTCCCTTTATAAACATAAAAATTGCTGAATTTTTCATTTCCGTTCTCTAACTTTAGTTTGTCTCAACCAAATGTTATAAAACTTATACACAACTGTTCTAGAGTTATGCGTGTTTACAAATAGAAAAATTGAAGAATTTTTAGTTTCTGTTCTCTTCTTAAATTAGCCTCAACCAAATGTTATGAGACTTACACACAATGCTTATTACCACAAAACTCAGATCAAGTTCAAATTTGGGTAGCATCACTTTTATTGTTCTTCAGTTATGTCTCTTTATAACCATATGATATGCAAGCGGGGGCATCATTTGTGTCCACATATGGACACTATCCACATTTATTTTATTTTTATTTGGGGGGGGGGGGGGGGGGGTGTCTTTTTTATTTAATTGTCCATAAGGAAAGAGTGTGTCTCAATTGAATAGATTTTTTTTCAACATGCTGCAAAGGCCTCTGATAGATGAATTGTGAAATAACCTATAAACGTCCTTATTTACACAAGTTATTTTTTATTGTTTTCAGATGATAGTATGTATTTCATCATTCAGAACAATAGCCATTTTGGTGACTTAGAAGTAAACACCGACCTAAACAGAGAAAACCGATCATCATACACAGTGACAGTTATTGCCCATGATTCTGACGGACATACAGTGAGTAATAGATATACCTTACAGTTGAGTCTGGTAGTATAAGTTGTTTCCACTCAAGTAGCATGTACATTTCCCTTTGACCTTACTGCCTAATATTTTTAAGATCATTGACAGGACTTGATACAAGAAAATATTAGGCAATGACATCATGTATCAGTGCAGCAACTTCACATGCTCAAGTCTATCAGCATCAATTTATCAATGAAATGCACTTGATTTCATTCATACAACCGAACAACTATCCCAACGCTTTGGACATGTTAAAGAAGTTTTACTTACTATTTCATTTTACTTCATATTCTCAACCGAAAAAACATACAGTTAAGATAAATTGCAGATAAAAAGACTAATGGCATTTTATTCTATGATACTGACTTCATCAGCTCGAAAATCAGCTCACCCTAACGGGCTCGCTTGATATTCTTGCTGATAAAGTCAGTATCAAAAACAATAATGCCATTTATCAATTTAGTTTCACTTTGTTTTAGTTTAATGGTTTCAAAAGCACATGTTTTTTTCAAGAAACTGAAAAAACATATTTTATTTATTACTTAAATTTATGGTTTTTAAATTCTTTTCATGGCTTATAATAAATCTCCAATGTGTAAAATTTGTTTCAAAATCTGGATTCTTGTCTATAAACTGAACTAGAAATTAACTCATATTTTTAACAGAAACTGTTCCATCGAACTAGCATATCAACTTCCTATGTACTGAATAAGTAAAGAGAGGGAGTATCTTTATATTGCTCACAGTCAATCTTGTTTTACCTATGCATACAGTTGAAGTCTAATGTTTCTGTTACAGGGAAGCACAACTGTAAGCATAACCATTTTAGATGTCAATGAATTCAAACCAAAATTCAACAAAGACTCGTATTTGTTTGAAACATTAGAAGGTAAGTCATCTTAGAAGTTAAAATTATGCAATTTAAAAGTTCAAAGTTTAAAAGTTAACATTGAATTTAAGATAGTGTTTAAAGCAATGAGACAATTAATTAATTCTAATGCAAATGAGATAAACATCTGTAAATCATATATGTTAGAATAATTTACAGGATGTGCCCTCAATTTCATACCATCAAACATGGAATTGATACTCTGAAATTTGTGGTGTTATGCAATCAAAATGAACATAACAAAAAGTGTTGCATCAAAATTAAAAAATCTTATTTTCTTAAGAACTCTGTACAAATAGTTACAATGTTTTACACTGATCTGAATGTCTATTTTAGGCCCTACAAGTAAAGGTTATGAGATGATGGTATCTACAACAGACCCAGACTTGGGTAACAACGGAACAAATAGTTTTACACTGATAAATAGTTATGATGGATTGTTCAATATAACTACATTACCAAATAATACGGTAAGTAGATGGCTTTGGTCGGTCCAATTTGTAGTAAATATTAAATATATGTTAGTTCGAAATCAATAGAAACCTGTAATCTTAAAACAAATGATAGTCTTCTCATTCATGTTATCATAAGGTTTATGTTTTATCATCAATACCTCCTTTCCATTTGATGGGTAGTTTAAAAAAGAACAGGAAGTAAATATATAATCATGGCTACAACTGGGTCAATATCCCTAATGTGCCTCAAATTGAGGAACACAAAATTTGTGTGTAAACAAAAAATCTCTGTGTAGTGATATTGGACATGTTTCTATTTTTAACAAGTGACTGAGCTTAACCATTTGTGTTGATTTGGAAAGTAGAGGACCATAGAATAAATGTGTAAGAACTATGGAGTTATTAAATGTATTCAAAGTATTAAATTTTCAAAGAATTTATTGTGTGAAAAAAGGGATTTTTTACCACGAAGAGCCGCATGAAGAAAGGATTTTCGTGGGTATGCTAATTTACGGAAAAATGAATCACACTTCGTACCCCGAAAATTTAACCACATATGTGAAAATGTCTCAGCTTCGAAACGAGCCATCATACATATCCAAGTTTACGATATGGACTGAGCTACAGAAGAAAACTTTACCATTACCCCTTATGTAGAAACAATTGCGCATATTGCCCCAACTAAGGAAAAATTCCTTTTAACTCATTTAGACATTAATATGAAATACATGTAAAATATTGCAAATTTGATCCACGAGAAACTGCTAACTTTCATACATGTGACAAATTCCTGAGCTAAGTCTTAATTTTATACATAAATCTATAGTAATGTACAAGTATATAAAATAACTACACATTGTCTTCAAATATTAAAAAAAATTCTACAAGTCTTAGAAACAGGATGACTGTGAGGCCTAGCACTTCTATCTTGTTTCTGGCCAGGTCAAAATAAAAAACTACAGTAATACATTAAAACATCACAAATAAGGCTTCATACTGTCAGTAACTGTATATCACAAACAAGGCTTCATACTGTCAGTAACTGTATATCACAAACAAGGCTTCATACTGTCAGTAACTGTATATCACAAACAAGGCTTCATACTGTCAGTAACTGTATATCACAAACAAGGCTTCATACTGTCAGTAACTGTATATCACAAATGTTTATATGGTCAGTGCATTTTTACTGTGCAAAAAGCACAGATGATGTATGAAGAAATTTCAATATGTCATACTTGTGTTGATAATAGAGATAAACAAATAATGAAAATGGAACTCTTATACTATGCAATTAAAAATGACATCTGTATTTTAGGGTGTTATAACAGTAATGAGGGAGCTTGATAGAGAATCTCAAAATAGTCAGAAAGAAAATGGAACTTCAGTTTATAAGTTACATGTAAAAGCAGAGGACCATGGTATCCCAGCAAAATCTGAAGTCACAGTGGTAAGAAAACAAGACCGAAACAGGATAGACACAACAATCCCAACCCTAAATAATGAAGTAGCTGTCTAAGCTTTATGTCAGTTACAAATTTTATAAACTGAAAATATATCATCAAAATAAATTATTTGCTTCATGCCAATACTAAAGCATTTCATACTAGGTAGAAGGTACTGATATTCTCAGGTACTAACAGTGAAAACAGTCCACGAAGTAAGTACTCTAAATTAAGACTGTCATATTTGTACAAGTGTATGTCATGGCTGCCAGACATGACTGTCTGAACCTTTAACTGCAATGCTTGGATTCAATGTTTTGTTCTACGATTGGTAAAATATTTTAGCAAGAAATCAGCCTTCTTTTTATAGAATAAGTTTAAAGAATGACTATTAAATACATCTCAGCTGATTTGATGGATTAATTGTTTTTCAGGTGACACTACATGTAGAAGATATAAATGATTGTAAACCACAGTTTACCCAGCCTCATTACCATGCTGAAGTGTTAGAGGGGTCACATAAGGGGTTTTCTATCCTGACTGTCACAGCCACTGACTGTGATTACTTAGAACAGTACAACAACATAACATTTAGTTTAACAGGCACAGACTCAGGTATAATATGGATCTGCTGAGAAGAGTGGAAGTTCTTAAAGCCAATTGCTTTATTGCAGTTTATACTAATAATCATGGACATCAATATTGGACATATTTTGAATAAAAATGCTTTTTTTTGTTCAGATATCGAAAAAAGAAGTAAACAGTAGGGGTCTTTTTTTTATATCTTATTGCTCATAATTTGCAGAAGTTTAAATGAGATGAAACTTTGAAAATGAAGTAGATTTTTTAGAGTTTGTTTACTATGATTAAGTGCTCCAAAAATGTTGGTCTTGAAAAAAAAGTAAAAATTATGAATGTACTGAAATACTGAAATATTGTTTGTATTATAAATAAGAGTTTTTTTATTTTTTCTATCAGATTTATTTGAGATTAATAATAGTGGGGAGATCCATCTGAATACCACTATCAGTGTACAGTCACATAAAGACAAGTTTAATCTGACAATTGTAGCCACAGATTCACTAAACACTAATCAGGTGGGTAACTACTGTTACAGTCACATAAAGACAAGTTTATTCTGACAATTGTAGCTATCGATTCACTAAACACTAATCAGGTGGGTAACTACTGTTACAGTCACATAAAGACAAGTTTATTCTGACAATTGTAGCCACTGATTCACTAAACACTAATCAGGGGGGTAACTACTTTACAGTCACACAAAGACAAGTTTAATCTGACAATTGTAGCTACCGATTCACTGAACACTAATCAGGTGGGTAACTAGTCTACAAGTATGTTCTTTGGAGAATGAGGAGTTGATGGCTTATCTTTAATCTGTTAAATTATTTGTAACTTTTTAGACTTAAGGTAGCTGGCGGGTCTTCATCCATCTTGGATTTTGAAATAGCAGATAACAACAATCGGTTTGAAATGTGCAAATTTAGAGAGTAGAATGTAATTCATGTGTAAGACTTTTCGTGTTAATATAGAAAATTATGTGTTTTATCATATTTATGGCTGCATTTATAAAAAAACTGAGTACTTTTGTTTGATTCATTTTTTTTCAACTTTGCCACATAAGGGGAGATAACTCAGGCATTATTGGAGATAACTCGGATAAAGTATCTTTCAAAATAGAATGTGTTGTGAATTTACCTATTTTTATTATGTAGAAAGAAAACCAGTCAGGTGACCCCATTTTTTCTTTTTCTTATCTGAAAGCATATTATTAGAGCTATCTTCTCATATTTTATCATTAAATTCTATGATGTAGTTTTCTTTTTATCACACAAAATTGGGTTTTCCATTCATAATCTATACAAAATCTGACAATTTTACACAACCTGTAATGTGAAAAAAGCCTAGTGACCCATACTTTTTATAATATTTTTGAAAAAAAAATGATATAAACTACATTTGACAAATTATTAAAATGTTCTATAGGTTTTAATTTAGACCCCACATCTACCTTAAAGCAACATATGTGTAAACCTGTGTAAAGTCATCAGGCATGGTCTCCTTTTTCTGTGAAGTCACAATAGGAAATTCGGAGCCAAGCAAGAAAATTTTATGTGATAATTGAATTTTGACCAATTGATCACTGATTTCAAAATCACACATTGAATAAATAAAGATAATAAACAGGTCAGGAAAAGGATAAATCAGCTAAGAATTAGAGAAATATATACACCGGTACTTGTCAATTATTGAAAACTGTAAGTTGACTTCTGGATGTCTCATTAAGATATACCATACATCTTTGAAAATCATCTGTATAAACCATTTTTTCAGAGTTTCTATTTACAAGTGATTTTTTTTTTATTAAGATTGTTTCAGAAGCATAAAATTTTTAGATATAAATTTTTTAACTTAAACAGCTTGATTATGATTCAGGAAACTTTATCTGAGATTCTTTCGAGCAATTTTATTACAAAAACTAATCTTATGTTCCAATCTAAATGGACGACCACTTTACATAGATTTCTAGTGTATTTTTATGGTCCAACACTCACAACAATATTAATCAGTTGTTGTTGATAAATCTTGTGACTTTCAAGTGATTAAAAAGTTAAAAAAAAGAATCATTATTTTCTGTGATCATTTTCAAGAACTGAAGATTGAAACAATTAAATAAACATTCATCTGCTACCTGAAGAGTAAATTTTATGTAGTAATATACTGTAAATTCAGAAATTATTGCGATGGTTTTATTATTGCGAAAAATGCGACAGGGTTATAATCGCAATAACTTAAACTTGCATTTTGAATTTTTTTATATGAATTAAACAGGATTTTCTCAATATCGCAAAAATTAAAATCGCATTTTAGTCTAAAATGACAAAATCGCAATAATAAATGCACGCAATAATTTCTGAATTTACAGTATTCCACATTTTGTTCACCTTTTTCAGGTCCCTCTGACTGGATTGATAGCAGATGTAAATGATCATGACCCTATGTTTAATGTTTTTTTTTTCTCTCTCACTTATTTCAGGTCCCTCTAACTGTGTTGATAACAGATGTAAATGATCACGACCCTGTGTTTACTCATCCTATTTACAACTTTTCCACACCTGAAACTAACGGCACTGGAGACATTGTGGTTGGTTTAGTCAGTGCTACTGATGAAGATTTAGGACAGAATGGCATTGTTACATACAGTATCATATCTATTGATGTAAAACATGTCTTCAATATTTCACAAGTAAGTTTTAAACACGTTTATTTGGCTGTAATTACTTTGGCTTTGTATGCCGTTCCTATGAACAATTTTGAGTTGATGACATTTCCTGGAATGATAAATATCAAACTCTGTGAAAATGAAGATTATAAAGTTTTCTGTTTTGCCTTCTCAAAAGCTACAATTTTTTAACACAAAAGTCAAATTTGTAAAATCTTTTCACGTGAAAACAAGGAAAACAACTTTGATGTTCAGTTTTTTTATGCTTAAATTATATACATTGTACTAGATATTTACAAATGTTTAGCAAAAACAAGAAATTATGAAACTGCTGTATATGGGAAGAAGTTGTGCATTATTTGTTTTGGTGAGTATATATTACAATTTAGTTTTTTAATTTCAAACATTTTACAGGATGGTAGAATAACAGTAATTGAAGAATTAGACCGAGATCAGTGTATAAGTAATAGGTACCCATTTACTGTTATAGCCAGAGATAATGGATCATCTAAAAGGACTGTAAGTATATCTCAGATAGGGAAGGGTGTAGTGTTGGGTAGACAGAGATCATTGTATTAGTAATAGGTACCCATTTACTGTTATAGCCAGAGATAATGGATCATCTAAAAGGACTGTAAGTATATCTCAGATAGGGAAGGGTGTAGTGTTGGGTAGACAGAGATCATTGTATTAGTAATAGGTACCCATTTACTGTTATAGCCAGAGATAATGGATCATCTAAAAGGACTGTAAGTATATCTCAGATAGGGAAGGGTGTAGTGTTGGGTAGACAGAGATCATTGTATTAGTAATAGGTACCCATTTACTGTTATAGCCAGGGATAATGGATCATCTTAAAGGACTCTAAGTATATCTAAGGATAGGGAGGGGTGTAGTTGCGGATGACCCCAATATGAAAGGAGATTAAAGCTTGCAGGCACTGTAGGGCTGTAGATTTGCACATCCAATCCAATATTCTTCAAAGATTGGTTATGATTAGGGCTCATATCCTTTTAAATAATGATTTTGATAAATGAAGTTCTAAGTCATTGTGACAACATGACAAATCTTGAAATCTGTGTATAGCCTTAGTTTTGTGTTTACCATTAGCCAATACTTCGGGAATACAGAGGTTAGTAGCACTGATTTCAAGGTTACAACACAACTGGAGAGAAATGTGTAGGAACTATTGAAATCCAGTCTTGTTACTAGGTTGCACTTTGTGAATACAGCTGTTTCACAAACCACGCCTCTTTTGGGGAGATATATAATATTCATTGATGGGTCAACATCTTTAATTGTTTTTCCATAGGCGGTAATGGTAACGTTTTTTCCTGTAGCTCAGTCCATATCGTAAACTTGGATATGTATGATAGCTTGTTTCGAAGCTGTGACATTTTCACATATGTGGTTAAATTTTCGGGGTACGAAGTGAGATTTTTCCGTAAATTAGCATACCCCGAACATCCTTTCGTGATGTGGCTCCTCGTGGTAAAAAATCCCTTTTTTAACGCAATAAGTTCTTTGAAAATTTAATACTTTGAACACATTTAATAGCTCCATAGTTTTTACACATTTAATCTATGTTCCTCTACTTTCATAATCACCACAAATGGTTAAGCTCAGCCATTTGTAAAAAATAGAAACATGTCCAATATCAGTACACAGAGATTTTTTGTTTACACACAACTTTTGAGTTCCTCATTTCGAGGCGCATTAGGGATATTGACCCAGATATTTTGTTTTGTTTACATACTGGTTCCCAGATATGATCTCTATGTTTCATCTCATAGAGACATAATTTGGGAATGTTACCAGTATAAATACACATGGATAGCAGCTAAATTGAATTCTGAGGACGACCTTTGAAAAAAATAGTAGTGCATATGAACTTTCCATTCTAAATATAATTTTTTACGAAACTTCATAGTAAAAGTGGCACAGTTTAAGCCATAAAAATTGCATTGTCTATATTTACAGAAGTGCAATCTACTAATCCTAAAACAAGTTCAATGAAAAACCATGTGAAAATCTTGAACAAAACTGAAGCTTAAGGTTAAAGTCAAGAAACAAGGTCACAAAATATCTGAGGTGATTAAACTCATAATTGCTGTACAACTCTACTTTGTAATAACAAATTTTTTTTTTTCTAAGTCAAGATCAAATATATTTCATACTGAAAAAAGGCAGTTCAATATTTACAGGATTGTGAGGGGAATCTTAGCTTTCTTGTCCCCTTGATAAAATAATCTCTGATGGCTTATTTTTTTTTAACATTTCATGAATTTTTTTTTCCTGAAATATCTTTGTATATCAAGAACAGGAAAAGATAAAAAATCTACAATGAATATCCTGATAGGAATAAAATGTAATGTGAGGAAAATTACAATGATACAGCAGTCAAGTAACAAAAGTTCATCCCTTATAAAACACTTGTATGGTCTTCAATGTTGTGGAATACCTATGCTTCATGACAAGCTCTAAGTATGTTATATATTACTTTGCATGTTCTGATTAGAACTCTTTTTGCAGGGTTACACAGAGGTCATAGTATATGTTACAGACATAAATGACAACTCCCCAGTCTTTACAGAGAATTGGTACAATGGAACTGTACAAGAGAACTCACCTGATGATACAGAAGTTAATATTGTAAGATTTATTTTTTAATTAAGGGGGGAAAAGTTGGTACTTTTAATTTGATAGGACAAATAATAAGTGTATTATTGTAAAAAAGAACTAGCAATGTATAAATCAGAATTGTCAAATAGCAGGACCTTTTTTATTTCATGGCACATACAAAAGTAAGAACAGAAGAACGAGACAAACAAATGAACCTTGTACACCTACTAATTTGTTTTTGATCACAATTATTTGGGGGTTTCCCTTACAAAGACATGATCTCTGCAAAAAGGGGGGAGAATCATTTTGTAAGGTTCATTCACAGTACGAGTTTATCATAAATTTTTCTCCATACACAATTTTCTGTAAATAATTTAAACATTGTAGTAATTGAGTTTTAATAAAAACTAAATTGATAAATAAAATTCTTATGAAGACTACTCTTTCCCTGTTTAATGAAACTGTAATTCCATGGTTCTTTTCCATAGCTCCCACCAATTAGTAGCACAGATGCAGATAGCGGTAAAAATGGAACAAAAGGGATTAGATATTCCTTAGAAGGAACAGGTCTTCATTTTAGAATTAATGAGATCACTGGAGCAGTCTTCACCAATGGGTCAGGTCTGGATAGGGAAAGTCAGCCTGATTACACAATACAGGTAAATTTGTTAGCAGATGATTCAAGGTCTAAGCAGAAAAAAATATTTTATTTACAATAAACAAGTAGGATTGTTTGCTAGTATAGACATAGAAAACAGTCCTGTTATACCATTTCTAAGATAAAGTAGAAAGGGTGGGGACAACTTAACATGTGCTTCCAAATTTCAAAACTTTATAGAAATAAATTAATTCACAAAAAAAATGTACCACCCCTAAAAACAAGAGTTGTCATGTATACACATTTTCTTTAAATGCATTTGGAAAGGAAAACTTTATGGTGAATTGTTTATCATTATTCACGAAGAGCAAAAAATTACATTGATTTATCTATACATGGCAAATCAAAAATCAGTTATCAACAATTGAATAAGCTTTATCTATATATTATAAAACATACTATTAAATGAACCTTTATCATGGTTTTTTTTTTAAATATTATTTAAATTCTTTTAGGTCAAAGCTGCTGACAGATATGGTACAGGAAATAGTAACACTGTCATGGTAACCATTACATTGCTTGACGTCAATGATGAACCACCACAGTTTACCAAAAACAATTATACCTTCTCTATTAACGAGTCAGCTGTGGCAGGTCATAAGGTCGGTGTTGTTATGACAACAGACGAGGATGTCAATGGCAATACAACTACACGATACAGAATCGGATCAGGATCAGATGGAAAGTTTTATGTGGATATATTGTCAGGTATGCTTCTATCATATCAAATCAGAATCAGATGGAAAGTTGTATGTGGATATATTGTCAGGTATGCTTCTATTATATCAAATCAGAATCAGATGGAAAGTTTTATGTGGATATATTGTCAGGTATGCTTCTATCATATCAAATTGAAAAGAATGTTGATTGTTCTATAGAAGTATATTTTTGGTTTGAAAATATTGTATCAGTCATTTATGGATACTTATTGTCTTGCATTGCTGATGTTTTTTAGTATGTTTAGCACTGTAAATGCTGTAATGTCAAGAGTTCTCATCAGATTTAATGAATTTTTGCCAAAGATGAACATCTGGGCTTGCAGTCATAAAACTTTACGCAGTACTCGGAAAACAAAATTTGTGTTCGAAACACCAAATCCAGTATTTTGATTGGTTGAATTCTGAGTCTGAGATAGATAATTGAAAATCATCATCTATACAATTTTTTTTATTTTAGAGTTATGCCCCTTTGAAATCTATAAAATATAGAAATTCTACCATTATAATTGATTTTTTGCCTTTATTTTTCATTGGAATTTTATGCCATGATACATAGTTTATTCCTTTCCTTTCAGTCATAAAACACAAAATGTGTACTTCAAACACTAAATGAAGTAGTTTATTTGGTTGATTTTTTAGTCCGAGTACGATATGCCCCATGAAAGTTTTATGACTGTAAGGCCTGGTATTATTGCTGGACACTAACTAAGGATGCATTGAGAATCTGTCAAATTGTAGATCACAAACTTATCTAAATGTTCAAAGTTATATCTGTGTTTTGAGGTTAACTAATTTTTCACAAAAACCTTTAAGTACTTGCAGAATCTGCATTAATGATGTTGTAAAGATGTTACCATGTATACTTTTAATGTGTATGGGTAGAATCTGTATTTTTTTCATGCTGACTATAAAAGTCTAGAACACTGAATAATACAATAATTTCTTTAAATTTTGATGAATATAAGGGAGGGAGATGGGAGTATCATTTTGTCAGCATCATTTGGAGTATCTCTAGTTTTTGTTATTGCCCTCGCCTGCGACAAAAGTCGCAGTATTCAAGACATTGGTATTACTATCCGCGGTGGCGGCAGCGCAAACTATTTGTATAAAGCATTATATTTCAGAAGGTAGAAGACCTGGATGCTTCATACCTTGTATGCAGATACCTTATGTGACGAAGTTTCTGTCTGTCATAAGGCCATTGTCTTTGACCTCATTTTCATTGTTCAGTGATTGCTTGAAAAAAAAAATTACAGTTTTTTTGTCATGTGAATTTCTCACTTATTATGAGTACTGTGGATTCATTTATTTTCGTGGGTACCAATTTTCGTGGATTGAGGAAAACTTGTATATTCGTGGATATTTAATTTCGTGGTTTTGGCAAAGTCTGCATACATTCCTTTTGAAAATTTGTATTTCGTTGAACATTTAAATTCGTGGTTCCCCTGTACCCACGAAATCCACGAAAATTGGTATCCAACGAATATTAATGAATCCACAGTAATAGGATAACTATATTTGGTATATGGGTTCCTTGCAACGTCTACATGCTCGTCAGACAGGGTTAACCTGACCTCGACCTCAATTCATGGATCAGTGATCAAGGTTAAAGTTACGTGATTAGGTCCGTTTCTCAATTACTACAAGCAGCAGGTCAGCTCTATGTGGTGTATGGAATGATAGTAAGGGGTACATGTCAGACTGGCAGGTTTCATCTGACCTTGACCTCATTTTCATGGTTCATTGGTCATTGTTAATTTTTTGTGTTTTGGTCTGTTTTTCAAGTACTATGAGCAAAAGGTAAACTATATTTGGTGTATGGAATCATCGTAAGGTGTACATGTCTGTCTAGCTGGTGTCATCTGACCTTGACCTCATTATAATGGATCATTGATCAATGTCAAGTTTTTGAGTTTTGGTCTGTTTTCCAAATACTTATAGCAATAGGTCAACTATAATTGGTGTATGGAATGATTGTAAGGTGTACATGTCTGTCTAGCCGGTGTCATCTGACCTTGACCTCATTTTTATGGTTCATTGGTCAATGTTAAGTTTTTGTGTTTTGGTCTGTTTTTTAAATACTAATAAATAGGTCAACTGTAATTGGTGTATGGAATGATTGTAAGGTGTGTATGTCTGTCTAGCCAGTATCATCTGGCCTTGACCTCGTTTCAATGGTTCATTGGTTAACATTAAGTTTTTGTGTTTTGGTCTGTTTTTCAATTACCATAAGCAATGGGTCAACTACTTTTGGTGAAGGGAATAATTGTAAGGTGTACATGTCTGTGTGACAGTTTTTATCTGACCTTGACCTTGTCATGGATCTTTAAAAATGTTAAGTTTATGTGATACTTGTAGTAAAACCTTTATCTTTTAAGACTTTCAACATAAAATCAATGGTCAGTAAAACAGGCGAGACATTTCAGCGTGTGCACTCTTGTTTCTCTTATGTATGGAAGTTGTAAAGGGGGTATGTGCACAGACAAGCAGGAAATAAAATTATCATATCAGGATGAACTGAAAAATGGAAGGTAGCTTGCACATTGCTTTTTTACCAATTTGCACGAAAATTGTTGTGAATGAGCTTCAAGCATGAAAACATGTGAAATAAGAATTGCAAAAATGTTACATGAAATTAAAACAGCCTCATATCTATTCCTACTTTCTGCAATAGCATATTACTGATTATTTTACTAACAATATGTTAAGAAATTAATATTTACAAATTTTGCTGTAAAAAAATTATTTTCCCTTATCTTTCTAGGTGTGATATATACTAGTGGTGGATTAGACAGGGAAAAGAAGGCTAAATATGAAATAAATATAGAAGCCTTTGATGGACAACAGAAAACAAACAGTACTGTTACTGTATATATTGAGGATGCTAATGACAATTGCCCTGTCTTCAAACCTCAGAAATTAGTTGTCAGGGTACCAGAAAATACCCAAAATGCATCTGTAGTCTATAATCTGACTGCCACAGATATAGACCAGGGAGAAAATGCTGCTGTTTCATTCTATTTGGATAGTTCAGGTACTTACTCCTTGTAATAAAATTTCAGAATTAATTGTTATCTCAACAATTTATGTAAGGTTTATGGCAATCTGGGTTTTTTATGACTGATTTTTTTAAGGATAGGAAGAGGTATCATAAGAGCCAAAAATAGTACATTGTGATTATTTATAAAAGTTATTTTAGTTTTATTGATAAACAAATAGGATAATATAATCTGGACACTTAAAAACAGAAATGTTATTTAAAATGTTGAATTGTCAAATTTTACGTAAAATGGCCATTTTACACATTGTTTTGGGTGAAATTAGATATGAGCCAAGGTCTTACCCAAAAAAGACACACTTTAAAATCTCTGTATAAGACATCTTATAGTAAAACAATATTTTGGGTAATGTCTTGGCTCATCTCTAAATCTTAATGACAAGATTTCAAATTTATGCTATTTTGACTATTTTTGTTTTTAAAGTTTGAAGCCATAGAGCAAATATGTTAAACATAATTTATTTATACTACTTTCTCACTTATTTATCTTTTGTACTAATCTGAAGGATGTTATTTTAAAGATTTAAAATCCTTTTTGATTTTTATATTCAATGGGCATAAAAAGGTGACCTTATCACATCTTTTCCTTTCTCTTATTTGTTAATATGATTTTTCCTCTTATGTTGTCACATTTAACGTATTGTTTATTGTATTAAAGTAGTATATATGTTCTAGTTTATTTTGTCCCCATTTAAAAAATAATTATTCTCTGAACTGCATGAGAATGAACCAGATCTCTAGGTATATGTTTGTTCTACAATGATTTTAGTCACCAGGGTTTTATGTTTATTAATATTGGTTTATATCTCTGTTTTCAGATACTTCACCATTTATTATATCAGGTGACAATCTGATATTAGATGGAGCTCTAGATAGAGAAATAAAGGATGAGTACAGTGTTAAGATTTATGCCAAAGACAATGGAATTCCAGCCTGTGTGGTCAGCTCATATTTAGAGGTTCATGTAGAGGATATTAATGACAATAAGCCCATATTCTACAATGCTGATGGCAGTGAAATATCCCAAGCTGATGCTACCATTATAGAAAAGTCCCCTGTGGGGTCCCCCATTTTACTACCAAGTGTTAAAGATAATGATGTAGGTAAAAATGCAGAAGTTGAGTTCTCATTATCAGCAGAAAAATTGGAAATTTTGAAATATTTTCGGATAAGTCCAAAAACTGGAGTGGTAACAATCAAAGCACAGGTGGATTTGAATTCTCTGAACCGTTTACATGTGTTGGACAAAAATGCCACAAAAACAGCTGCTTTGGAAATGTGGGTAGTAGCCACTGACAAAGGAAGGCCAAACATGTCAACAGCATTAAACTTGACAGTCATAGTAGAAGGTATTAACGACCAAGCACCTGTTTTCTTAAGGCCAGAATATGATTACACAATACCTGAAAATGTGCCCATAGGTTAGTATATAAATGTATACAAATTAAATTAATTTTGAGCATTGTATCATTAAAAACATTTTGGAAGAACATTTTATATGTGTTTTTACGTATTTGTTAATGGTTGTACAAATTAAGTGGGGAGGATTTATGCCGAGCCAGATGGGACATTAAGTGTTACCCTTGTCCGTCTGTACGTCCTTCCCAAAATAAGTTTCTGTTCTCTAACTTTAGTTTACTTTAACCAAATGTTATGAAACTTATACACAATTCTTATTACCATATAACACAGATCAAGTTCTAATTTGGGTGGTGTGTCTTTTACCATTCCAGAGTTATGCCCCTTATAAATGGGAAAATTGCTGATTTTTTTGTTTCCATTCTCTAACTTTAGTTTACCTCAATGAAATGTTATGAAACTTATACACAATGCTTATTAACATAAAACACAGATCAAGTTCGAATTTGGGTGGTGTCTCTTTTACAGTTCTCTAATTTTGTCCCTTTATAACGTTATATGCAAGCGGGGGCATCATCTGTGTCCCATGGACACATTCTCCATTTATTTAAATAAAGGTTGGCAGTATCAATTACCTTGTTTGGCCTTACAGTAATCAGTTTTTAGCTCACCGGGCCCGAAGGGCCTAATATGAGCTTATGCGATCATTTGGCATCCGTCGTCTGTCGTCGTTCAAGAATCTTCTCCTCTGAAACTGCTGGGCCAAATACCTCTCAAAGTTTAACTGAATGTTCCTTAGGGTATCTAGTTTATAAATGTATCTGAAGTTTTGATCCATCAACAAACATGGCCGGCATGGCTAAAAATAGAACATAGGGGTCAAATGTAGTTTTTGGCTTATATCTCAAAAACTAAAGCATTTAGAGCAAATCTGACAGGATAAAAATGTTCAATAGCTCAAGATCCATCAGCCCTGAAATTTTCAGACGAACTGAACAACTCATTGTTGGGTTGCTGCCACTAAATTGGTAATTTTTAAGGAAATTTTGCAGTTTTGCAGTTTGGTTATTATCTTGAATATTATTGAAGATAAAGATAAACTGGAAACAGCAAAAATGTTCAGCAAAGTAAGATCTACAAAAAAGTTTATATGACCAAAATCATCAATTGACCTGTTAAGGAGTTATTGCCCTTTAAAGACAATTTTAGTACAATTTGTTCATCATGTTTGCTAACATTTGAAAATCTTCTCCTCTGAAACTACTGGGCCTAATACTTCTAAACTTTAACTGAATGTTCCTTAGGGTAACTGGTTTATAAATGTATCAGAAGTTTTGATCCATTAACAAACATGGCCGTCATGGCTAAAAATAGAACATAGGGGTCAAATGAAGTTTTTGGCTTTTATCTAAAAAATTATAGCAGTTAGAGCAAAAGTGACAGGAGTTACAGTGATGAATAAGTCAAAATCTATTTGCTATGAAATTTCAGACCAATTGGACCACCTATTGTAGGGTTACTGTCCGAAATAGTTTAATTTTATGAAATTTTACTGTTTTTGGTTATTATCTTTAATATTATAATAGATTGAGAGAAAGTGTAAATGGCAAAAATGTTCAGCTAAGTAGGATCTACAAATAAGTCAAATGATCAAAATAGTCAATTGACTCCTTAAGGAGTTATTGCCCTTGAAACGTTTTTTTTTTTACATTTTTTCGTGCAAGTCCAATTACTTTCTCAAAAATCTTCTTCTCTGATACTACTGGGCCAAATACGTAAAAACTTTAATTGAATGTTCCTTAGGGTATTTAGTTTATAGATTGTATTCTGGGATTTGATCCATCATTCAAAGTTTTTATCCATGCTGGAGGCAGTATTAGAGAAAAATGGTTTCACAGCTTGCTTGAGTCTTTGCATAATACATGATAAACATTCGGGATGGGGGATTTTTCTCATTGAATAAGTAAACTGTATTAATTCATAATTGAAACTAAAATAGATATTCTCTGAATACATTATAATACATAGCATTGTTTATATTTATAGGCTCATTTGTTGGTAAAGTGGAGGCTATTGTAGAAAATGGGACAAATCATAAACTTCACTACTCATTGATAACTTACTCTGAGTCAAGCATGTTCTTCAACGTAGCACCAATATCAGTGAGTAGAATTATCTGTGATCAAATTACTGATATAACAAGATAACATATTCCTTTATAATTAGTTTTAACCTGGACACAGTATGAATTAGTAAATTATTTGATTAAGATTTTGTAGCTTTTATGAATCACAAAAAAACAAAAACAAAAAACAAAAAAATTTAAAAACCTTGCAAAATACTATTTGCATAGTTTATAAGATTTGACTATACGTTGTACAAGAAAGTTTAGGTTTTTCAGGTTATTGTTAATTTGAAATTATAATTGTAAATATTTTACAACAATAGCACAAGATCGATTTAAACAATTACACTATATCTTGTGATAGAAAATGCAGACTAAATTCAAATCTGATTTTTCATTATTGGTTTGATACTCCTGTCAGATTTTTAGAATTAATTAAACATGACATTTATTTTTAAATGCTTACAGTACTGAGGTATTTATTCCTTAGATTTTTTGTCATTTATCTGTTTTTAATAATGATTTTGATAAACTTGAATGGAATTATATATTTTTATTTAAGAATATAAAAAAAAAGATGTGAAATGTCATGACCTATGTAGTTTTTGCCTTGAAATCTGGTATTTAATTACCGTTATATTCTTAAATTTTCAGGGCAATATAACAACTTTGGCTACTATTGACAGAGAGAAGACACCTGCTTTTCATTTTGCTGTTCAAGTTAAAGATGGCAAAATCCCAGAAAGGACAGCTTATACAGTGGTATGAGTTTTTAATGTTAAAAATATTACACAAACATATATATGATAGGTTTCTTCATTGGAGAAAAAAAAACATAGCAAGCACGAGACATTGTTGAACATGAAACCTTCAGTTGCCACAAAAATTGCAAATGTAAAGACCATCATTTGGCAGAGTTTCCAGATATTTGGTGGAAATCGTACATGAAATTACAATTAGATTGTTCAACCAAACAGATGATCACAGATGTACTGGATATGTGATTTTTAAACCACATATATAATATGAAAATAAGGAAATGTGGTAAGATTAGTCATTTTTGTAACCTGAATTATGGCTCTACCTATTTATAACTTTTTTTTCAAATTTGACTGTGATTGAAGATAATGTTTATTGCTACAGATTTTTCATATGAGAATAACTTTTTAGATCTTAGTAAATTATTATAATTTTTTTACATTTTTTGTTTTTATTCAGGTTAGCATGACAGTTAGTGATGTAAATGACAACCATCCAGAGTTCAAACAAAGGTCATATGAATATATAATTGAAGAGAATGTATTATCACCAGGGATATCTGTCATGGCAACAGATGCTGATAGTGATGCAAATGGAAAAGTTACATATTCATTGGTTAGAAATCCAGGTAAATATGACTAAACATACAACATGTTTAAGTGGCTATAACATATGCATGGCAATCCAGGCCTGCTTATTTGACAAAAAGGGATAGTCTTGCTGTGTAATGTACTTGTATTTAACTAAAAAATCAATAATCCCATTGTTACTGATGCGCCAGGAAGTAGTAACAACCAACAATGGCCAGGTTGGAAGAGAAGCTTTGCGAAGTGGTAGGAACCATGGGAAGTTCGTCCATTTAGATACCAAGCCTTTAGAACAATGTCATGTATCATATAACAGTAAAACAAACTCAAGTTACATTGTAAACAAACTTTATTTTTCTATATTTATCTAATCTATTTATTATTCTTTATTGCTACTTTCACTTTTCATTTTTTCTCTCACCTTGACAACACACATTGTGACGTCAAATTCAAGATACCAGTTTGGGTACTTCAGTAAAATAAATTGTCCTGATGACGCCTGCCTTGCAGGCGAAACATGTAGACTATAGCAAATAAAGTTGCAGACCATCTTAAGTGTTGTTGTCAATTTTGAGTATTAAAAAATCAATTGTTTTTCAAAACTGCTTTGCAGGTGAAAATTTGATGGAAACTGTAAGAAAGTTATACCAGTGGCAATCACAACACAATAGACTTAATTAAAGATCGTATATAGGTTTTATTTTCTGTTAAGTAATAAGTATTATTGTTTTGTCTTTTTACAGGTCATCAGTTCCTTCTGAACAAACAAACAGGAATGCTGAGTGTGAATGGGACTTTAGACAGGGAAGAAGAAACCTGTTACATTTTAACTGTTCTCGTAAGTGTACTTTGCACTATTAAAACTAACTATTCTAGTAAGTTGAGGGGGCCACGGTGGCCAAACTACTATATCACTAGCTGTCACCACTGAGATTGTGAGTTCAAATCCAGCATGCGGCAGGTGGGCTCGACTCCAATCTTAATTGATTAGGATTGTCAGATTGGCACTCCAGCTTACTCCAACTATAAAATATGACCGTCACAAAATAGCACAACAGTGCTGAAGGTGGCATTAAACACCAATTAATCAATCTAGTAAGCTGATGAAATGATATTGTCCTATGCAAAAGTTTTGGTGAGTTGTCAGTTGAACAACAAAAAATTTGCTGTACAAATTTTTTAACATAGAATAAAGCTTGGTCATTGATAGACTGCAGTTTCTACCCTTCTGGAATTATTTCTCTAACCACTACTGTTGATATTTGAGCAACTGTCACACATAATAATTGATTCAATTACAGGCTGTAGACCATGGAAACAGTTCTCTAACAAGTTCTGTGGAGGTTCTTGTAACTGTCACAGATCAGAATGACAACACTCCAAAGTTTACCTCTAACAACAGAACTTACTATGTCAAAGAAAATCAGTATCCAGGACAGGTGAGTGTGTTGATGAGACTTCAGTTACAATATAAAATGGAAGTATGTTGGGATTGTGGTATGTATGTTCTCTGTGTAATGTACTGAGTATGTTGGGAGTGTGGTATGTCTGTTCTCTGTGTATTGTACTGAGTATGTTGGGAGTGTGGTATGTCTGTTCTCTGTGTAATGTACTGAGTATGTTGGGATCGTGGTATGTCTGTTCTCTGTGTAATGTACTGAGTATGTTGGGAGTGTGGTATGTATGTTCTCTGTGTAATGTTCTGAGTATGTTGGGATTGTGGTATGTATGTTCTCTGTGTAATGTACTGAGTATGTTGGGAGTGTGGTATGTATGTTCTCTGCATAATGTACTGAGTATGTTGGGAGTGTGGTATGTCTGTTCTCTGTGTAATGTACTGAGTATGTTGGGAGTGTGGTATGTATGTTCTCTGTGTAATGTACTGTGTATGTTGGGATCGTGGTATGTCTGTTCTCTGTGTAATGTACTGAGTATGTTGGGATCGTGGTATGTCTGTTCTCTGTGTAATGTACTGAGTATGTTGGGAGTGTGGTATGTCTGTTCTCTGTGTATTGTACTGAGTATGTTGGGAGTGTGGTATGTCTGTTCTCTGTGTAATGTACTGAGTATGTTGGGAGTGTGGTATATCTGTTCTCTGTGTAATGTACTGAGTATGTTGGGAGTGTGGTATGTCTGTTCTCTGTGTAATGTACTGAGTATGTTGGGAGTGTGGTATGTCTGTTCTCTGTGTAATGTACTGAGTATGTTGGGAGTGTGGTATGTATGTTCTCTGTGTAATGTACTGAGTATGTTGGGAGTGTGGTATGTCTGTTCTCTGTGTAATGTACTGTGTATGTTGGGAGTGTGGTATGTATGTTCTCTGTGTAATGTACTGTGTATGTTGGGATCGTGGTATGTCTGTTCTCTGTGTAATGTACTGAGTATGTTGGGATCGTGGTATGTCTGTTCTCTGTGTAATGTACTGAGTATGTTGGGAGTGTGGTATGTCTGTTCTCTGTGTATTGTACTGAGTATGTTGGGAGTGTGGTATGTCTGTTCTCTGTGTAATGTACTGAGTATGTTGGGATCGTGGTATGTCTGTTCTCTGTGTAATGTACTGAGTATGTTGGGAGTGTGGTATGTCTGTTCTCTGTGTAATGTACTGTGTATGTTGGGATCGTGGTATGTCTGTTATCTGTGTAATGTACTGAGTATGTTGGGAGTGTGGTATGTCTGTTCTTTGTGTAATGCACTGAGTATGTTGGGAGTGCGGTATGTCTGTTCTCTGTGTAATGTACTGTGTATATTGGGAGTGTGGTATGTTTGTTCTCTGTGAAATGTACTGTGTATGTTGGGAGTGTGGTATGTTTGTTCTCTGTGTAATGTACTGAGTATGTTGGGATCGTGGTATGTCTGTTCTCTGTGTAATGTACTGAGTATGTTGGGATCGTGGTATGTCTGTTCTCTGTGTAATGTACTGAGTATGTTGGGAGTGTGGTATGTCTGTTCTCTGTGTATTGTACTGAGTATGTTGGGAGTGTGGTATGTCTGTTCTCTGTGTAATGTACTGAGTATGTTGGGATCGTGGTATGTCTGTTCTCTGTGTAATGTACTGAGTATGTTGGGAGTGTGGTATGTCTGTTCTCTGTGTAATGTACTGTGTATGTTGGGATCGTGGTATGTCTGTTATCTGTGTAATGTACTGAGTATGTTGGGAGTGTGGTATGTCTGTTCTTTGTGTAATGCACTGAGTATGTTGGGAGTGCGGTATGTCTGTTCTCTGTGTAATGTACTGTGTATATTGGGAGTGTGGTATGTTTGTTCTCTGTGAAATGTACTGTGTATGTTGGGAGTGTGGTATGTTTGTTCTCTGTGTAATGTACTGAGTATGTTGGGAGTGTGGTATGTATGTTCTCTGTGTAATGTACTGAGTATGTTAGGAGTGTGGTATGTATTTTCTCTGTGTAATGTACTAAGTATGTTGGGATCATGGTATGTATGTTCTCTGTGTAATGTACTGTGTATGTTGGGAGTGTGGTATGTTTGTTCTCTGTGTAATGTACTGTGTATGTTGGGATCGTGGTATGTCTGTTCTCTGTGTAATGTACTGAGTATGTTGGGAGTGTGGTATGTATGTTCTCTGTGTAATGTACTGAGTACGTTGGGAGTGTGGTATGTATGTTCTCTGTGTAATGTACTGAGTATGTTGGGAGTGTGGTATGTCTGTTCTCTGTGCTGTGTTATGTACTGAGTATGTTGGGAGTGTGGTATGTTTGTTCTCTGTGTAATATACTCAGGATGTTGGAAGTTTCGTAACAGGGATTTAAGTTATAACGTACTTAGGATGGTAAAGTGCAGTATGTCAGATCTCTGTGAATGGTAAAGTGCTATCAGTCATTACATAGTAGAATGTACAGTGGGTGATGAAGTGTGATATGACAAATCTGCAAGTCATACTACCGGTATCTAAATTCCATACAAGCAAGACATATTACTTTGTCAACAGTTTATGATTTTTTTTAATGATAATTATCATAGAAATTAAGAATAGATCATTATATTGCAGTTTGTATCTGACATAGAAGCTGAAGATCCTGACCATGGTGTGAATGGCTCTGTCATCTACATGTTTTCTGGAAACACCTACCCACAGTTTGACATAGATCCAATGAGTAAGATTAAGATTCCTCACAGAAACTATATTTATATTGATTTATAGAAAACTTAAGTTTAGTGATATCATTGCTCAATCAAGTAACCAGCACAATGAAGATTGATTGGTTGATTGATTGGTGTTGAATGCCACTTTCAGCACTATTGTACTATTTTGTGGTGGCCAGTTTTCATTGATGGAGGGAGCCAGAGTGCCTGGAGATAACTGACAGTCCTAGTCAATTGAAATTGAAGTCAAGCACACCTGTCATGCGCAGGATTCTAACTCACAACCTCAGTGTTGACAGGCTAGTGATATAGTAGTTGGACTACTTATACCAATGGATGGGTTTTTATTTAATTAAAAGGTGTCATAAATGATATATTTTTACCCTTATTGGGGATAGTGACCTAAAGATCGGTTTTACTTTCTTTTATCTTACATATCATGTGAAGTTGTACCTGGTATGTGTCATACATTTCTGTGCTTGAATGGTATGTACAATTCATTATGCTGGAGAAAGTGAGAATATACCAAGGGGGGGTAATCAAAAACCAAAGAAAAACAATGGAGTGTAACTGAATCTTCAAACTTCCAACTTAAATAATGTGCCAAAGTTACATATATATATCATTATTTTTCATTCCACAGGTGGTAAAATAACTACACTGGTTAGTCTGGACTATGAAGTAAAGTCTGTCTACAACCTGACAGTGATTGCCATGGATCTTGGTACACCTTCACTAAACTCAACCTTTGACCTCATTATAATGGTACAAGACGTGTATGACACAGCACCACAGTTTCCCCGAAGTTTATATGAGAGAACAATCGATGTAAATACACCTAAATCTACAGTCATACTAAGTGTAACAGCTGGCCAGTACAATATAGTGTATAAAATAGACGGTATGGTCAATTATAAACTTAATTACTTATTAGAATATAATTTATTTTGATTGGATAACCAAACATAACATCAAATCATCAAATATTACTTCTATGAAATAAAAAGGTTTAAAGGTGTAGTCAAAAAATGAAGGAGACTGAAGATACTAAAGGAATATTCAAACGCATTAGTCAAAGACAACTACATGGCAAAAAAAAAGAAAAACAAAGGATCTTGAGCATATACAGGAGTAAATAAGAATGGATTTTTTTATAAACCATCAGGCTAGCAAATGATTCTTACAACTAATTTACAATATGGATAAAACAAGTGGGAATACATCAAAAGATACAGAAACCCAAACTCACACCAAATGAAATATACAAGTTTAAGAAGTCAACATACCGGTAATGTTTGTTTAAGTTAGATTATCTATAAACGAGAACAAAATGATAAAAACAATTCAATAATTTGATAATTAGTTTTTGTAATCTTTTAAGATGGAAACATAGGAAATCATTTTGATATGGATGCAGCATCAGGGGTGATAACTCTGTCAAGCAGATTAGGTACAAGTGTACTTGAGTATAGACTGAATATTTCTGCAACTGATCATATCAAGACAAAATATACAGAGGTATGTACTATAAAAAGTGGATAATAGTACTACAACCTTATTTCTAGAAAATAGAGTAGATATATTGCATAAGTTTGCATGTGTACTTTAAAAATTCAAAGCCAAATTAAATTATGTTATGCACTTTGTATCAAACTTGACATTTTAATTCCTCTAACTTTTCATGTACTAGCTACTTAAACTCAAACACATGTTCTCAGGAATTTTACCAGGTTTTTCATAATATCCTTCATATTTTTACACCTTATTCAGTTTTTTTTTTTTATCATTAGCCTTTTTATTTTATGTGGTATGCATTCTATTTTGATTTTTTATTTTGCTAAATTTTTCCACTAAACTGCTTGGTTGACATAGTAGTTTGTTTATATTTTGTTTATGATTTGTTTGGAGAACATCTATTACTGTTTTTAAACTATATCCTTTTTTTTTAAATTATAGGGTGCTTATAAATATGCCAAAGGTATGCAAATTGTCAGGTTTTTTACTTTGTTTAATTCTTCACAAAACTATTATTTCTTAAATTCAGCAGTTTCCTTATTATATACCCTTGCTCTAAGGATGTGGTTTACCTTTCCCTATCTCTTGGTGCCATGAAATTTTTGTTGATTTTTTCTCAGGAACTACAAATCAAAGTTTCTTGAAATAGGGGTATAATTAGTAAGCAATAGCTCACAGTTCAAGTTTTTTTTTTTAATTTTGTATATAGCATATATAGTTTGTTTGCTGTGTTCCTCTTGCATCTTATAAGTTTGGACCATTCTGCTGTCACAGTCAGGATATTTGTACATATACCACAGTTGTGTATATTGTCACATTTATTTCATACATTGTGTGAAAAAAAATGATTTTTGAACATGAAATACATATGTGAATTAAAAAAACCTGATATATAGAAATTTCATGAGAGTCATATGTGTCTAAAAGACTGAGCAAATTTGTTCATGTACAAGGGATGTGTACAGGCATGCTTCTGTATACTTTCTCTTTTCCTCTTTTTGAGCATTGACAAGAAACTGTTGAAGGACATGTACAAAATTTGTAGAAAATAAAATGTATAAATTTTTTTTGACAGGTTTTGATTCATGTAACAACCAGTACCATACAGGTACAAAATAATACCTACACAGCTACTATACCAGAAAATATGAACATTACCACACAACTGATAGATCTGAATTATACTGATGGTAGTAATACTGTATTCTCCTACCAGATTATACAGATAATACCTGATGGTAAGTGTACTATACAAATATCACAACTTTCATTTGTCCAAAAACAAAAGAGGTTTAGATTGCCTTTCACTATAATGTCCCTGTTACTAAAAGTCAGGGACATTTTACTCTGTTCAGTCAGTCAGTCTGTCCCTCTGTCCACATGCAAAGTATATGGATTTTCTGTTGAAATTGTCTTACATATTAAAAGTTAGATCCTGTTTATTTTGTAGAACATTTGTACATGTAACAAAGACGTTTCAGTGTTAATTAGATTTTGTTTATCTTAATTTTTTTCACAAATTTACCAGTTGTTGAAATAAATGAATTGAGGGAAAGTTTCCATATAGGGCACAGGGTTTGTCTGGCAATCTCTTCTTACAGTATATAAGGTAGAACATTTTACTGTGACTTGATAGTGCTTCTCTATACCTATTGTATCTGATTTAATTGCAATTTTTTTAATCAATTCAAACTGTACGACTATTTCCAAACTGCTCCTGGAAAAAAACAGTCAACTCATCATTGTTAGAAGTGCAAGTCCAAAAAGAAAGCATACTTACAATCCTATTAGATTTCATTTCCATTTTAACTGAACTATTGTAAAAAAAAAAAGAAGTAAACTCTGACACACCTACGGTGTTCATTAAATATCTGCCTTATAGCCCATTTCTAATTGGAAAAAAATTAGGAAAAAAAAAAAGAATTAGTAATTTTTACTCAGATGTACGTTTATATATGTATTTTCTAGTCCAACCATCATCTGAAAATTTCTGAAATGGCCTGAACTGGAATTTCATTGAGCTGGATGTTGAAAAATATATTTGTATTTATAGTGAAGGACACATTTAGATTAAACAAGTCAACAGGAGAATTATACTGTATAAAACAACTAGACAGGGAGGATATTAATCAATATACCTTTTATATCAGGGCTGTTCCATCATCCAACAGAGTTAAAAGATCCATTAATGGTATGTTTTAATCAGCTAGCTTGTTCTTAAGTTTAAGAAAAACTTTATGGTTATTGCATTGATTATTAAATTCAATAATCCTATAGTTATTGACAAAGGAGTAGGCCCGGTAAGACTCCTTTTTGGCCCCAAAATATAGCATTTAAAAAATGTGTTAAACATGTAAACTTTTAGTTATTTATTGGAAAGAAGAATCCTTTTGTTACATAAATTAGGGCTTGTTTTTGACACAACACTGCACACACATCAGGTATTAGCACCATTAATTCATGCAAAATTATTGAGTTCTTCACAATTTTAGCATTTGTGCTAATTTTTAGACGGTTTTTGTTGGAAAATGGAAGTGGCAGCACTTGTGTTAAGTCTTAATATTTAAATATATGTTGTATTTGATGATGATACATATCATATATAAAGGTTGAGACTGAACACGAATGCCGCCACTTCCATTTTTGACAAAAACCATCTGAAAAGTGACGTTTTGTGTTATATTTGATAGATTTTTCATATTTAAGCTTGCATTTAGACATCTTTAATGACCAAAAACAGTCCAAATCTTTTACATAAACTAATTGAATTGAATGAAGAAGACACTTTAGTGTTTAAAAAATGTCAAAAATCTTTCATCAGATGTACTTCAAATTTTAGGCCAAAATAAGCCCTTACTGGACCTTCTCCTTTGGTTAATGACTTATAAATAGTCTGGAATTCTTCTGTTTTAGCTTTTACTTCTTTTTACTTATGATAATGATAGTTGACATCAATATTTAAGAAAAGTTATAATTCTATGCTTTTTGCCAAACTTGTTCTGGTAATTCCTGATTAATGGTCACTTCCATACAAACTTTAACATCTTTGAATTTAAGGTGATGATATTTGACAAGTGGATGCAGATGCATGTTCATGTCAAGTGTTAAACATTCTCTTTACTGTATGTTATTTTGACATTAAGGTCAAATTTCTTAGTTTAAGACAAATAATGAATTTGAATGTTTTTTGTGGAGCAAACATAAAGCTATCTATATGCAATGCTATTGGTACAAAGGATTGATAATTTATATGACACTGTTTGAATAGAACATTTTCACATTATAATTATTTTTAGATTCACCAGGTGACATAAAAGTGGTTGTTTATGTACAAGATGAGAATGACAACTCACCAAGATTCTCTGCTGGGCCAGTACTGACATTGGGTGTGTCAGATACAACATCTGTAGGGGATCTTGTGGCTACACTTAAGGTGAGTAGATTCTCTGCTGGGCCAGTACTGACATTGGGTGTGTCAGATACAACATCTGTAGGGGATCTTGTGGCTACACTTAAGGTGAGTAAATTCTCTGCTGGGCCAGTACTGACATTGGGTGTGTCAGATACAACATCTGTAGAGGATCTTGTGGCTACACTTAAGGTGAGTAGATTCTCTGCTGGGCCAGTACTGACATTGAGTGTGTCAGATACAACATCTGTAGGGGATCTTGTGGCTACACTTAAGGTGAGTAGATTCTCTGCTGGGCCAGTACTGACATTGGGTGTGTCAGATACAACATCTGTAGGGGATCTTGTGGCTACACTAAAGGTGAGTAATTCAAGATATCAGCATTCAAAGTTTTCCTATGGATAAATTCTTCAAAGGGTGTCTCTGATACAGTTTTATGTGATCTTATGTCAACTTTAAAGGTGAGTAGTTAATAAAAATTGATCAGCTTTCATAGTTTTCCAAGATAGTACTTGCATTAATGTGAAGATACATGAAAATATATGTGTACATTTCAGGCTGAAGATGTAGATATAGATGATACCATTCAGTATCAGATAACTGGTGGACAAGATAAAGACAGCTTCAGTATAGAGAAATCTACAGGCAAAATCTACAGTCGTATCAAAGTAGATACTGGCAAAACTTATACTGTCATAGTTACTGCTGGTGATGGCAAGTTCTCTACAGATATCACAGTGAAGGTAAAATTTCTAGTTTGTTATTTACTGTTAAATAAATTCAAATATCATAACTGTTCTTCTTAGTTCAGGTGAACAACAATTTGTCATACCTTTATGAAATTTAGCATGAAGAGTTAGAGTATTGTTCAAAATTCTAATATGACTTTCTTTTCACCTTGGAAACAAAACCATGTTCTAATTCCAATTGAACATGGGCTGCACATGATTAACTTCACAATTGAAATTGCAACGTCAGTTGTATTTTGAACAATGACGAGATCAAAATGGACATTTTTGTTGGTGTTGCTTGCTAGGAAATTAAACAAAATCTTTCTGAAAGTAAGTTTACATGTAGCTGTTCATTTTTAATCGTAAATGGCTGATTTTCTATAACGTTTTTGCTTCATTGAATCAAAATGGCTGCCTTTCGAACGTGTTTTAAAGGTCCGCTTCGAAGTACAAAAGTTCTAGATTTTCCTATTAGAACAAAATAATTCTATCATGCCATGCTCTATGCTCATGTTTATATGAGTAGGCTTTATATTTGTCAACATTTTACACCTCGCCAACACTCGGTATAAAGATACTGTATATCAGACTTTTTGCATGTGTGTTTAATTTTTGCTTTGTTCACGGCAGCTAAAGAAACACGAAATTTTGACCTGAGGAAATTTCTCTGTATATTCCCAGATTTATCACTGTTTAAGCTTTTCATACATTTATATGCATTAAACTGTTAATTGTCAAGTATACACGAAATTGATGTGTAACCTGTTTTCATTCTAAAAGTGAAATAACATTATATATAAAATGAGAATTTTGTATAAGTTGCCATTTCCCCAGAACGTGAATATTTAATTAAGATCTCTGTTTTCATTATGATTTTATTGGCTACTCATACATGTCATACCTTTTAACAACACAGCAATCAGTGACATGTTCAAAAATGTTAATTAGTGACGATCTATTGATTGTTGTCATTACCCTGATCTCCAATTCTGTGTACTTTAGTTTGTAGTACTTGTATTTATTTGGTATTGATTTTCTGTCAGTCAATTTATTTCATGTTGTTTACATCTTTAATGATACAATACAGGGATTTTTTTGGCGTGTATTTACCATTTTAGCAAGAATTATACATAGTGAAAAATTAATCTGTTCATTTTGTCATCAAATCTTGAAAAAAGCCGACATGATAAAAAACCTGATATACGGTATTGACAAATATAATGCCTGCCCATGTTAAAAGTGAGCATAAAGCATGGCATGAAAGAATTATTTCTTAAGTAACAGTTTGCTGTCAAATGCATTTTGAAATTGTTGCTTAAATCAGACCATAAGCCTTTGAACTGTGGCCTTAAAAATGAATTAAGGTTCTTTTCTTGACATGTTCCCATGTTTTAGAATGATTTGCTAAGCCATTAATGGCAATAATATGTTTCATTGCTATGTCACATATGGATGAACTTGCAGTTTGGTGTAGAATAATATAAAATCTGGTAAAATTTTACATTACAGTTTTTGGTGATTTCAAGTTCGGACAAAGTTGTATTAACAATTCCAATTACACTGCCTGAGTTTGAATCTAAGAGTACAACTATTCTGAGGTAAGTATTGATGTTGTCCATAAATTTCATGATTTTTTTGTTGACCTTTTTAAAGTTCCACTGTTCAATGGTAGACTAGTGCCTAGATTTGCTATCTTTTGAGTGACTGGGACAAATCTAAACTAGTACTGAGTTTTTTATTGCATGATTTGGAATAAAAGATTTTATTTAGCATGCTTAACAACAATTGTCTTTTAAGTGCAATTACTAACAATGTTTGAACTTTATTTTGTTGTGATTTTTCTTTTTCCTGTTATTTTCATCTGAGTAATAGGTACAACAGAAGACAATTTTCTGCTAATTATAAGTCCAATGTATAATTGTCATATTTATCTATCAATTTCAGAAATATAAGTCATATTGTGGGATTTAAAGTTGAACTGGAAAAAAGTGGTGTACATGTTGATTCTAAAACTCATCTTGATTGGTCAAAGTAAGTATATTTATATATATCGCTGGCGTGGACAGTGTATAACTTGCAAATTGTTTTCATTCACCTTCCAAATTTCTTTCTTTATATTTTATGAATAAAATAATAAGTAGGGGGATGAAATTACAAGTACAAAAATTTGGGTCATGAATTTTCAGGTAAAGTGGTGATTTGATCCATTTGAAAAAGGTCAAAGATCAGTATGTTTGAAGCTGTCAAACTGAATTATAGACCCCCTGAACATAAAATTGTCCATATTTTGAGTTAGAGCTGATATAGTTTTCTAAAATTTTGATATAATTAGTCCCAAAAGTAGTACATTACAGTTGAAAAATCTTTTTGAGTTAGAGCAGGTGCGATTTTTTTAATTTTCATTTATTTTCTAATGCACTATGAAATTACTGTGTTCATGGGCCATATATACAAATTTATAATCTGCAAAAACAACCTTTCACATCAAATAGTTTAAAATTGGTTACAATAATGTCACCAGCGCTTTCATACCTTTTGGACCCTTTGAAAGTTTTGCAATTAATACCTGTATTTGGAACAATGCTTTTGCTGTTTAGCTATGTTATCTGAGGTCAAGATTCCAAGTATTCACAAAGGCCACATGTAGGTTCATTGCATTTTGAAACATTGTATTCTATTCCAGCTATGTCATGAAATATCTTTTTTAGATTTAGAGGTTGTCATTTACTTTTCCAAATGTTTTCGTAGGAATATATATATTTAATTACTGTAGTGTACTATCACAAGTGGCAATGTTAGATTTATCTTAGAACACCAGCTGATTTTAGGACCTTTTTATTGGTATTCTGAAGCGTGTAAGCATTTAGATTGTATCTTGCAGGACAGACATTTACTTCCATGGTATCAACGAGACAGGAGGATTCATACTGCCTCAGCATACATCATTCAGGTAAATCAATATTCTAATTTCATGGGAACTGGCTATGTGAATGTTAGATAAATAAATGCACAGACACTTGTCTGTTTTTGAAAATTTGTATGTTGACCTCCAGATTACCATTCTGAAATTATAATGCTGTTGGATTGCTGTTTCATTGATATAGACTTAGCATCTCCTTTTACTCCTAGCCATTTATTTTCTTGAGAACAATTGAAGGATAGACATCAGTAAAAGTGTATGCATACAGTTGCATTATTAGTAAATGTAAATAGAAAACAAAGAAAATCTTTGAAGAGTTTCTTTTCTATGAGCTTCATAAAAAAAATATTCTTTATGTCTCAGTATTTTCTTTGCACTGCTTACTGCTTAAATAGTTTTAACAAGAATTTTGTTAAAATCGTTTATAATTATCTAGACAGTTATAGAATTATGTCAGACCATTTTATTATATATTTCCTTTACAGAATAATTCATGAGAAGAGTAAAGAGATTGCTTCCTTATTTAGCCCACCAGAAATAAAAGTGATAACATATCATACCCCACTGGTGCCTCACAAGATGTCAGAGGCAGAAATAGCTTTGTTAACAATAGGAGTTGTCATATTAGTTTCGAGCTTACTGGCTTTAATAGCTGCTAATTACACATGGAAACAGTAAGTTACAATTTTCAGTATGTTCCTTCCATTTTTTAAGGGTTTCTATAAAAAGAAAAAAAAGATCTTTCAAAATGTAAATATGATTGACACTATCAATTGACTGCTTACAGGATTTATTGCCCTTTAATTATGAATTTTTATCCATTGCAGCATTTTTCCTATTATCTTGAAAATATATTTTAGATAGACAGAAACATTTTTTTATATGCCCGTCAATTTTTGACGGGACGTATTATGTTAAACAAATGTCCTGTGTCCGTCCGTCTGTCTGTCCGTCTGTCTGTCCGGCGTAAACATGTCGCACCGTAACTTGAGAATGACTTATCAAAATTTCATGAAACTTAACATAGTTGTTTCTTATGATGGTCAAACGATCTGTATACTTTTTGATGAAAATAAGATTAAAACTTTTTGAGTTACGGGACTTAGTAACTAAAACAGGTGTGTGTTTTTTTTCACATGTCGCGCCGTATCTCAAAAACAATTTATGATTATTGCTTAAAACTTTACACACTTCTTAATTATATTAATCTTAAGATCTGTATACTTTTTGGTGATGATTCAAAATTTTATTTTAGAGATATTGAGTATTTTGTTAAAAAAGGGGGAGGGGTTTTTTCACATGTCGTGCCGTATCTCAAAAACAGTTTATGATTATTTCTTAAAACTTTACACACTTCTTAGTTATATTAATCTAAATTTCTGTATACTTTTTGGTTTTGATTCAAAATTTTATTTTTGAGATATTGATTTTTTTTTTTTTAAAGGGGGGTTTTCACATGTCGCGCCGTATCTCAAAAACGATTTATGATTATTGCTTAAAATTTTACACACTTCTTATTTATATTAATCTAAAGATCTGTATACTTTTTGGTTTTGATTCAAAATTTTATTTTAGAGATATTGAGTTTTTTGTAAAAAAAAAAGCGGGTTTTCGCATGTCACGCCGTATGTCAGAAACTATTTATGCTTATTGCATAAAAATTCACACACAAGAAGACAGGCGTATCATGCGCTCATGGCGCAGCTGTTTATTTAATTGTTCAGATATCTGACAACTACTAAAATTGTGTTAAAAAATGTTCAGATAGCAGACCTGCCAACTTTTGAAAATCTCCCAGGGGATTTAGTGCGGGACCACATTTTTAAGGGTTACAATTTTTGTTGCGTTTCTGTGTGCACTGTTTTTATATAACCGCAAAAATTTTGCGGTCGTATATTGATATCACGTTGTCATCGTCCGAAGACACATTGGTTTCGGGACAATAACTTTTGTTTAAGTGTATAAATTTCTATGAAATTTTACCACAAGGTTTATGACTACAAAAGGAAGGTTGTGATTGATTTTGGGGGTTATGGTCCTAACAGTTCAGGAATTAGGGGCCAAAATTGGGCCCAAATAAGCATTTTTCTAGTTTCCAGACAATAACTTGTGAAATGGTATATGGATCTCTCTGAAATTATACCACAAGTTACCATATCACAAAGGGATGGTAAGAATTTGCTTTGGGGGGTTATGGCTCAAACTGTTTTGGAATTAATGGCAAAAAAGGGGGAAAAACAAGGGTTTCCAGGTTAATGGACATTACTTAAGTACAAAACATAATTTTAAAGCAGTGCAAGGGAGGTAATTCAAACACATATTGTCAAATTACCTCCCTTACACTGCTTGTAATTTATTTATAAAGAAATGTATTGTCTTTAGGTGATTAGCTGTCAATTTATTTTTAGAAGTTACTATTTTAAAAATGTTTAATAAAGGTAATTTAATTATAGCCATGATTATGTATGTGAAGGAATTTTATTTTTAGATATTATTATTTAATGTTGCTGATGAAAGTGTTTTAATTTTAGGCATGATTATGATGTCATTTTCTATTTTAATACTTTTATGTTGTATTTAAATGGGTTTTTATGGTTAAAAAAAGCATTTTTGTAGTTTCCAGACAGTAACTTGTGATTAAGTGTATGGATCTCTCTAAAATTGTACTACAAGGTTCCATACTACAAAGGAAAGACTGCAATTGAGTTTGATGGTTAATGCTAAAAGGGGGATTCAAAAAGTTTGGGGGGAAGGGGGGTTTCCAATTTTTTTTTAAAAAGGGTTCATAATTTTTTTTTCAAAATTTTCAAAATTTCAAATTTTTGAAAAGTTTCAAGAAGAAATCTTTAATTGCACAGTATTGCGCATTAGATTTGTAAGATCTTTGACCACATTTATTTTGTGTCAGAAACCTATATTATGTCAAAAATTTGATCACAATCCAAATTCAGATAGTATCAAGCTTGAATATTGTGTCCAAATTTGCCCCAACTGTTCAGGGTTAGACCACTGCGGTCTTATCAGGCTGCACTCAGCGAAGCATTTTATTTACGCTTGAAATAGTCTCATATCTCTTCTTTTTTCTTTTGATATACTGATGATGAGCTAATAAGCCTTGATTTCTTTTATTTGCATGATTCTTGTACTTATTAATTGGCAAAATAACTTAATAGAGAAAAATGGCCTAAAAAAATAAAGGATACAAAGTGAAGATCCCCCCACTTCTGCCCCCCTTTCCCCCTCCAAAGACCTTCTTATCTTTGCACCATGACTCAAAAGACCTAAACCTAAATGTCCTAAAGTTAGAAGGATGATTTTAAATCAGAACTGGACAGAAACACGTCTGATTTCAAAAATTTTAACGGATTTCAAGATAAACGCTGTTTTCTAATGAGTTCATTACAGTTTTCGTCTTTCAGTTAATTACGATTTTGTCATGAAACTACGGTAAATGTTGCAAATTGTGATCGTATGATAAATTGATTAAAATTGAAATGCCGACTGACTGATTCTGTTTACAAATTAATTAATTTTGAGGATTGTTATGACCCATCAGATAAGCAGATTACATGTAACAACAAATTATGACACCTGTTGTGACCGTTGATTAGCGTAGGGTCGTAAACTTGTCATGAATATGTCTCCAGGTAAAATTATAATTTATAGAAATTGACCAGAAAAACTTCAAAATCGGTAACCGATAATTTTTTCGGGTATATTTTGTGAAAATCAGGATTTTGACTTGTTTAATGATCCCGATAACAGGATTCGGGTTGAGGCATGAAAATCGGTATGATACCGCCAAAATCGGGATAGTTGGCAGGTCTGAGATAGTCCATTCAAAGTAATGTGTAATTTTTTTCAGATTTAAGAGATCACACAAAACTGCAAAAGACAAACATTGGGAACTGAACAGTATCAATTCCTCTCATGCCAATGGTTCAGTAGTTATGAGACAGAATGATGATGGATATATCAACCCTGCCTTTACTGAAACAAGGTTTACAGAAAGGGAAGACCAACTGTAAGTTTTATTTTCAGAATAGACAAATAATTATTCTTAAAAAAAAACTTGATCTTTTACTGGTGTGTTTCAAGGTCTTTTTTATATGTCAGAAAAAGGAATTTTCAGAATAGACAAATAATTATTCTTAAAAAAATTTGATCTTTTATTTGTGTGTTCCAAGGTCTTTTTTATATATCAGAAAAAGAATATGCTTTTGAAACTTATGAGCAGCAAGTCCTAGTTCTCTTTGAAATGTGATGAAGGATCTTAAGAACGGATTCCACTGAATAATGACAAACCTGATTTTGTCACCAAGGAAAAATCATTCTTATTAGGACTTGATGAGGTACAAAAAGATGGAAAAAATATCCACAAGGAACATAATAATTGACACCACAATTAAAATCATCAAAAATCTTATTACAGAAAAATATTTTTGAAAGTATGTGTATTGCAATTTGATTACCTACATTTTTTCAGCTGTGTATATTTTCATGGTAAGAAAAAGGTTTATCTAGCATGAACTAACAGATTAATATGCATGTTTTATTTTGATCTATACTTATTCAGGAAATACTAACAGGTGAATTCAAAAGGTTACAACCTATTACTTATAGAACCATAGAACTACCTGGTTCTCAGATACTTTGTGATTTTTACAGCATAAATCATTCAGCAGTTAATCAACTTCCTAGCAACTGGTCAGTTCAATTTGAATTATGATCAGGATGTATGTTAACAGTTGTAAGATACAGTTTTTGTTAGTTCAAGCATCTTGATTCAGATGAAATTACCTTAAATTCGCCTGAGCTGACTAAATTTAGTTTCAACACCAGCTATTTTGAAAACTTGTCCTAGCAATAAGTTTATTTTATCAGTTTGGGTTATTTAACACTATAAATCAGAACTAGAAATGTGAACTATCAGTCAAGCGGGGTCATTTTGTTCTTTCATTCCATTTTATTCATCTCATAATGTAAGAGCTTCTATGTATCACTTGGTGTCCATTGTTGTTGTAAACTTTTTTACAAGGATCTTCTCCTCTGAAACTACAGAACCAATTTCATCCAATCTTTGGGTAAAATATATTTATGGTATCTAGTATAATGTTTGTGTTTTTTATTTTGGTCAGTCAACAAACATGGCCGTCATGGCTAAAATAGAACATAGGGGTAAAATGCAGTTGTTGGCTTATGTCTCAAAAACAAAAGCAGTTAGAGTAAAACTGCTATGGGAGGGGGTAATTATCAGCAGGTTAAGATCTATTGGAAAGAAAATTTTCAAATGAATCAGACAACCCAGTTTGGAGTTATATAATAAATAATGTTTTTTATGAAATTTCTTAGGTTTTAGTTATTATCTTGAAAACTGTTAACGAAAAAGAAAAATTTTGTACAGCAAAAATGTTCAGCAAAGTTAGATCTACCAATAAGTCTCAGGACAGAATACGCAAATTGATTCCTTATAGGAGTTATTGTCCTTGAAAGACTATTTTTTTTGTTGTTTTTTTTTTGTTTCTTGCAGAAACTATTATAAATAGAGAGATTCTTATAAGGCAAAAATGTTGAGCAAAGTAAGACCTACAAATAAAATAAATGACCAGAATTGTCAATTTACCCCTTATATTAAAGAGTTATTGCCCTTAAAAGATGATTTTTACCACATTTTTTTAGTTTTTTGCAGAAACTATGTTAGAGAGAAAGTTTAAATGTCCTGTTTATACATGCATTAATGATCATTTAAAAGCAAATTAATCCTTGATGCAAGATCTACATGAAAAATTCCTGGTGAGTGATTCAGGCTCTTAGGAGTTTCTTGGTTTTTTTAAAAAAATATATATTAGAAAGGGGAAACAAATTAAAATAAACTGAAAGGCACTTTTTTAAATGGATATCATAAAAAGTGTTTTCATGCTGTATCTGAGAACCAGAAATTTTATTTTTATTTTGCTTAATATTGTTTTTTACTTAAAATTATTCAGAACAGTTTGACATGACCTACATAGTAACTATAGAAATATTTTATGCTTAATATTCAGTTTATATAGTTTAGCAGTATATTCAGAGTAGAATTATAATTTTTTCTTCTCTATAATTTCCTTATAAATTGGCATTATGTAGATGTATAGAAAACTTATCCAAGAATTCAAATCCGAAAAATGTCCAAAATGTGACCATACAAAACATTAATTCACAAATCCCTATAGTACATGAATTGATTTTTAGTGTTGTTCAGTCATGAGTTTAATATTTGAATTCTTGGATTAGTTAATATATTCTTTTTATTACATTGACCATGGTCTTTATAATGTGGAAAAATGCAAGGAACTATATCTTTTCTCTACGCATTCTCAATTTGTTTTGATGCAACATCTACAATGTCTTGTCAAGACTTAATGTGGTATGAGGGCAGATGAGTAAAACTTTTGGTTTTTATTTTTGCGGGGAAATTACAGTATTTTTTTGGAACCAACAAAGTAAATTTTTGTATTCGTGTTGTAGAGTTTCAAATGTATTGATTGTTTTTGCATATTCTTTTGGTTTTTGTTTTTTCTGTTGTCATTGTATCAGAGCTGAAACATAGATATAGGAGTCAATGTCAGTCACACTTTTTGTTATCCACAACTCTTCAAGAACTTTTCCACAGAAAACCAATTATATTTGACTATTAAACATGACGTGTAGCATTGCACCACCATCAGGATTATATGTTGATATGAACTTTGGTTTACCATAGCCAAAAGCCTTATAGGTCCTATTGTGTAAATTATACTAGGGGTTGTGTATATTTTATATGTTATTTCTAATGATAATTGATTTCTCACAGCAAAGCCATTCAATGAGGAACTGACCAGAGTATTATCCATTGAAAAATCATATTTTAGTGTTTGTTTCTAAATTATTAGTTATTTTATTAAATTCAGCACTGTTGGAAATAATAGTTTTGCTGTTGTTCCATTCTATATTGTAAGCCATACGGCATTTCTCAGGTTAAATATGAATATTTCTTTCGTTAGGCTGTATACTACCTTTTTTACAGTTGAGTGATTTTATCACGTAGACAAAATCAGTCACCCGTGTACTATAAATACCCGTGTAACCTTATACGAAGCCTCAGTTTTTTCTAAGGCTGTAGCACGACACGTGTATTAAAGATAAGTTTCGAATAGTGGACACGACCTGTGTTAATATTCTGTAATGTCTTCATCAGACACCGACTCGTAGCCGAACAATACCTTAAGTAAGGCAGATATAATGCAATTGTTTGTATCAGATACAGAGGCACGAGAATTTTCTGGCTTCTCCTTAGTGGAGGATGTAGTTAATACAGAAAATAATAAAGCTGATGCAGCGAAAAATGTTACAAGTGTAAACAAAAAGTCAGACAAACCAGGTTTGTCTAAAGGTCCAGGGAAAGGACCGGGAAAAAATAAGAAGGGGAAGGCCCCAATGAAAAGGAAAAATGTCGATAGGGGAGAGGTTTCCCAAGCAAAAAAGAGCAAATTGTCCAAAAGTGAAGTTGAATACAGAAATTTGTACAATCTTATGGAAGATTTTTTTATTCTTATGTTCAAAACAAGGCAGGTTCGTGCACGCCTCATAATGTGCAATCGGATATTGATATTCAAAATATGGTTGACAATGAAGATCCGACCTTGGATCTTGAAGACTTCAATATCTTCCAGGCTGAAGCAAATGAATTCATCTTGAAGTCCCAAAAATCTTTGAGGACCATGTAAAGTTTGGTAGCAAAACAATGAGCAACATCGCTGATATGATCAATACAACTGTACGTAAAAAGCTAACCTTGATGAATATGTCAAAGACAGTCAAGTACCGTTAAATTGTAAGAACATTATTCCCTTCAAAGTTAATGTTGAAATTTGGTCTTTTCTACATAAAAATGTGAAGTCTCTTGACTTGAATATGCAGAATGTGCAAAGAATGCTTGGCAATGGCATAGTGCCTGTCATACATCTGGTAGAGTTGTTATCAAAGAAAGATCTGGTGGTAAGGAGCTAAGAGCTCACACAACAAGAGCTATGACAATCTTAAGTAGTGTTTTCTTTGAATTTTCTTACAGTAGAAAAATGATTCTTAAACCTCACCTTGAGCCAAAGTATCATTTACTTTGCAACCGTAATGAAGAGATTGGGGAAAATTTATTTGGTGATGATGTATCCAAGCGTATAAAAGAGATTAATGAAGCTCAAAAACTACAAGGTTTCGTGTGTAGGAGATCAGGAAGTTCAAAAAACTTCTTTCAGCCCCGGAGATCTGGGGCAAGAGGCAACTTCCGCATGTGCCAGGCAGGCAGCCAGAGCCAGTACTCAGAGGAATGTCTGTCAGAGACAGAGGTCAAGACAATTACAGCAGGCGCCCAAGGAGATATTGAAGGTAAAATTTGTTGCTGGTTCAGTCAAACATTTTTCTGATATTTGGGAAAACATTACCTCAGACCCTTGGATTTTAGATACCATAAAATATGGTTATAAAATTGAATTTGATAAAAGTCCTGAGCAAAAATTTATTGCTAATGCAATCAAATTTTCGGAAAAAGAAAAATCATTAATTGATAATGAAGTACAGGAACTTTTGAGTAAAGGGGCTATTGTCCAATCAATCAATGAAACAGATCAGTTTATTTCCAATTTGTTTTTGGTTCAAAAGAAAAATGGCAAATTTAGACCAGTACTGAATTTGAGAAATTTAAATCGTTTTGTCAAATATTTTCATTTCAAGCAAGAAACTTTGCAGTCTGTTCTAGCTGCAACAACAAGAAATTGTTTCTTTACAAGTATAGACCTGTGCGATGCTTATTTCTCACTAGGTATAAGAAATTCTGACAGAAAATATTTGAAATTTTGGTGGAGAAATACTTTATATGAATTTACATGTTTAGTATTTGGATTAAGTACAGCACCAAGAGTTTTCACAAAAGTAATGAAGGTGGTATTTTCCCACATCAGAAAATTTGGGATAAGTTCAATATTTTATGTTGATGACTCGCTATTGCAAGATCAGTCATATGATACATGGTGGGAGAATACAGTAGTTTTGAGAAACTTGCTTGCATCTTTAGGATTCAAAGTCAATGTTTTTATCCCAACACAGAGAATTGTTTTTCCTGGTTATATTATTGATTCAGTTGAATTTAAAGTGTTTCTACCTGTAGAAAAAATAGAAAAAATTTTGAAACACTCCTCCAAGATTTTAGATACCCATGAGGTTTCAATCCAAGAAATTTCAGTTTTAATTGGGCTTTATTCTTCCGCAAGATGTGCAATTCTGTTGGCACCTTTATTTTTAAGATACCTTGATATTGAAAAATCTGTTGAACTTAATCAAAATAATGCTGATTATGATGTTAAGTTTACACTATCAGAGCTAGCCAAACAAGAAATTTTATGGTGGATAGAAAATGTTGAACTGTTGAATGGAAAATTGATAAGTTATGGTTCTCCAGATTTTTATTTGGAAACCGATGCTTCAATGCAAGGTTGGGGTGCAGTTTTTTAACAAGTTAAAACACAAGGTAGATGGAAAGATGATGAAAAAGGACTTCATATCAATGTGTTAGAATTATTTGCAGTAAAATATGCTTTATTCTCTCTCTGTCAAAACATTGAAAATTGTCATGTTTGTGTTAAATCTGACAGTGCAACAGCAGTACATTATCTAAATAACATGGGTGGCAGTGTAAAAACCCTATTCAAACAAACAAAAGAGATTTGGGTTTGGGCAGCAGGTAGAAATATTTTTCTCTCTGCTGTCCACATTCCAGGGAAAGAAAATAGAGTACCAGATAATCTATCTCGGGTATTTAGTGATTCATCTGAGTGGAAATTAAATGAACAAGTGTTTAGTGCTGTATGTAAAACTTTTTTCATACCAGACATAGATTTATTTGCTTCTAGATTAAATAAACAGTTAGATAGATTTGTATCTTGGTTTCCTGATCCAGATGCTTTTGCTTCTGATGTATTTTCATTTTCATGGAGTTCTTATGTGCCTTATATTTTTCCTCCTTTCAGTTTAATCCCAGAGGTACTGAGAAAAATAGACGAGGACAGGGTAAGCATGGTTTTAATGATAGTACCAATGTGGCACACACAGCCTTGATTTCCAAGGTTACTAAGTTGTTTGATAGATTATCCAGTAAGACTTCCTTTTCGAAAAGATTTGCTACGTTTAGCACACAGCAATGAATTACATTCAATGAACAAGAGAAAAATGTTTCTAGTCGCCTGCATTGTTTCAGGCAATCACTCAAAAATCAAGGAGTTTCAGAACAATCTAGAGATATTTTACTACACTAGTGTAGACCCTCCACTTCAAAACAATATGAGTTTCAATGGAGAAAATGGTGTATTTGGTGTAGTAAACAGAAGATTAATTCCGTTAAACCAACTGAAATACAAATAATAAATTTTTTAGGGGAACTATACAGAATGAAAAAGTCCTATAGTTGTATAAATACATATAAATGTGCTGTAAGCCAGACTCTGGCTTCTTTTGGTAATACACAGCTTGTAGATAATGTTGTAATATCTAGATTCATGAAAGGAGTTTTTAATTTAAGACCACCTCTTCCTAGATATCAATATACATGGGATGTTAGCAAGGTTCTCCACTATTTATCAAACTTATTTCCATTAGAAAACTTAAGTTTAAACAGTCTTACATTAAAAATTGCTGCCTTAATGGCTTTATGTTCAGCTCAAAGAACACAAGCTTTAGTCAATTTATTGATAATATGATCTTTGATACAGACTCAGTATCATTTTTGATAACATCATTAATGAAAACCGCCAAGCCTGGGCAGGTAACACAAACTGTTATTTTTAAAAAGTATGATAAACAGGAGTTATGTCCTGTGTTCACGCTTAAAAGATATTTAAAAGTGACAGAGAATCAGAGAAAAGCAAAAAATTTGTTGATTTCATTTAAAACCTTCAAAAAGTGTCAACTAGTACTTTAGCTCATTGGCTTAAGAATGTATTACAATTATCAGGCATTGATGCAGATCAATTTAAGGCACATTCATTTAGAGGTGCTTCAACTTCTGCAGCTTTCATGTCTGGTGTAACTCTAAATGATATTATGCGAACAGCAAATTGGAAATCAGCAAAAACTTTTCAAAAGTATTATCTTCGGGAAACCGAACTAGAAAATATACATGATCATACAAGTAGTTTTATTAATACAGTACTATCTTCTAATAAGTGAATAACATGTTATTACAGGAGTTCTTGCTCTAGGATGATCTATTGTCAGCAACCAAGATGGATTTTCTGACGACCACTTTGGAAATGGATCTGTGGAATTTGATATGAACAGTGATAATTTGTTGAATATGGACAGTAATGATTTTGATTGTTTTGAATAATTGTTATTATTGCAGTAATAAAGTATATTAACTGAGTGTTATGTTATGTTAATACAAACAAATCTTGATCTGATAAGATAGACAGTTTGATGTATTTTCTGTCCTTTAGAGTAACTAATAGATAGTAGTTTTATTTGATTCTAAATCATGAAGGATATCTTGAGATTTCTGTGAAGTGCATTCATTGGTCTTTTGGCTTTAAAGATTCATATTTAACCTGAGAAATGCCATATGGCTTACAATATAGAATAGCCCATCATCCAAGCATGTATTTGAAGGATGAGGGGCATTCTATGAGGAAGCCAGGAGGCTTCGAGGGTTAAATTCCCTCCTAAGATATTGTTGTGCAGATGACTATTTTGGTATAGGTTTAACTTGGTAGAAGTTATTTTGAAGTTTTGATAACCCTCCCGTAATTGGACCAATAAATTGAGTTGCTGAACTGTTGAATTTACCATGGATTTGCCTTGTTGCTTAAAAAACAAGGCTTCGGATAAGGTTACACGGGTATTTATAGTACACGGGAGACTGATTTTGTCTACGTGATAAAATCACTCAACTGTAAAAAAGGTCGTATACAGCCTAACGAAAGAAATATTCACATTTAACCCTCGAAGCCTCCTGGCTTCCTCATAGAATGCCCCTCATCCTTCACATACATGCTTGGATGATGGACTATTAATCACTTTGTCTTGCTAAAGATAGTACTAAAATCATGATTTAAAAAGCAAATTTACATTTAATTCTCATATACCTGTACAAAAGACAGATTCACCTTTTCTTAAATGGAGATGTAAATTACAGTGAAACCAACAAAGGTGCTATTAGATAGTACAATAGTTATGATATAAACAAAGAACATATTGAATGCTCATGTAATATTTTACACTAAACATAAAGCAGTAAATGGCCTAAACTTACATAATCATGGATGAAGTGACCTCAGTTTCATGTTCAAGTGGTCAGTATTTAAACTGTTTGAATTGATGTAACATATATAAGTATTTGAATAAGGTATTAACTCAATTAATTCATATTAAACAAGGGCGAGGAAAATTTTCAGTATACTTAAATATTCTCTAACAGTCATAACAGATAGCATTTAATGTCTTTTTCAGGCCTGCTACTAATGTAATTGAAAGTGAGACTATTCGGAGGAAGAGAGAGTATGAATCACAAGAAGTTGTCTTAGATCTGCCACTGGAACCAATAGATGCAGGTCTACAACCTCCTGCCGTTGATGGAGCTAGGGAAATGAGTCTAAATGGATATGACAGTGGGTTAGAGAATGAAATAGATTCTACCTCTTCAGCCAGTGGTAATGCAGAGGATGCTCAACAGGATAAGGAGATTAGGATTGAGACTGTGGTTGAAGGACCAGACAAACAAGATCCCGATATTTCAGAAGAAGCTGGTCCATCTCAAGGTCAGAATGTGTTTACGTTTGATATGGAAACGGGAGACACTGATGATGATATTGATGATGATGAAGTTGAAGACAGCGGAGTTAAAAGACGAAAAAGTTCTAAAAAGAAATTTAGTAGAGATTTGAAGGTCTTTCCTTCTAAGATTGAAACAAGTGATACTGATACAGATGACAATCCAGATCAAAGTAGTTCTCAGAAACATTTAAGTAGAAAAACTGATAGTGAACCGGAAGGAAATCAAGATCAGGAGTCAGGGGAGATAATTCTCACAAAAGAAGATTCAAATTCAGATTTAATACAAAATGTAAATCCTGAAACACTACTTGACCAGACTGAACAAATAAACAAAGCAGAAAATGAGGAGGAGGAGGATATTGAAATAACCTCATTCTGATTGTTTCATATGATTATATGAGTAACCTGAAGATAACCTTTAATTGTCTTGGGCATGTTTTGTAATCATTGTTTCTCATTATTGTTTATATGAAATAATTTACTGCTGGTTTATGCTTCAAAAACAGTCAATTGAAAAATATAAATTATAATTGAAAAGTCATTTCTCAATGATTGAATTGTGAAAAGTGTCTGTTGTTTTAGATAAATATAGTACTGGTATTTTGGATATATAGACAAAAGTCCAAAAGTGAAATAACTACATGCAACTGCAAAAGGAATTAATTTACACCAATGAAAATAAATTCGATTCTATCGACCTTTTTATACAAATAATGTAAGAACTCCGTGTACATTATAATATGGAAATGAAACGTCTCACAATCACTTTATTTGATGTGAACTTTTGTACAATATGAGCATTTTTTGGGTTACACTTGATAATAACTTAGTTTGTAGGAAAGGGGGAAGACATGTCTTTGTGTTAAAACAAAAAATATCAAATTTTTTATTGCTTTCTTATTATTCAACTTTTATACATCATCTTGAATATAGATATAATAATATGATCATAAATGTATGATATTTGATTTAAGACTTTTGTTTATTGATATTGTGAATTTTATAAGTAAAAATGAATATAAGTCATAAGTTTTCCTACTTTGTAACTGCAAAACATAAAATGACAAATAAAGGTTTCATATAGAAATAAGGAGATGTGATATGATTGCCATGCATAATTTTTCATGAAGGTATTTTTTTTAAATTCAGAATCAAGTTGCTAAGATGGACAGTTCAGCTTTTATTTTTCCAGTCAACTATATAGCAAAATTTACAAATAGACATTAACTTAGTTCTAATTGATCTGTTAAATATTTTTTAGGAATCAATCCTTGTAACAGATTTATTCTGTGGGAGTTATCCCTTGTTATAGATCTATTCCTTGTAACAGATTTATTTTTTGGGAGTTATCCCTTGTTATAGATATATTCCTTGTGAGAGATTTATCCTTTGTTATAGATCTATTCCTTGTAAGAGATTTGTCCTTTTGGGAGTTATCCCTTGTTAAAGATCCATTCCTTAGGAATTTACACTTGTTACAGTTCTGTTGTTAAAGACTTTACTTTTTTTATTGTCACACCTAATTTGAGTATGCTTGCATCTATATGCTATAACCTTACTGTAACACTGTTTTTGAGATTGTTGAAAGTAAGCAAGTTTTGAAAATTTTATATTTACTGTCATTCCAGAGATGTGAGACTTTAACCTCCACTATTTTATTCTTGAAACAGGTTCAATATGCATATATCATGTGTTCCTTGTGCCCTGGTACAACTGTTTATTTTGCCTGCTAAAATACCCATGGGAAGAATTTGTATCTGGCATTGAATTCAAAGTAAGTCAACATAATTATATTCAAATATGGTCAACTTATATGTGTGAGTGATGATAGACTCTTGTATGCCAACATGTGTTTATGCTTGCTCAGTATATGTCAGAGTGCAATATTTGATTTCAACCTGAGTGCCTTGATTAACAATTAGATATCTAATATCTATAGTCTATTTTTTGATAATATATATGATATGTTGATATACAACTTGTTTGTAATTTTTATAAATTGATGAATTAGAAAATATACATTTTTTACATTTAATGTTTTTTATTAATTGTGTGCAATTGTCCTATTGACCTTTGTGGCTGAATTGTCTTGGTGGATTCTTACATTAGAGGTGGCTTCAAGACTGCACCCCCTAAAATCTCAATCTTGTTGAACAATATTTAGGATTGTACCCCCTACCTCAAATTCTGGATTTGCACCTGCATACTTGTACAATTTACTTCAGTAGTTTTTTCTCATCTTGTCATAAGTCATTTGCAAATTGATTTGGTTTGGCAGTTATGAAAGTTACAAATAATTACTGCTGTCAATCAACTTTAAACAGAGTACCCTGGACATCCACATCTGCAGCCATACAATTTGATGTGCATTTGTCTCTTAAAGACACTAAAACTGTGCCATTAGGCACCTTAAAATTAGATCACTTTAACCTTCTTTAGATGCTCATTCAATTATGCTTTACATTTAACTTCAGATGTCTCAGATCATAAGTGTCCTATTTAATTTGGGCGGGGAAAAGTGGGTACCTAATTTATATAATCAACTTTTCCTACAGTTTTCAACCCAGATCTCTAAAACTTCACAGGAAGATGCACATATGTTGAAGTTGTGCACCTGATATTATGGAATTATTTGAGGATTTTTTATGCCCCGCCGTAGCGGAGGGGGCATTAAGTTTTACCCTTGTCCGTCTGTACGTACGTCTGTCCGTCCGTCCGTACGTCCCAAAATTGGTTTCCGTTCTCTAACTTGAGTTTGCCTCAACCAAATGTTATGAAACTTATACACAATGCTTATTATCAAGTATGAATTTTGGTGGCGTCACTTTAATCGTTCTAGAGTTATGCCCCTTTATAAATGGAAAAATTGCAAAATTTTTAGTTTCCGTTCTCTAACTTAAGTTTGCCTCAACCAAATGTTATGAAACTTATACACAATGCTTATTACCACAAAACACAGATCAAGTTTGAATTTTGGTGGCGTCACTTTAATTGTTCTAGAGTTATGCCCCTTTATAAATGGAAAAATTGCAAAATTTTTATTTTCTTCTAAATATCAAGTAATTTTTAAAATTGGAGTTATCTTTCTTTGTCCATGATTATAGTTGAATCAACTACAATCAATGCTTTATATAATGAAATGTTTAATTTTGACTTCCACTGATAAAACACAGATCAAGTTGAATTTGGGTAGTGTCACTTTAACCATTATTGAGTAATGCCCCTTTATAAATCAAAAGATTGCAAAATTTTTAGTTTCCATTCTGTAACTTAAGTTTGTCCCAACCTAACATTATGAAACCTATACACAATATTCATTACCACAAAACTAAGATCAAGTACAAATTTTTTGTTTCCGTTTTCTAACTTTAGTTTGCCTCAACCAAATGTTATAAAACTTATACACAATGCTTATTACTACATAATACAAATTAAGTACAAAATTTGGTGGCGACACTTTTACCATTCTTGATTATGTGCCTTTATAAACATAAAAATTGCTGAATTTTTTAGTTTGTCTCAACCAAATGTTATAAAACTTATACAGAGTTATGCGTGTTAACAAATAGAAAAATTGCTGAATTTTTAGTTTCTGTTCTCTACTTAAGTTAGCCTCAACCAAATGTTATGAGACTTACACACAATGCTTATTACCACAAAACTCAGATCAAGTTCAAATTTGGGTAGCGTCACTTTTACCGTTCTTCAGTTATGTCCCTTTATAACTATATGATATGCAAGCGGGGGCATCATCTGTGTCCATATGTGGACACTATCCACATTTATTTAGCATATTTCCAGACATTGGGACTTTCAGCAAAATTTAGTCCCACATATTGCATCCCGACCATTTGAGACTTTGACCTATTTTATATTTAAATATTTCTGACCTATTTTATATTTAAATGTTTCAGACCTTATTTCAAATGGGATCCAGTTTTTCATGCAGCCACAGCAAACTACCATAATAGTTCCCTGCTAACCACAATAATAGTTGATCAATCTGGAATTATGTACAGTAAGCAGAAAAGTCTGTAATGATTTGACCAAGTCTTTGGGAACACTTCTTGTTTTTTTCATAGTTGATGTTTACTGCTCAAATAATACTAGTTCCAGCAGAGATATTTTCTATACATGGGATATAAAGGTACAGATTTTTATCCCATGACACTAAAGTCTGGAATATCTTTTTTTTATGCTAGATAGTGGAGACAAACATTTTGAAAAGCAAAAATTATAAAATATTTGAGGCATAAGCACCAAAAAAGAACAGCCAAAAGGGTCTCAGGTTTACTTTGCCTGATCGAGTTGATACTTTATTCTCAGTACACTACAAATATATTATTTCTGAACAGAAAATTGGACCAATAGTAAATGTATAAAATATGACTGAAAGAAGATGTTGAACAATTTGCAGACCACATTCCATCCTGTAAACTAGAAACAGCCATCTTAAAAGTTTTCATTAGACCTTCAATGATTGGCAAGCACTCACATCATTAAATTATCTTCAAAACTATATATGTTGGAATGACACAAATGGCCCCGCTCTCAAAAAAAGCTTGATGCCATTTTTAGGTGTGGAAATTTGAGAATGAAAATCGGTATAACTGTTTCAGTCCAAAGCCAGTAATTTTGGCACAAATCAGTGGAGTGGAACCAGATGTAAACTCAATCTGTAACTCATCATTGTAAACTCACATACTAAAAATTCGTAAGGGTTCCGCGGAAACCTAGTGTCTCGCCTACTTTTGCTGTTAATCACAGGCTCAACAAAAATGAGGAAAAAAATTAATAAAAATATTCCTCTCTATACTATCTTTTGATTGTAAGTAGCTTCTGTCCAAGTTTGGTAAAAATCCAGGATAGTTTATGAATCTAATAAATGTTTTAAAAACCTTAACTGCAGACTGTATGTAATGTTAACTGGAAGAAAAACTAAGTCCATTTATAAGTAATATACGGAAAAAATTGAACAAAATTTTAACAAAATTTCCTTCTAGATACTAGCTTTTGATCATAAACAAGCTTCTGTCCAAGTTAGTACAAATCCAGGATAGTTTAAGAAAGTTGTTAAAATTTTAAAAACTTTAACCACAGAGTGAATGTAATGTTAACTGGCAGAAAAACTAAGTCCATTTATAAGTAAAATACGGAAAAAATGGAATTTTTTTTTTACAAAATTTACTTCTGGATACTATCTTATGATCATAAACAAGCTTTTTTCCAAGTTTGGTAGAAATCCAGGATAGTTTAAGAAAGTTTTTAAAATTTAAAAACTTTAACCACAGAGTGAATGTAATGTTAACTGGCAGAAAAACTAAGTCCATTTATAAGTAAAATACGGAAAAAATGGATTTTTTTTTTTATAAAATTTACTTCTGGATACTATCTTATGATCATAAACAAGCTTCTTTCCAAGTTAGGTAGAAATCCAGGATAGTTTAAATAAGTTATTAAAATTTCAAAAACTTTAACCACAGAGTGAATGTAATGTTAACTGGCAGAAAAACTAAGTCCATTTATAAGTAAAATACGGAAAAAATGGAATATTTTTTTTACAAAATTTACTTTTGATCTGTCCAAGTTTGGTAGAAATCAAGAATAGTTTAAGAAAGTTATTAAAATTTCAAAAACTTTAATCACAGAGTGAATATTTGTGGACGCCGCCGACGACGACGCCGACGGAATGTAGGATCGCTATGTCTCGCTTTTTCGACAAAAGTCGAAGGCTCGACAAAAATCAGCACAATATGTTAAGGCGTTTAGAAAAAGTCGATATAACTTATTTTCACAAAATTTTCAAAGTCCATAGCCCCGTAATATCAGCAAAAATCAATGAAGCGGAACAAAACCTAAACTCCATCTGTAACTCATCACAGTAGACTCGCATACCAAAAATCAGCTCAATATGTGAAGATGTTTAGAAAAAAAGTCTGTATAACTGTTATTTTCACAAAATGTTCAAAGTACAAAGCATGTTGTTTCTTCAAAAATCAGCGGAGTAGAACCTGATCTGTAACTCGTCATAGTAGACTCACATACTAAAATTCAGCTCAATATGTGAAGGCTTTTAGAAAAAAAAGTCGGTAGAACTGCTATTTTCATGAAATTTTCAAAGTCCAAAGCCTGTAATTTCAACAAAAATCAGTGAAGCGGAACCAAACATTAATTCGATCTGTAACTCATCATAGTAGACGCACATACTAAAAATCTGCTCAATACGTGAAGGCGTTTAGGAAAAAAGTCCATATAACTGCTATTTTCAGGAAATTTTTAAAAGATGTGACAGCATTTAAAAAAAAAGTCTGTATAACAGTTCGTTGCGGAATGACGGAATGTGTAAAGGGTAAAACTATATGGTCCCGACATCTTTGTTGTGGGGCCATAACAATGGAGACATTTATACAACATACAGCATGGACATTTATTTGAAGGAAGTTCTATATTAAACAATACAATAAAAGGTAGAGGTCACCAAACTTGTTGTCAAGCTACAGCTAGTTCTTCAAATTTCTCATATTGGATTATACACTGAAAAGGCACTTTAATATATTGTGACTAGAAAAAATATATGCTCCTTTCAAATTATTTCAAAAACAGAGAAAAAATGGGTCAATGTTTTATTTGTCTCCCCTTATAAAACAAGGTATTCTAAATTTTTGTTATTCAATCAACACATTTTCTGTCATGTATTTGGTATTTACGATAAGACAAAATCATTCAAACTCATTTAAATGAAAATAAATTGTATTTCTGCATCAAAATTTACTAATTTCAGAAAACAAGTCATTTACAGCTATAACCAATGTCATGGATCCCTGTTACCTCAAGTCTCTCATTATTTTTGTTGTGTTCATGGAGCAAATTATGTCAGCACAGCACACATATAGATAATATCACCACATACAAGCTGTTGATTAGGAATTTTTAAGGGTTTTGTTTATTTTGTTACTGAAATACAGCCACACAATTTTTTTGGGCTCTACACTTTGTACATTGGTGGTTCTTGGCTGAACTTAAATTGAGGAATCTTTCCAAATTTGGCTTAACCAATTATGCAATTATAAAAATATAATAAAAAGTATATGTCACAGACCTATTTTATAAGCTACAGAATTTCAAAATTATTATCAGGGTAGTAACATTATCTTTTATGTGAACTGATAATTTTTTATTTTTTTATTTCATTTCTATTTATTACATAAATACCTTGAAAATGTATTTTAATAAAAACTTGGATAAAAGTATTGGAATATGCACAGAAAGCTACAAACATTTCTAAACTGTAAAAAAAGGTTTTCTGCTGAGGATATGCAATTAGAATTTAAGTCTTAGTGTAATGTATAACAAAAATAAACAAAGAAGGTGTTTTACTCTTCATTTTTATTTCCCATAACTATTGTAAGTAATGAAGACATTTTGATTCTATTTTTATCACAGCTACAGTTATATCCCTAGTCTACATAAAACTCACATAAGTGTTAGAATTTTGATTTATAGCTACACGTTACTAAAAGCATGAATAAGCAAAGATAAGATAATATATTACTTATTTCAATATGCAGTAAAGATTGCAAAAGGATATAAAAACAAGAATGTGTCCATAGTACACGGATGCCCCATTCGCACTATCATTTTCTATGTTCAGTGGACCATGAAATTGGGGTCAAAACTCTAATTTGGCATTAAAATTAATAAGATCATATCATAGGGAACATGTGTACTAAGTTTCAAATTGATTGGACTTCAACTTCATCAAAAACTACCTTGACCAAAAAATTTAACCTGCCCGATCGCACTATCATTTTCTATGTTCAGTGGACCTTAAAATTGGGAATCAAAACTCTAATTTGGCATTAAAATTAGAAAGATCATATCATAGGGAACATGTGTACTAAGTTTCAAGTTGATTGGACTTCAACTTCATCAAAAACTACCTTGACCAAAAACTTTAACCTGAAGCGGGACAGACAGACAGACGGACGGATGAACGAACGGACGCATAGACCGAAAAACATAATGCCCCTAGGTGGGGCATAAAAAGAAATCCCTAACATTAATTTTCGTTATTAGTTTTTGTCTGAAAAGGATACTGCTTGCATTGAAAGTGATCATTGTAAGTGATAAGCACACACACACTCACATTGAAAGTTAAGCGACTAATAATATAAAAAATGAAAAAGAAACTTTTTTTTGTATCTGTAAATTACATCATATTCATACATTTAAGCAGGAAATGTTTGTGAGGTGTTTATATTTTCCATAATTTGCTATTAAAGGGGCATTAGCTGTCAAATTCATGATCACGATTTTGCTTAAATTCTCATATTTGATTCATTACAAACTAAAATGTAAATCCAAATTACAAAAAGTCAAAACGAAACAATTAACAATTAATGCATGGACTTGTTATAATGTATCAGCATTTTGTGCTTATTTTAGACTAGACACCATCTAATTAACCATCGAGATTACCTAAGAAGACTGCCGATAGTCATTCAACCCAATATAAACATAGATATAAATATAAATAGACTGAGAATCACATGGAGTTGTGTAATTTTTCCAGGTCTGTTTGATTTCAGGTCCTAGATATAAAAATATAAATCATCGTTTTACCTGGGTATGAATGATTTCTTGTGGGCCAGATCTGTCAAAGAATTTTTTTTTTTTTTATGGTGGCTCTCTTCTTTCACTTTTCAATGTTGACATCTTCAAACTTTTCTTTTTGGCAATTGAACATGCTTAATGCCACGGATTTACATAAAACCTTCGGCATGCGTAACGCATCTTCAGCTAAGGATCAAGTTAGGGTTATATGAATACGGGTTCAACTGAGGATGAATTATTGACTTGCAAATCAATAATACATTTGTATTTTTTTCTATCTTATTTTGACCAAATTGAACCCAACTGACTGCTTATAGTGAAATAATATTGCATTACTAGTATTCCCAGTGGCGGATCCAGAGGGGGGGTTCCGGGGGTTGGAACCCCCCTTTTTTTGGACGATCAATGCATTTGAATGGGGACATATAGTTGGAACCCACCCTGATTTCACTTTTATAAATGTTTGAAACAAAAACCATAATATTTTAATGCTTTGTCTAAATAACAGCTAATGCTACTTTAATATAAAATCACAAAAATATTGCAAAACGTTTGTGTTTATGGAATACAAAATAACATAGGAAACCACTAAAATTAAAATTTATGCACAAGTTTAATAATTAAAGTTGCTTATTTCAAACTCAGCAAAAATAAACCCATGACTGCCTCACTAATTTTATCATGACTCTCCTTGGTTATGTTATGATTTTAAGTTAAAAATTTAAAAGAACCTCATGTTTGTGTAATCAACTTCATATTTTTATACATGAAATTGAGTTTTCCTTCCATACATATATTTAAAAGTGATAGACTGACAAAGAGTTCCACTATAAAGGAGTAAAAAAAAAATAACACCATGCCAAATTTTGTTGTTTCCTTATTCAAATATTTTTATCAGAAAATTATGCATTGATGACCTAGTGTCAATGTAAGAACAGTTAACAAGTAAAGTGGAAAAAACATTTACAGCCTGAATAAAGGTAAAAGTACTATAAGAAGTTCAAACTATGATGATACAGTGAAAACTTGTGACCATTATGGGCATAAAGCATGTCAATCACGAAATAATGTCTTGATTTCATTAGTTAGTGAATGCCATTTGTAAACAGTAGAACGTGGTTGTGAGGCCTAGATTTCATTGGTCAGTGAATGCCATTTGTTAACAGTAGAACGTGGTTGTGACATCATTTCCTGCCAATGAACCAGATCCTCTCCACGGGCATACATGAAAGATCCAACAATAACTTTTCCATAGATTTCATTTTGGCCTAAATATTTTTTTGGACAGACCATAATGGTGACAACAAAATTACAAGTCTCAATAGGCTGTCCCGCTGTACAGAAGGAGAATGCTTCATTGAACGTTGGGTCTTCAGCAGTGGGTTTGACCATTGTTTTCTTTGATTTGTAAGGTCGACGAGCATGGTTCATCTGAACTTTGACATAAATACCTGAAAATATAAAGGACATGGAGAAAAACTTGTAATGAAAGTAAAGGCTGATAAAAGAACTTTTGTACAAGGGTTTTGTTTATGTGGTTAGATAACTGTTTTCAAACCAGTTAGTGTTCATCAAAAGTCTGATGAATAACTGGATTTCCAACGGAGAAGGGTGATTGATAAATTTCTCGAATTCAAACATATGATGATTTGATTAGGACCTAATGTGTCTATATTATGTCCCAGTTTGATAATAAAATTGGAAAGTTTTTTAATGATTGGTTTACTATAAAAATGACATTTTAATAGAGGAAACCTTTAACATGATAACTTGGAAGCCTTGTTGATTCCGTGTCAGTTACACAGCATGTGTTATTCATATTGACATATTTTACACCAAATTCTGTTAGCAAATTCTTTCAGTAAACATAGATATATATTATTGAATCTGGGTTTGCTGTTTTCAAAGCAAAAATGAAATGGTTGCTGAATCAGATTAAAAAATTATGCAGCCATTTGATAAAAAAAACTTTAGAACCAAATACCGTTAATTTGCAAAAAATGAAAGATCATCTTGCCAAACATGGTCTCTCACACATTTCTGGTCAGGAAGGTATCTAACAATGAACATCATGTTAAAATGTCATTTGAAAACTCTCAGGCTCCAGAACTACTATGTCAAGCTTCCAGAACAAAATTATTTTAGATTATCATTTAGTCACATCTCTGTTTTGCTACACCATTGATTTGTAAGTTTTATATGAAACACACTGTATTTTTTTTACCTGCAAGTTTTAAATATTCTTGCCAGCTAGTTCAGGTTGTTTAACATGACACATATGCAGGTCTTGAAAAATCTTTGAACAACAAAGTCATTTACAAAACACAAAGTCATTTACAAAACACAAAATCATTTACAAAACACAAAGTCATCTCCAAAACACAAAGTCATATACAAACCACAAAGTCATCTCCAAAACACAAAGTCATCTACAAACCACAAAGTCATCTAAATAACAACATCATTTACAAAATATAAAGTCATCTCCAAAACATAAAGTTATCTACAAAACAAAACTATGTACAATCACATAATAATCTACAAAACAAAAAGTCATCTACAAACCACAAAGTCTTTCACAAAGCAAAAAGCCATGTACAAACCACAAAGTCTACAACAAAACACAAAACCATGTACAAACCACAAAGTCATCCACAAAACACAAAGTCATCTCCAAAACACAAAGTCATCTACAAACCACAAAGTCATCTAAATAACAACATCATTTACAAAATATAAAGTCATCTCAAAACATAAAGTTATCTACAAACCACAAAGTCATCTAAATAACAACATCATTTACAAAATATAAAGTCATCTCCAAAACATAAAGTTATCTACAAAACAAAGCTATGTACAATCACATAATAATCTACAAATCAAAAAGTCATCTACAAACCACAAAGTCTTACACAAAGCACAAAGCCATGTACAAACTGCAAAGTCTTCTACAAAACGCAAAGCTATGTACAAACCACAAAGTCATCTAAAAATACGAAGTCGTCTACAAACTGCAAAGTCTTCTACAAAACACAAAGTCATGTACAAACCACAAAGTCATCTAAAAATACGAAGTCGTCTACAAACTGCAAAGTCTTCTACAAAACGCAAAGCTATGTACAAACCACAAAGTCATCTAAAAATACGAAGTCGTCTACAAACTGCAAAGTCTTCTACAAAACACAAAGTCATGTACAAACCACAAAGTCATCTAAAAATACGAAGTCGTCTACAAACTGCAAAGTCTTCTACAAAACGCAAAGCTATGTACAAACCACAAAGTCATCTAAAAATACGAAGTCGTCAACAAACTGCAAAGTCTTCTACAAAACACAAAGTCATGTACAAACCACAAAGTCATCTAAAAATACGAAGTCGTCTACAAACTGCAAAGTCTTCTACAAAACTCAAAGCTATGTACAAACCACAAAGTCATCTAAAAAGCACAAAGTCAGCCACAAAACACAAAGTCGTCGAACATAAAATCATGTTAAAATATTCCCCAACAAAGCATGTCAAGTAACAATTCGTACAAGATTCTTTTTGTCATGCTGGGACTATTATCTGTGTGATAGTTTCGGTGGCATTGTAGTATAGTTATTATCAAAAGTATGTAACAATCAGTAGATATAAGCAGTCACAACAATATCCAGTGTAGTAAGTTATAAATTACTAACGGTTCAGGTCAAATCACAGTATAGTAAGTTATAAATTACTAACGGTTCAGGTCAAATCACAGTATAGTAAGTTATAAATTACTAACGGTTCAGGTCAAATCACATTGTACAACAAGTAAGAATATACAAAGGAGATAAATATATCGAAGGACAGACAACCTCCACTGATTGTCAAAACAAAACAGACTAAGAGACAATAACACTACATACACAACTATTGACTAAAGTCGAAATTAAGCAACACAAACCACATAAAACTGGTGGAATGAACTGATCCGCAAGGTAAGTAACAACTGTTCCTCTGGTTCCACCTATATAATCACTTTTGTTTTAATGACTTATAAGGTCCGCATGTATAACATTTTACCGTCTATAGAACATAATTCTACTTTACCAACCGTTTATCATGTCATAATCCAAATGACGCAGGTGTCGTGCATTCAGAATGATAACTTTGATCTTGTCATTGCTTGGAAGGTAACAAAGTCCTATATGTAAATCTCCTAGGGCATTACATATCTGAAATCACAAATTACAATGCAAAGCCACGAATTCTTGTCATTGATTGAAAGGTAACATACTCCTATGTTTATCTTCTAAGAAATAACATATCTAAAGTCACAAATCACAATGCAAAACCATGAATTCAAGAGGTATGAATTGGTAAAAATTACCACCCCCCCCCCCCTCCCCTCATAGAAAAAAGAATTGTGCTTCACTTAAACTGCCTTGGCCAATGATTTTTGAGGTATATAAGTTTTATTCTTTTCCGTTGTACAAAGATTTGCGGGTTAGGTTAAAGCTGTTTTTCTGACCTTTTGGATTATTTAAAATCGACAAATCAAATTGTATGTAATTAATATTTGTGTTTGAGATATTATCTATTTCTACAAACACATAAAAGCAGAGACATATAATACAAATTGTATTATATGTCTCTGATAAAAGAATGAAACTATTAACATTTAAGTGGAAAACCAGAGTTTTGAATAAGTTTTAAAAAGTATGAAAATACCAAGGAACAAGTGGTTAGACATTGAAGAAATATTCAAATTATCATAAAATTTGGAGTGACTGTCTGATAGATCTGCAATCGCTTACATGGCACATCCTACGTCTACTATAACACTTATGTTATGATAGTCTCAGGCACAACTCACCATTACAAAGTTCCACGGCAGATACCAAATTATTCCATGATTCAGAAGCTGAGTAATATGCGAATTGCCTGTTCTTTGACAAAGTGTTAGCACAACTTACATATCGTGTGTACTTATGAGACGCAGATTTAGTCAAAATTATTGTATACTCTACAACTAAAGAAACGCACCACCTCCATTGGTTTTTTTGGAGTAAAAATTTCTATTGCATATAACTTTTTGAAAAATGATTGAAATGGGTCCAAATTTTGACACAACGTTCTGAATTACCATTTCATTATTTTTTTTTTATTTTTGACATCTCCAAAGACACAGTTTTACCCCCCCCCCCAAAAAAAAACAAAATATGTTGCCATATTTATGAAACTAAAGTCCTCTGTATCTTTTCACATGAAAACAACGAAAATGACTTTTGATTTTCAATTTCTTAATCGCATTATTATCTAATGACCAATTGAAATTGACTTACTCTCAGACTGATTAAAATCTCCATTGTTCTCACTATAAGGAAAAATTCTTTAAATGCTCTGCATTAATTTCAAGGTTGTGCTTCAAACATGATGTCTACAAATTTGTAGCAAAACAAGAAATTGTGAAACTAATATATCTGGTAAGATGTGGTAGGTTATTCGTATTGTTAAGTATTTTTAAACATCTCCTGTAATATTTACTCTACTTGAGACCTTAGAGTGAACTCTTTTGGTTCCTGCTTATTTTGGTGTTGCTCAATACATGAAAGAATCCGGTCATAAGTAACATTCGATAATCATCATAAACGCAGAAAGGGATTTGGCTATAACAATCAGAACATATCTGTGGATATTTGTGCCACAGATTTTATTGAACTGTCAACCAAGTCATTGGTGCATCAGTACAACTTTCGAACAAATTACTTCAAATCATTATGAACCATAGGGACCGTAAGCTTCTCTGGACGAGCAACCCTTGATTAAGGAAATAAAATAGAAAATGTAAACACTGCAGTATCCTATATAACTGTGAGATAAAGACCAGAGGTGCTGTTGGAATGTTGCTACGTAAATATTGAAAGTTCACAATGAGGAAAATAACTGAGCCATTTAGTTCATAGATATAAGAAGATGTGGTATGAGTGCCAATGAGACAACTCTCCATCCAAGTAAAAATTTATAAAAGTAAACCAACCTGCTTTCAATGCAAGTTAAACTATGAAAAACTGTATCTTTGGTATCCCTTATTTAAAGGAATATACGTAAGGGATACCTGCAATTAACAGAGTCGACAAACGTTGAATTTATTGAGTGAATCATCGGTGTAATTGTTCAAATCTTTTGGCATCCGAAGATCGAAACATGGATAATTTTCCATCGAAATGTGGTTCTTTTTCAGAACAAATGGTATCCACTTGTATATTTTTGAGAAAATTTATTATTTCGCCAAGATAAGATAATGACTGGGGTCTTTTATTCCTAGTGTATGTTGATGGCCCATCGTAAGTTCCGTTTTACGATCTGAAACTTGAAGAATCTGAGTTACTAAAATAAACACTCACATGAGAGTTGGGTTCCAAGTCTCGCCACATTGTGACAACTTTTGTCTTGTCAATATCGCATAATGGAATAAATGCATGACCAAGGACGTGCCTCAAGCGACGTCTGTCCACGTCATATACGGAAAATCTCAGTGTACATTTGTCTATATCAACTGTCGACAGCTAAAATGTAAAACCTCGAATAAGTCCAGAAACATCCTGAATGTTGAGTTCGAAGATTAAATCAGCAGTGCATGTTCATAAACATAACACTAGACATATTTCAAATGAATAAGGATTCATATGATTATCATGTGTGTTTACATAAAAAAAACAAAAACAAATGAAGACTAAGTTATCATTAAATAGAGAAATGTACATAACTAATAAATAACACAGTTATTGGCTTCTAGAAAATGATAATGAGTTTTTATAACATTCCTTTGATGCCGGAAATAGTAAATTTCTAAGAACGGCGCTTTGATTTCCAGAAAACAAGCATTATCTCAAAATTCCTTTGTTGTTTGTGAATATTAGTAAATGACATGCTTGCTGTCGTACTGAATTCATGGCTTTTCTATAGAAAATCATATTACTCACTTTTATACATACATATATATATGTCTTCAATGGCAAACTTTTACACCATTGGACTACTTATTTCACCAGGAATAATTGTGGCATGAAAATTAGCCTGGGATCCTGTCTCACTGCTCGGCAGCAGACGAGGTACTGACGCGATGAGGAGATTTGGCCAGGATGCCAGGCTACATGAAAATTAAATCTATTTAACTGCACGAAAATTATGACATGGGAGACAACTCTTTTAGACACTATGGAAAATATGATACAACAGAGTGTTGATACACATTACTGCAATTGTAACTTTTGAGATATCCTTTTGTTACAGAAGGGTAAATTGTGGCATGAAAAAAATTGTGACATGTAAGTTTATTCCATTTGACATACAAAAAAATATTACGTGGAAGGAAACTTTATTTGACACTTTAGAAAATGTTAACATGGGAGATAACTCTATTTCAGACTACTAAAAATGTGACATGGTAGATTACTATTTCAGACAATAGAAAACTGTGACATGGGAGATAACGCCATTTGAGAGTACAGAAAATTGTGACATGGAAGATAACTCTATTTGAGACTACAGAAAATTGTGACATGGGAGATAGCTCTATTTGAGACTACAGAAAATTGTGACATGGGAGATAACTCTATTTCATAATATGGGTAAAAATTCTGACATGGGACAGCTATTTGACAAATAAAAAAATATTTTTGATAAAAAAGAGCTAAAAGCTCCAAGGGAGTAAATCAAAAATCATAATTTGAAGAAAAATGCATACAAAATATCAATTCAATGCAACCATATGTGTAGACACGTTTGCGGTCATATTTGACTTCAATCCACAGGCACTTGTCTCAGAAAAAAAAAATCCTATATGCCTTTATATTAAGGTATATAGGGAAATAAAATTTCTGAGACAAGTGCCTGTGCTTCAATCTTGTTATACCTGGAAAATGAATGTCTCGTTGTAGATAGGAGTTAGGGTTTTCTTCTTTACTTTTGATGTTTTTGAATTCCTTTCATCTGGCAGCAAAAATATTCTCACAAACGGGTCTCTAAGTTGGCCATTTCTACGACCTGTAATATTATAATCACACTTCAATTAGTGGAGGGTGTTGCGATAGATCAATACACAGAAAAATATCACCCGATTCAAAAAGGTTGTTACGGTGGATTACTACACGAAGACACAATCTTCCGGGACGAAGTCGAGGGTTATATTTTTTCTGAGCATGGTAATATAAACACCACCCATAAAAGACATTTCATATTATATCACACTGAATAACCAACGAATGGTATACCGTTTTTATTGGGGTATATCGTTTCTGCATATAAATGGAATAGGATCCCAGTCACAGGATACCAGTCCAGTACCCACGAATGAAGTCCCTTAATAAATCTACTATCTTTTAAATGGGATATTGGACCGAGATGAGTATTTTGTAAAGATGTTTAAAATTGTAGTATATCTATAGGGTATTCCTTAAACTTTCAACTTCTGTTAAATTTTAAGTAATTCTGAAATGTATAGGGTGGATGATTGTCTCAGTGAATGGTCCAAATTTTATTTTTGATTTTAACCAGTAAGTTGATAATATGACCCTATTAATATTCAAAACAGTATTGCTCTCTTAAATGCCGGTCATGACCCTCCAAGAATTTTCCAAGAAACCATGAAGGGGGTTACTAGTAAGAGAAAGTAACTGAGATTTTGCAGTCTAATATAGGGAATAAAAATTCTGTCCCTCAATTTGGATAAAATTGCATTGAATTAATGGGGGAATTAATTGGGTCCCCGTTCCAAATGGTAAGCTGGCTAATGGTTGGTTAAAAATCTAAATCTCAATCTATCACGGGAAAACGGATTATTCAAGAAATTTGCATAAAGTATAATGTCGATTTGTTGCATATGTTGACCTCGTATGTTTGTCTAGTTTTATACAACATAGATATTCCGACATTTACATGCTTCAGAATATTTCGATGTCCCCCAATTTCATCATTAGAATCATCATTAAACTAATAGATCATCACTTCAATAGTGTGCAAACTTTAATCTGTAACGGCCTTCAGATCACCGACAGCTTGAAATTTACTCTAGACGGCCTTGCGTTGAAAGTGAAACCGACTTTTGAATTGTCACAACTGTATGGAAATTCGTTGACTTTGGTCGATAACATCTGTTGTGTTAATGTATGACAATTTATTACTAATCTTCATTGATTCATTTTCCTTTGTATGTTGATAAGTGAATGAACTAATAAGCTTAAATTTCATTCAATATCTTAAAGTAATGGGACCTTTGATTCAGGATAACCCTCTCCCATCACCACCCCACCCCACCGCACCTCACACGCTCTTTTTTAAACTTAGAATCGGGTTTTGAACACTCACTAATAAAGACCAAGGTTTATTTTTCTTCTGTTGTTTCCATACGAACCCCTATTTTTGAACAAGTTCTTGGTATAAAAGCACAAAATGACAACCAATGATCTCCGATTTAAGCCATCATGTCCATTCTGTTTGCAAAACATCTGAGATAGAAGTGTGGTCTTGGGTAGAATGAAATTGGAGGTTAGACCTTTTGGAAAAGGTTGTTCAGTTACGTTTTAAGACTGCATGGAGATAGCGTATTATGATCTATTATACTTTAGGATAAATTAAGATAAGATATTTTTAATTAAGACTGAAAAGGTCCATATATATATATATATATACATGACACAAAATATTCTGTTTAAACAGGATAAAGTGTTAAGATAGTTACAGTATCAATAATATTCAAATATTCAGATATACATGTAACTCATTGTACAATATTCTTAACAATGTTAGAAAATACGATAAATCACCACTGATAATCGTATTAACCGATAAATCACTACTGATAACTATATTAACCGATAAATCACAACTGGTAACTATATTAACCGATAAATCACTACTGGTAATTGTATTAACCGATAAATCACTACTGATAATTGTATTAACAGTACGATTTTCAGATACTTTCAAGCGATTTAGCTGACTGAACATTGCCTTTCGCCTAACTTCCATGAAAGACATAGCTTCTGGTCTTTAGAACATGTTTATAGAAATAAGATGTTGTGGTATGATTGTAATTATGTTCAGATAATATTCTTTGATTAAAAATATATCACACGCTTGTATCCGTGCTGACATAATGTGTATATTGTAACCTTTAAAATAATTTATCCTTTTCACTCCCCTCCAGGGGTGAATGTGGGGTAGGGGGGAGTATTCAATTCATAAAAAAATTCTTAAAGGTACTAAATAATAGATTCATAGTAAGGAATGATATTTCTATATCCAATTCCTTTTTTTAAAGCTAGAGGCGGTGGAATATTTGTGTTTAAATGGTTGTCTATAATTATTTACATATAATCATATTAAAAATCCGAAAATTAAGAAAAGAAGTCAAGCTGACAGTACCTGATAATTCTTTGACTTTTATAAGTTTCACATTCAGTTGCTCCACAGCTCCATCGTACACCAAGGCAAACCATATTCTACCATGTTCACTGGGCGGGAAAGCTCCAGAGTCATCGTCTGATTCACTTGGGGGCCTAGAAATTCAAATTTAACAGTGTATTTCATTTATTTACTTTTACTTTTTTGTTTGCTCGGGAAACTCTTGTACTACTTAATTTCTTGAAATTATATAAATCAAATATATACAATTATAAATTTTGATTTATTTATACTGTTTAATAAAAAAAAATGTCGCTAGGCACATTCGACATTATTTCATGAATAGGAAGGTAAAATTCGATTGCATAAAAGAATTACCTATATAAATCTGGTCTGATTCCAACACAGTTTTCGGGTGATAGAAAGGTAATCTGTCCACTTTCATGGTCTCCGTAGGGTTGTATTCGTTCAGGGGGCAGAATGAAGTCGGGTACACATGCCGAGGTAGCTGAACGTACCATAACATTCCGTGCATCCACATGAATGTCGGGACATGATTTTCGCTTTGGAAATTTTGGAGAGGCTGACCTATTGAAATTCAAATCATGAAATACAGTTGCGAGAATTTTTTTGTGTTATCACGTCTAATGTTTCATTTCAATGTAAAAAAAACATGTTTTTTCTGTTACAAATCACATTGTATTGTTTTGTGTGTATACATGTCATGTTGCCCATCAAGGGCCCTTGATTGGAATAATAAATATTCTTATTCTTATTCTTATTTTTATTCTATTAAATCGGGATTTAAATGCAATAAAACATAAGCGGTCTTTTTTTTTTCCTGTGATGAAATCATGACTTATTTCCTGTAAAATTGAATTATAGGTATACGTTACCAGTATTTAAATTGCAAATTACAAACAAAATGTTTTACTGTTTGATGAAGTAAGAAGTTTTAAATGAAACCTTATCATTTTTAATATCAGATTTTGCTTGAAATTTCAAATTCAATCATTTCTCGAAAAAGCAGGTTTTACTGTTTTCATTTTGTGTAAATAAGCAGAAATCTATTTTCTAGTCAGCAGTGTCTTGGGTCTAAGCTATCTGTCATAGAACTGGTGTTTAGATGTAACGATTTTTTGTTTATTTGTTTAGATTTCTTTTTATTTGTTTGTTCGTTGGAGTTTGTTGTTTTGTTGTTGTTTTGTTGTTGTTTTTTTTTGGGGGGGGGGGGGATAGATTGAATTCAATACTAATTAGAATAATGAGTAACGTTATACCTAGATATTGGTGCTGATTTAGAGGTCGATCCATCGTCTAGATCGTAATATTCGAAATTCCATGATTTTCGTCTTAGGTGTTTTCTGTAGATGATAACAACAACGACTACAGCCACCAGAACGAACACACCACTCAGACTACCAATCACAATACCAAGAATTTCTCCTGCTCAAATAGCAATGGTAAAATAACCTTTTAAGGCGTCTTAATAAAAAAGTTGGAAAACACTTAAACATAAATAAATATATATACTAACAATCTAATTAATTATTGTTAAGCGAGGAGTTAGGAGTTAGGACGCACTAAAATGGTTTTACAAGGCATGGGAGAATTCAAAAATATAATTATTTTTATTATAATTTTAGCACCAATCAGAAAGCAAAAACGATAGCTCGGAGCCCTTTTAAAATGGGAAATGAGTATCAACAGTTCGTGCATTAAACGGCCAAATTGACAAAGAATATAAAAATAAGAAGATGTGGTATGATTGCCAATGAGACAACTCTCCACAAGAGACCAAATGACACAGAAATTAACAACTATAGGTCACCTTTAACAATGAGCAAGGCCCATACCGCATGTGATGAAAATCGACAGAACTATAAGTGGTTCCGTTGATAAAATATAGGTTCAATAAATATGTGCAAGCAGTTTCTTGCAAACTGTCTGTTACACGAATAAATGGTCAGATTATATCGTGGTTGATCAAAAAACAGTAAAAGGAATCTGCATATAGAAAAAAAATTTCGTCACTCTGCATGTTATCAGGGACGTCTTACATTTTTACAAGTCAAACTCCCTGAATGTGGATGATGATAAATTTTCCGATAGCGTCTTATCACATACTTCCAAGAACTTCACAATCTTTCTCGCTATAGAAAAATTTTCTTTTTGAACATTATAAAATTGCGTCCACTAATGATACTTTAAATATGAAGTTTTCACCTGAAGCACGCTGAATAGAAGACAAATTACAACATTAGAGATTTGAAATTGAAATATCTGTATTTTATGACGGTGACCCAAACAGGTGTAGTCAATAACTTCAGATCAATAAAACTTTTATCTTGAATTTCCATTGAATGAGATATATATGGAGAAATTATTAGAAGTAAAACTAATTTTCTCCTCAATAACCGTTATCATAAATAAAATTGTAATATATATATTACTGTTTCTTTTTATTCCAAATATAAAAATAAGTCAATATCCACTGGGTAAAGTGTTTCTTTAATTTGGAAAAAAATCCATCAATTCAAATCAAAGCTTTGCTGTGTTCGAGTCGCTTTTACGGATTAAATTTCAGCAAGGACGCTCAAGTAACAATGCCGGACAGTAGAAGTGAAATTAAATTAAAACGCGAAGAAAAGTTCGACATTTATAGACGCCTGTCTATTAATGACACGTTGCACTCTATAAGTCTTTTGTTATGTTTGTCGTTTGGTTAATGTCTGATTGACTATTGTCTGTCAACAATGGTATCGACTCAGCTTGGTAGTCTGTCAACAATGGTATCGACTCAGCTTGGTAGTCTGTCAACAATGGTATCGACTCAGCTTGATTGTCTGTCAACAATGGTATCGACTCAGCTTGGTTGTCTGTCAACAATGGTATCGACTCAGCTTGATTGTCTGTCAACAATGGTATCGACTCAGCTTGATTGTCTGTCAACAATGTTATCGACTCAGCTTGGTAGTCTGTCAACAATGGTATCGACTCAGCTTGATTGTCTGTCAACAATGGTATCGACTCAGCTTGATTGTCTGTCAACAATGGTATCGACTCAGCTTGATTGTCTGTCAACAATGGTATCGACTCAGCTTGATTGTCTGTCAACAATGGTATCGACTCAGCTTGGTAGTCTGTCAACAATGGTATCGACTCAGCTTGATTGTCTGTCAACAATGGTATCGACTCAGCTTGATAGTATTGTTACTAGCTAAGCACCCATCAGGCAACATTTTTGGATCTCCCGTCAATTTGCATGAAAATAAATATCGTCCGTGGAATAAAAATAAAAATAAGGAGATATGTAGTCTGATTTCTATGCAATAAGACAAGTATCCGCTAGAGACCAAATGACGTAGATGTAAGCAATTATAGGTCAATGTTGGCATTTATATGGAATATGATTTGTATGAGACAACTCTCCACCAGAGACCAAATGACATAGAAGTTTACAACTATAGGTCACCGTACGGCCCTCAACAATGAGCAAAACCGATACCCCATAGTCGGCTATAAAAGCCCCATAAATGACAAATGTAAAACACTTCAAACGAGAAAGCTAACGGCCTGATTTACGTACAAAACAATAAACGAAAAACAAATATGATATACAGCAACAAACGACAACCACTGAATTACAGGCTCCTGACATGGGACATGCACATACATAATGTGGCGGGATTAAACTAGTTTGTTTAGGCCAAACCCTCCCCCTAACCTGGAACAGTGGCGTAAGAGTACAACATAAGAACACACTTAAAATCAGTTGAAAAGGGCTTAACTCATCAGATCGATACAAAGCAAAAAAAAACATATAACACAGATCGGACGTGGCAGGGTATTTATACATCCCCACCACAAAAAAAACCCAAAACAAAAAACTACGTACAAATCTGAGAGTACTCGCAGTTACTGACATCTAGTTCAAAGCCAATAACAATTAACGAAAAAAAAAATTATGCATCTAAGACTAAAATATCAATAAGTACACATCCAACATTCAATGGATTTAGTATAAAGACGTCATTAACAGTCAGAGAAAAACATAACCTTGTGTAATGCCAAGTGATACAGGCATCGACAGATTGTAGAGCCATGAATGTGCATATGAATATAAAAATAATATTTAGTTTGATTTTAATTTACGGATAACAAAATCAATATTTATACCAATAAAAACAATATTCAAAGATCTTATAAAAGTGTTAAATTGGTAACCTTTTAGAATCAGTTTATTTAAAGAATCGATAAGTTTACTGGGATCGTATCTAAACTTCCGGGCTTGGTAAACAACATCTCCGTAAAAATTAGGATGTGCTATCCCGCTTGAAATAAGTTTTCTAGAGGTACAGCCAAATTCCCAACCCAATTTTTTGTATCTATGGAAGAATTTAGTAAAGGTTTTAAGTAATGTTTGGAAACGAAATTCCTGACTTAATAATTTACCAGTAATATCATCGTCCAAAAAAGGAAAATTAACAATAGGGAACGAGAAACCGTCCCTGTTGTCGTAAATTCTAGTGTAGAGTTTCCCGTGTGAAATATCTAAATCTAGGAAAGGACAGTTATTATCGTTTATATTTGATTTATTTAAAGTTCCTTTTGGTTAAATTTCGGTAGTATATTTCGAAAATTCTTGATTATTTAACGAAAAAATATCATCAAGATAACGGTAAGTGTTGTTGAATATATCAATTAAATGCAATTAAGAAGGGTCTTTACTAAGTTTAGTCATAAATGCATTTTGATAAATTATATATTCTTGCCTTTAGAATGTAAACGCTAATTGTGTCACGATTATATACCTAATATTCTATTTAAACATTTTATATTCACAAAAAAAAATCACGATATCGTCACAAAAATTCACTCACATGTTTTATTCAATAGAAAAACAATTCTTTCGTGATAATACGTATAAAAATCTTATTTAAATGAAAAGAAATATCAGCTAATTTTATGGCTATTGTACTTTTTATATCTCAATAAGCCTGCTTTGATTTTCATACTTTAGCATAGCATTAAAATTGTGTATTTCCGAATATCACGAAAAGATCAATTTTGTTCATGGAAAAATGAGGACAATATATCATATAAACACATGGTTAATTTAATTAATCAAATGACACAGAGTTCCAGGGGCTCATCTTACAATCAAAACTATTTGTATGTTGTAATGAAATTTCATTTTTACTCTTAAAATTTGTTGTAAAAACGAGTTGCAGTTTAGCTGAATTAGGAGTAATTTTCCCAGTTAATCAATGAAACTAAAAAACGATTTTACGTGACAGCTAGTTGTTCTGAATATGTATGAAATATTTGCCAATGGGCGTTAAGCAACAATCAATCAATCGATCTTAATTTCTATAGTTAAAATGATGGTAAACAAGACTCATTCATTGAATAAGTTCATATACTTGATGACGACATTTTAGGTATTCCGTACCAGACCACTGTCTATAGTTTCAAAATTTTAAAGAAATTTAATTTCTTTTTTTTTAATACTATCGACGAAATGACATTTCAATTTCATGTAATTTATCAAACTTCATTAAGGAGATATTTGTTTTCTAGTATTTCGATAATGTAAAATGCGCTTTTGATCAAAGTTTACAACATATGTATAATTAATACGTCTTGTTTCAGATGAAACCCTCAATTTTTAACTAGGAATTACTTCACGTTTTATTATAGACTTACCTGTTAACAAGACCCCGGAGTCTGTTCCTGGTAAAGAGGTGGCAGCTGATTCTGCAGCAATTCCATTTGACTTACTGGAAATCCTAACAGCTTCCATACCAATCAAATAGCTCCCATATTTACATTTAAAAAGGTGAAGTGGTCGTACACTTCCACAGAAGACGTGTACAACACTTCACTATCTCAATGAAAAAGAAGGTATAGTACATAAATAAAGATTAGAAATAGTCGATACTGTGACGTCAACATCTGGTATAGTTACTATATAAAACATGTTATGCTATATAATTTAAGATTTTCATATTATTTACTATTTTACGTGTTTTTTTATTGTTTGATAGAGTTAAGGAATAGTAGCATATATCGTTGACGCAATCCTATACTTGGGGATGAGGACTCAACTCTATATATGGAGAAAAGCTAAGTCGACATAAGCATTGTATGAAATAATGTATAGAATATTTTTATACACGTATTTTGCGGTAGATTACTATGAAAAAAGAATAGGGCAATAAGGCCCTGTTTGGCCTAAATTTTGTGCTAATTAAAAAGTTATCATACATGTCCTTAACTTTGTCCTTGATATACTTAGATACAAGGTGTTTAGACAATAAAAACAATTTTCAAGTGAATTAACGAGTTACCATGGCAACAAATCATGACAAAATATGTATATTTTGTAAAATTTCTTTGATTTTTCTTTTTTTATACATCTTCTTTTAGTATATTTTTGATTAAAAAAAAAGCGCACCTAAAAACAACTTTGTGTTTTGTGATATTATGTAAATAGCTATAATAAAGCTTCTCTGAAATTTTTTTGTTGTTTCTTGGCTGTGTACGTCGTTTCAAGAATTGAAAATCAATGGAATATTGCATAAATTTAGCAGTTATCTTCAAGTTGGTCTTCATGAAAAAGGCGCATATTAAGACGTAATTGTGACATCATATATATAGCTTCAAAAATGGTGTGTCATTCATTTATATTTCTTGATCTTATATAATTCCAAACATTGTACAAAATTTGAAATCGTTCTCAACAACTTTATTTTCTTTTATCATAAACAGGTCGTAATGCCTCTACTTCTTTATACGTCAGAAGATCTACAATCACTGAAAATTGAGAGGTTTGGTGAGAAATACAAAGATGTTTGCCGCGAAATGATAGTATTCAGCGCAACCTTCAAATACTGGCTTTCTTTTTGACTATTTCTTTCCGTCTCAACTGTATAAGATACTTATAAGAGGATAAATTGATATATATATATATATATATATATATGTATATTTAAAACTATTCATTAAACTAAAGATAAAACGTATTAAAAAAATAGCAAAGTACGATCAATAGAATTCCAACTATTTGACATTATCAAAAGCTAGAGAGATCCTGCGGTGGTTATAGATGCGTCCCATCTTTCAGTCAGCATTGATATTTTGTCTGGTTGACAATGATTTTAAGAGCTCCAAAGTGTTCCTCTATTAATAACTATTTTTTTAGTAAAAAATATGTCAACTTATAAAAATTAGGAGATATAATTGAGAGACAATTCCAAATAGACCATGCATAATTGGTAAATGATTAAGCCAAGGATTTCGTTACTACAAATTACTTAAATTCTTTACTATAGTTCATGCTAAGTACACAAATTTCGTTTCTCCGGAAGTTTGGCTGAACTTGTATATATCCTTATTACAAACAGAATATCACATCCTAATGTTAACAGGGATGTTATTTATAGAGTTTCAGTAGCTGCGAGTACTCTGAGATCGGTACTTCGTGTTTTGTTTTGTTTTGTTTTGTTTTGTTTTGTGTTTCGTTTTTAGTGTTTTTTTTGTGTTTTTTTTTTGTGTATTTTTTTTGTGTTTTTGTTTTTTTCTTTGTTATTGTGTTTCGCGTCGATCTGGCGAGTCATGTCCTTTCCGACTGATTTTTACAATCTGTTCTTATACGTTGTGAGGATTGACCGCTCTGACATACATGTTTAACCCTGGCCCATATGTACAATGTTTCGTAGCGAGTACAAATACATTATATTTCCGACAATGTACATATATTGTTCATATGTGACAGGGTTAAACATGTATGTGAGCGGTCAATCCTCTCCATTTTAAGTACAAATAAAGCAAAAAATTATTTGTGTACCTGCTATTTGTACAATGGTTGGCTGATTGCATGATTAACTCGTTTACCTTATGTTTAAATTAAGGGCCTGTATATAGCTGTTGTTATAAAGGTGTTGGTATGGGTTTTACTCGTTGTTGTATGTAATTCGATTGCATATAGTTGTTTATACTCCGTTATTTTGTCTCCGGTGTATAGTTGTCTCATTGACAATCATACCACAATCGTCTAGCCTTCAACAATGAGCAAAACCATACAGTATTATAAGCTATTTTAAAGGCATAACAAAATGTGAAACAATTTAAACGAGAAATCAAACGAACTGATTTTTGCTATTGGTCATTATAATCTGACCCGAAGGATAGAAGTTTTACAAAAGTGACGAAATTATTCGACATCAGATTTTTAAATGTCACTGTTTTCTTTCACAAATTCTATTGAAAACATGTATGACTTATAGGTTCTAAAACCCCTTCCCAGACCAGTTCTACTGCTTTTAGCAAAATAACCGATTAATATGGACAAAATAACATGGTCCCAAGTACCCGCGTGAATTGAAGTGTTTAGCAGAACGCAAAATGCAGGTGACACTGCAGCCCGGGCAGATGATGAAACATGTGAAGTGAAAGAAACTGAAAGTTAATGTTTTATCTCAATTAAACCATATGTATGAAGCACACACAGACGTTTTTTTACTTACATTATTATTTTACTGGTTATAAAAGATGGAATAGGCAGTTGCCTTCTACTCCTCTATCTTATCAGAAGCATGTATAAACCCACAGGCGCGTGGGGAATGTACCCCCTGTTTGTATATTTATATTCTTTTGTGTTTTAATCATTCAGATTTTTTTAAGTGAATATTATTTAATCTTTTAAATCATTTTCACTTATTCAATGTGTTCTTGCAATACTAGTAATTTATGTATGATGCCACTCTATTCTTAGTTTCAACAGAGACATATATATGTTACCCTAGTTTTTAGGGATTTTGCATAATCACTAAAATATATAATCCCTGAAAATGACCAGTGATTTTACATAATCACTGAAGATTTTAAGATTTATTTTACAAATTCCCTGATATTATTTCAGGGATTATCAGTAATGCATTGATACAAAGAAACCCTTTGTTTAATATAAATAGATAAAATATAGAAAAATGAATTATCTTTGAAACATTTCTTATCCTTTGAAGGTTTAAAAGAGAGGCGAAAGATACCAAAGGGACATTCAAACTCATAAGTCGAAAATAATCTGACAACGCCATGGCTAAAAAAGAAAAAGACCAACAGATAAACAATAGCACTCAAAACACAACATAGAAAACTAAAGAATGGGCAACACGAACCCCACCAAAAATTAGGGGTGATCTCATGCAGGCAGGTGCTCCGGAAAGGTAAGCAGATCATGTTCCACATGTGGCACCCGTCGTGTTGCTATGTTAGTACAAACCCGGTAATACAGTCTAATTGATGACAATTGTCCACATAAATTTGACCTACTGAATTATTCAGTAGGTTACATTTATGTGGACAATTGTCATTCCCTGTACATTTATCAAATCTAAAGGGAACAGTTTTCCAATGATATGGTATTTTACTGTGTTAAACTACATTAACTTATAAACATACAATTATTTAACAAAGAAATTAATAATACCAACATTCTCAATACTTCACAGGTATGCAATGAATTTATTGTGTCCCAAAAACAGCGTCAAATGCACGTTCACATGTTCTGAATTTAAATGCACAGCGCATGAAACTTGCCGTATACAAATGCCGATGAAGGCTATTAAACGTCTGTTTTATGTTTTCTATGTTCCAATGAATAAGAAATTCAAACTTCAAATTTGGAGGAGGCAAACATTAGCTGTAAACTTTTAATACCGATTCCGCATACTGATCGTGGAGTCCCAAAAAATAAAATGACCATTGTTCATGAACGGACTGAAAAGGATATTGCCTGGCTACGAAACATAGAATTTTGCTCGATTCCTACACAAGAAATCAATTTGAGGTGGCCGATTCCCTTTTGTGGCACCTTCAGATGTTTCTAATAAACTTTTTTTTCCTCTTTAATGTGAGGTAAAATCAGATTCAATATATTAAGGACAAGATTTTTTTTTTTAAAGTGGATGTTGTTGCGAAAAGAAAAAAAAACGAAAAGCAGAGCATGAAAATGGTTGATTGTTTAATCTGCAATAAAAGATGTCATCCAAGTTTACAATGCAGTTTGTAAAAATAAATGATTTATATCAGAGTAGTGTGCTTACCATTTTAATAGTTATGCTTCTATATAAAGATGTTTAAATATGATTTTTTAGAATGGATAATCAAACTTTTATTCCTTTTCTTTTCATTCCATGTATTATGTACAGAGACATATAATACAATATATATAGTATTATATGTCTCTGTATATATAGTATTTTATGTCTCTGTGTATATAGAATTAAATGTCTCTGTATATATAGTATTATATGTCTCTGTATATATAGTATTATATGTCTCTGTATATATAGTATCATATGTCTCTGTATGTATATATAGTATTATATGTCTGTATATATAGTATTATATGTCTCTGTATATATAGTATTATATGTCTCTGTATATATAGTATTATATGTCTCTGTATATATTGTATTATATGTCTCTGTATATATTGTATTATATGTTTCTGTATATATTGTATTATATGTCTCTGTATATATAGTATTATATGTCTTTGTATATATTGTATTATATGTCTCTGTTCTGTATTATCCCGGACATTTTTTTCTAGTGAGTATGCACAATTCTCGAGGCACAATTACTGAAAATTTTAGTGATTATATATAATCCATGACTAAAGTTACCAGTGACTCCCTGAAAATTTCAGGTATTCTACATAATCCCTAATTATACACATTTACCTGTAACATATACACTGTGTTTATATGTGTTTCCACTGGAACTATTTATACTAACTGTTATTATAATAGTCCCAGGTTGATGATGATGGGAGTTTTTAACGACCTTGCCTGGCTATACAGCCCTCAAACGGTCGGCCCTGGCTTGCGCCTTTTGGGGCATTTAAATAATTTGTTTTTACCATAAGGTAATTGAAATAATTTGAGTGATAAATATAAAAAAAACAAAAAAAAACCTAATATGAATAAAAAGTAAAAATGAGCAAAAAGTTTAAAGGATAGAATAGTTAATAAATAAATAAACTGATGAATAAATGAATAAAATAGAACTTAAATAAAATAATAGAATATAAAAAATGAAATTTGTATAAAAAACCCAAAGAAAATAGAAATAAAAAGTAAATAGATAATAAAAAAAAATGGAGCCACCAAAAGTAGGAATAGGAGGAAAGCAAACGGCAGTGAGCGGCGGCAACGTTGTCCTGGTACACCAGCAGCCAAGTAAACAGCGGATAAATTTGTTATGCCAAATTGTGTATGTGAATTCTGTTGCCAAATATTGTGTATGAATCGAAATAGGCCTAAACTAGTATGTGTATGTGAATTTTGCAAAAATAATTAGTAAAAGGTTTTGTATGTACAAAAAAAGATAAGTAAATAAAAGAAAATAAAATAAAATAAATAAAAATCCAAAGGGTGTATGTATAATTTTGACTGCTTTGTGCTAGCCTACTTATATTGAGGACTTTATAGTGCTAGTACAATCCGGGAACGCTGTCCGCAGGAAGACAAACGCCCCACGCTAATTAAAACTGGGTTAGCGCAAACCAGATCTTGCGAAGTACCATTGTTTAAGTCTATGATTTGACTTGCGGCTTTAATAAATGAAAGGTAGAATAAAAATTAAAAAAGAAAGTCCAAAAATGTAAACACAAAAATAAAATATTTTTTTGTGAGCCGCTAATTTGGAAAAGAAAAAGCCAATGATGCGAGCGATTTTTAGTTCTTTGTTCAGTTAGCACATTCTAGTATTTTAGATTTTTATGTAGTCCCAGGTTTCCATGCCGATGATATATCTATTCCCCAAGCGCCTAGCTATCATCGAGGTATATAAAATCGTATTTCTTATGCAGTAAAAATACTGCAATCTGATTGGTTAATTACCCCGGTGTAAATAACACCCCAGCCTTGTTCACCCCAGTATAAATAAAATTTTGCCAAAAAATTTTTAAAAAATTAAATCTTGCCATAATAAAGAAAAAAAAAAAAAATGTCAAAAAAAAATAAAAAGAAAAATAAAAAAAAACATTTAAAAATTTTTTCCCCCCGAAAATTCAAAAGAACACACAAAATTTCTGATTTTCCCAAAAATAAAGAAAAAAAGTATTTGACAATGCGCAGCAACATCGACGTTGAAAAAATGTTACACTGGAATTTTTTCATTACCATTTTTAAATTTTACATCCTGGTTTAAAAATGAGTAAAGGAATTGTTCATAAGAAATAAATTCGTTATCTTGGTGTAATCAGGGGTGTACGAAATTTTACACCATTGTTGAAAATTCATACAATCATTCGGCTGCGCCTCAGGGTGTACGAATTTTCAACAACGGTGTAAAATTCTGTACACCCCTGATTACACCAAGATAACTAATAATATACTATACCAGAGCAGAGGCGGATTTAGGGGGGGGGGGGGGGCAGGGGGAAAAAATTGGTTGGTTATATAGGGAATCACTGAAGCATGACTGGAGCGGGCCCCCTCTTAGGCAGTCAGTGGGCCCCCACTTATGAAAATTTCTAGATCCGCCACTGCAGAGACATATATGTCTCCAAGGAATTGTATACAATTCCTTGATGTCTCTGACTATACAAATCCTTGATGAGATGTCTCATATACTAAATATATCTTATTTTATATATAAGTCTAAATTAAGAAGTCTTGTAAAATATATAAGATATTTTAGAACTTTTCTGATATCTTTAAGATTTGAAGTAATAAATATGTTTAAATTTCGCGCTGAAAAACTGTCATTGCGCAATACAGGAAGACCATTAGAGCGGGTTTTCTGAACAGCTGAATAAGGTAAACAAACCTAAACGTCGCCTGGCTATCAGATAATCTACTATATTGACTATTTTTGTAAATATGCTGGATGAAGCAACTATCATGATTATAATTATCAAATGAGGATCCAGGATTTTGAAAAAAGGAGGGTGGGGAACTAGTCAACATTTGGAGTGGGACAAGTGTAAAAAAAAGAGGATTATATACCATATATGTAGCTCCTTAAAATCCATTAATCCACTTCTGATTATGTCTGCAGACTTTCTGAGATTACTATAACACATGTTTCAGATACCACTTATGCCAGACACTTTTGTTGTAAAAAATTGCAATAATCTCAAGGATTTGTATAGTAATGATCAGTTATATACTATACAAATCCTTGATAATCTTGAAAGTGTCGAAATTCAAATAAATGATAAAAATTGCTGTACTGGAAATTTATAAATAATACATTCTAAATTACACCTTTAGAAACTAAGATAGAGCTGGGAATAGTATATTGACAATATATTATGTCCCAGGATAGAGGGGATATATGGGATAAAACTTTTTCCTTCATCTTTTACAGATTTTAATTCAGTCATGTCAGTAGAAACCATATTTGCCTCTGTGCTTACTTTGTCAGCAAACACTTTCAAATACATTTTGGGTCCATTTTATAAAGATCTTGGAGAAAAGCTTAAGGATGCGTAAAAAATGAAATGCTTTATATATTTTTTAACAACTCATAATAGGAAATCTTATTTATAATCTTAGTTAGTAATTTCAATACATGTGGATTTTTGTGTCATAGTTTTTGAGTGATATTAATTAAATTGACAAGTTATACATGTCTCTTTCTTAATTCACCACCAAACAACTCATATTATGAAAGCATAATTATTTACAATCTAAATTTGAAATGTTTTAACACAGGCATGACAGGTTCATTTATACTGTGTCACTTTATATATCATTTAATTTTAGAGTAATTTTTATAATTGGATTTAAATTTAATTGAATTTATAGTATTCATATCTTTTCTTTACCTTAGGCAGCATTTATAATTACTCCAATTATTAAGACAACAGATATACTTCACAATCAAGTTTTAATGGTTATGGTTTTATTTTGAATCAGAAAATAAAATAGTTCTTGATTATTATATAGGATATATTGAACATCAAAAGGTATGTTGTAGAATCAGCTCTCTTATTTTTTTTTAAAACTAATTTTTCATGTACAGACACATTCCTTCTCTTTTAATATTTTTCTCATTTTAATTATAGAAATTGACCAGATATAGTTTAAAAATATGAAAAATTTATCTTTTAACATAAAAGATTTTTTGAACAATAAAAGTCATAAATTGTTTATCAAGAATTTAAAACTGAGAAAAGGCAGAAAAAAGGAGTTATATTCCAAGGTTTTTATTTTAGATGTCAGGTCGACCAGATGATATAGAGTTTGAGGAGGAGATTGACAGGAAGTATATCTGTCCTATCTGTCTGGCCGTGCTGTGGGATCCTGTTCAGACATCATGTGGTCACCGTTTCTGTAAACTCTGTCTTGGAGGTTTGGTCAGGTAATAATTTTGTAACTAAACCTATAATGATAAGGTTTTTATCTCAGCTAACTGCCTCATAGAACATTTTCATCAGTAAAAATAAGTTAAAAAGTAATTATTTTCCTTGTAAAACTTATCTCATAATATCAAGGTACATTAACACCGCATTAACGCATGTCAAATTCAAACAAACTTGGTCACAATCATCATTGGGGTATATAGTCTAAAAAATGTGTCCAATGACCCCGCTGCACACCGACATGGCTTAAAATATAACATAATGATTAAAAGTTTTGTCTATTTTCTTGAAAATCACTATAGATAAAGAAAATATGACAGGGTAAATATGTTCAGAATGTTTAGGGGACGACCATTTGATATTCTGGGGGGGGGGGGGGGGGGGGGGGGGGGGGGGGGGGGCAGGAGGATTTGTTTTGGCTCGGTTATTTATTTTTGTAAACTAAGAGGACAGATTATCTATTTTCTGCACTATTGAAGCAAGATTTTTCATTTTCATTAAAGCAAGGGACTGATTATTTATTTTCACAACTATATTTATAATATTCGAAAACATACAATTTTTAAATTATTTGCATGTTTATTATAAATAATTCATGTATAGTCAAGTCATTATGTACCATTTAATCAGAATTAATTATTATCCTCTGCAGAAAGTAATCTTCTATATTCCCCAATGCATATACACGTATTGCATACATACACAGTATTAACGTTTGGTTGTAACTAAGGCTCTTTTAAAAGTATTGGTAAACATGTTTTTTTTTTAAGGGTTTTTGAACCGCTGAAGGCCCAAGAAGCTATTTATAGAACAAATGATGCAAAATCATGCCTTCTGGGTGTTTCCCAGACCCTTTTTTAAACTGAAAATGCAAGTTCTGTTTTAATAATTTTATGACAATATTTTGGTCTCAAAGCAAAATCACGTTATAGATTCAGTGTAAGACTAAAGTTTCTAGGAACAACATCAAAAGACAAATATGCATGATAAAGCAAAAATGTAATTCACATAGTTAAGTCTGTGGCTGCTGTGTTTTTTTAAACTCATGATCAAGTTAATAATAAAATTACTAAATTACAAAATGAATGCAACACTAACAGAATACAGAAGGGCAATCAATGAACAAAAGACAAATAAATAAGAAACATTGATCCCGAAAAATCAGGGGCTACATCTGAGGGAGAACAGAACTTGCTTCTTGCAAGGCACTCACGGTGAACACAATTTGAAATTTTCTACATGAGGCATTTGTCTCAATGTAGTTACGGCCCTGATTTAATAAAAGTGAGGTAAGTGTTCCTGAGACAATTAACCTCAAGTTAAATGAAACCAATTTTCTGACATTTCAAGTATATTTAAATAATATTTATACTTTTATTATTAAAAGATATGGGAAGTGTTTCACGATTTTTTTTGTCGAAAAAAGATGAATTTATGAAGAATCTGGTGCCATCTCATACTTTCGATTAGACCTGCTGAGTTATTTCTTTTCAATACATTGCAAGTCAGGTAATTTATTTTCAAACTACCACAGAACAAACTATTTATTTTTGTGATTATCAAGGCTGAGTTATTTATTTTCAAGATCTACCAATAAGTCAAATTGCTGAAATGGCCTTTTAGGAGTTATTGCCCTTAAATGACTTTTTTTTTCCAATGTTTTGCATTTTGTCTATTATCTTGAAAACTGTACTAGATAAACAAAAGTTTAATTAAAAGGTAAAAAAAGTTCAGACAAGATTTACAATTAAGTCAACTTGGCTGAAATCATCAGCTGACTCTTTATAGGAGTTATTGCCCTCTAATGACAATTTTTACTAAATTTTTGTTAACTTAATTAGATAAAAACTTTAATAAAACAAATATGATTATGATCAGCAAAACAAGATCTACAAATAGGTCAGCATGGATGACATTGTCAGTTGTCTTCTTATAGGATTTATTGCCCTTAAATGATGATTTTTTTACCTTTGTTGTGTTTTGGAAAAAACTATAGAAGATAGAGAGAAACTGTAAACAAAACATCATCAGGAATACAAGATCAACAAAAAAGAGATTTGAGTCACAAAGTATATTCTTATCTACAATCGTCAGAGGACACAGATATAGTCCCTAGTGTGGACAGTGTATAACTTGCAAATTTTTTTCATACACTTTCAAAATCTATTTCTTTATATTTTATGCATGAAATATTAAGTAAGAGGATGAAATTACATGTTACAAAAATTTGGGTGCTGAATCTTTATGTTAAGTAGTGATTTGGTCCAGTTAAAAAAGGTCAAAAACTAGTATGTCTGAAGCTGTCAAACTGAATTTTTGACCCCCTTAACATAGAATTGTCAATATTTTGAGTTAGAGCTGGTAGACTTTTCTATAATTTTGATATTATTTGTCACAATAGTAGTACACTACACTGTAAAAATGTTTTTGAGATAGAGCAGGTTTGATTTTTTAAATTTGACTTTATTGTCTAAAAGAAATGCACTACGAAATAACTGTGTACTCTGGCCCTGAATGTCGGAAAGTGTCTATTGAAAAAGATGCACATTGGCCTAGGTGAGCGACACAGGCTCTAAAAGAGCGTCAAGTTTGTGTCTTGTAGTTGTTTATAGCTGTTGAATAGCGTGATCTGTATTTTTTCAATTATTGTAAATCTTTGATCACTGTTTTATGACTGAGTGTGTGAACCAAATCTTAAGTTCAATTAAAGTGATTTAAAAGTTTTCTTATCTGTTTAGATGCAACAGCTGTGTAAACCAGAATACTGTTCATTGATAAATTTCAACAAAAAATTGACTATTTGCACAAAGATTTGAGTTCATGATTAAGATAACCTGATAATAACTTTTATTGACCTGTTAATACTTCATTCAGCTTTGACCGAATGGAAAAAATTACAAACTAATGGTCACATAACTTAAGTTGTAAGGCATCTTATGGATAAATATCCTTTCTTTTATTGATAGTTATCTCATTGACAATCATACCACATCTCCTCATTTTTATATGGAGATACAGGAAAAACAATGCCCTATTTCATTGTTGTTTGTCAAGTAAAAAAGATTTTAACCATAATTTGTAGTTCAAAATAAAAATTTCATGTTCTCTTTTGAATATGTATTCCAAATCTACCTTTTTGAGTATTTTGGCTAGTTTATTCCTCTGCCATTTTTTTACTGAACTTTGATCATCAATATATATTTAATCTAAAGAGAGCATTTTTCTCTTTTTAGAGATGATTCTGTGTACATATTACTGCATTTTGCTAACTAAGTTTTGACCTTGGTTTATGTCATTGGAAATTCACAGTACATAAAAATAGTTCTAGATTTTTCAATTATCTTATCAACATCTAATCCAAGATATTTTCTTTTCAGAGGATCTTGGAGATTTGGGATGTCAAGGTGTCCAGTTGACAAAAAGTTTTTCAGTGTTACTGCAGATGTAAGTATTGTAGATTTGTATAGGTTCTTGGAGGTTTGGGCTTCAAGTCATTAAAAAACTAAAATAAGCAAAAACAGGCAATAATTGCAAAGTCATTTCAAAAGAGTTAGCTTGTATCTTCAGGATCATATTGTAAAATTATGAGAAATTCTAAAAAAGATAATGTTTTCTTGGATGGCATCAAGTTTGTTTATTCCATTGTGCTGACGTGCTTCAGACATGTCAGAGTATTTAGATGCTTGATTACAAAAGGTGCTATTTGTTAGATGGACAGAATTATTTGAAAAGAAAATAGATCCTTAATGTTCCGTTTTTTAATGTTTCAGCTGTTTGAAGACAATGCTTTCAAAAGAGAAGTGTTGTCACTAAGAGTAAAATGTAATAATTACAACATTGGATGTAATTGGAAGGGTGAACTTCGTGATTACCAGGTAATTATGTTTACTATTGTGTTTAATTGACATTCAGACTATATGTACTAGATACTGATATTGGAAATCTTCGTAAATTAATGTATATAAATAGCTCAAATAACACATATCTTACAATCATTATGACATTAGTATAAGTGATGTCTCCTAAATATTAATGAGTACTTAATAACGTTTAGTTTGCCTTGTAAAGTTGTATCTTGAACAATTTTCCTGTGGCATTGACAAAGAATTATCTGGTAAAGGGCTCAAATGCAAATCTAAACTATTCATTAAATTTTTTTTCATAAGAACAATATGTAATGGCTTATCAAACTAATAATATATTTATCCCCATTCAAATATGAGTTAGCTGAATCGTTCCAATGACAATAGAATTTTCAATAAACAGACACTTCAGCAAGTTTATGTGTGTGCCTTTTTGCTGAAAATGTTTCAAACATTGTAACGTTTCTTACAAATAAGATAGATTTTTTTTTTAAAGACCAATAAATCATGTTATTAAAGTGAAAGAAATCTTTAATCATGTTTATAGATGAATAAATGCGTTAAATTTTTATAGGCTCATATAGTTTCCTGTTCATATAGCCAAGAAAACTGTGTTTATGGGTGTGGAACAAGAGTAAAGCGACTTGAACATGACGATCACAAACAAGTTTGTCACCAAAGACCTGTTAACTGTGAACACTGTGATGAAGAAATCTTCTATGCAGATTTAACAGTAAGTATTAGTTAAATACAGACATGTTTTCTATGCAGATTTAACAGTAAGTATTAGTTAGATACAGACATGTTTTCTATGCAGATTTAACAGTAAGTATTAGTTAGATACAAACATGTTTTCTATGCAGATTTAACAGTAAGTATTAGTTAAATACAGACATGTTTTCTATGCAGATTTAACAGTAAGTATTAGATAAATACAGACATGTTTTCTATGCAGATTTAACAGTAAGTATTAGAATTAAATACAGACATGTTTTCTATGCAGATTTAACAGTAAGTATTAGATAAATACAGACATGTTTTCTATGCAGATTTAACAGCAAGTATTAGTTAAATACAGACATGTTTTCTATGCAGATTTAACAGTAAGTATTAGATAAATACAGACATGTTTTCTATGCAGATTTAACAGTAAGTATTAGATAAATACAGACATGTTTTCTATGCAGATTTAACAGTAAGTATTAGATAAATACAGACATGTTTTCTATGCAGATTTAACAGTAAGTATTAGTTAAATACATGAAGGACGCCTCTGGGTGCGGGAGTTTCTCTCTGCATTGAAGACCCATTGGTGGCCTTCGGCTGTTGTCTGCTCTATGGTCGGGTTGTTGTCTCTTTGACACATTCCCCATTTCCATTCTCAATTTTATGTTTTCTATGCAGATTTAACAGTAAGTATTAGTTAAATACAGACATGTTTTCTATGCAGATTTAACAGTAAGTATTAGTTAAATACAGACATGTTTATGGCTCAAAAGAAATTCTCACAAGAATTATTAATGACAAAACATTTTCCAAACTTTCAGTGTATATATAGGTACTGTGACTTTGACCTTCTGACTAACTATTGAATAGGGTCTGCTTCTTTCTAAGTGGCATTCTGCAGCTTGGATTTGGTAAAGGTTGGAAAAATAGTTCAAAAGATAACATCCAAAAACCCAATTTTTTGTCATCTCATTAGGCATACCAATATCATGGGTATTTATAAAGATATTTGTAAGGTCTCAAAACACCCAAATGTTGACGCCTGGATATTCAGACAGCATTTATCAGACTGAAATTTTGGTCAAATTTTGGTTTAAGGATCGATGTTATATTTTGAACCATATGTCCAACTCTTACCAAATTTAGTCACATTTTTACATTCCATTTCTTTCAACATTTATACAAAACCCCATTAGTTCTATTACTTGAAAAGCATCATTGCCACCAGAGGGAATTCTTGATTGTGATAGTTTATTTTTCTCCTTTCTTTTCATTTGATTCAAAAAGCTGAGACATGTTGAGAGATAAAGGCTCATAAGAGTACATAGCTGATAGATAGAATAAGAATTTATTTTTGGTGAAAGATATATGAACAAATAGTGTAAATCCCCTGTATATTTGTTTATTTGTAGAAACATCAGGTTTTAATGTGTGAACACTTCCCTGTACAGTGTACCTTGTGTGGCCAGACAGGAATAAAACGTAAAGATATTTCCTCACATATTGATGTAAACACTGGAGACTGCCCTCAAACAATCATCCCCTGTAAATATGCTTCATATGGATGTCAGTTTCAGGTATTTATAACTAGTTTATCTAAATTGTTGCCTGCAAATTGATGTTAATACATTTACAAAAATCTGGGGAAAAAAATCTCAAATACTGTGGATTCATTTATTTTCGTGGGTATCAATTTTCGTGGATTGAGGAACACTTGCATTTTCGTGGATATTTGATTTCGTGGTTTTGCCAATCTCTGCATACAAAGCCAAATTAACATTTGTAATTCGTTGAACATTTGAATTCGTGGATCACCTGTACCCACGAAACCCACGAAAATTGGTATCCAACGAATAATAATGAATCCACAGTACATAATAAAATGTGGCTGGAACATGCTCTCTTGCTTAAAACCACATTTTTACTAAAACCTGGATGAAGTAACAAGGGAGGCAAATCTAGTACAAAGCATTATCAGTTAGATACAATGAGAGTTACCTCCCATTGTACCCACTTAAGTTTGCATGTCCTGCTTTGTAGCTCTAGGTAGCTACACTCTATTGTTAAAATGTGAAATGCACATTCACGATAAATTATGATATTGGAACAACGAGACAGAAACAATAATTAGAACAACTTCCAAGAAAATGAACATCTTTGTCAGTGATTCAGTAGGACTTGATGAATTAACACGACGTTAGTCAGACAGACTAATGATTAATAAGAAACAGCCTCCTACAACCAAGTCATTAGAGATAGAAAAAGAACCCACAAAGATAAACAAGTAGAAACAAATGTCTAGCCTGATATCATACAAACAAAAGGACAAATGACAATTGTAGATTCAGAAATTATTGCACACATTTATTATTGGGATTTTTGAAGAATAAACAAAAATATGAGTTTAATTATTAAGATTTTAGGAAAAGCTACATACAGTAAATGTATTTGATATCATAATGAGAGTTCTGATTATTACTCAGGTAGTCGCATTATTCACATTAATAAAAACCCCACAATAATTTCTGCATTTACAGTATTTTTTTCCCTGTGGTATTCATTTCTCCTCTTAACTTTACATGAAGCTTTAAATATAGCTGTACAATGTACCACAAATCCACCAAAGAAATACAAGTCCACACATCACTTGGAAAGAAGGGTCAAAATGTGTGGACTTAACCTGAAAAGATAGCTTAAGTAAGGATAGCTCTTGGCTGAATACTACTGCTGAGTATGATGAAAGGTTCAAGACCAAGAACTGGTCTCATTTCTATGAATTTTATGATTTGAATGGAAAACATATATTAGATAATACTTGCTACTGAAAGTGTTGAGACTATCAGATTAGACCAATTCAATTTTTGACTGAATTTGTTCAATTATGGTATAAGTTTTTCCTAATATTATCTAATATGTGCCAATTTTTTTCTTTGTGTAGGATAAACGGCGTTGTATGTCTGATCATTATACAGCTGATCCAGATCATCACATTCTGCTTCTAGTCCAACATAATGCCAGTCAAGACAGGAAGATAGCAGAGCTGACCAGTCAATTGGACAAACTTATGTCATTGCAAAGAATGTAGTAAATCATTAATAGCTGAAACTATTCATTTGATGTAAATGTAATTGAATGTGTTTTTGTAATTGTTTTGCCAAAGTATATATGTTAAAAAAAATTTTTTTAATGTGACAACTAAAAAAATGTAACTTTTATAGTTTAAGATTCTGACTAATCTAATTTGAGTCAAATGAGTGGAATTTCTTATCCTACTTAAGTAATTCGCTGTTTCAAAATCTAAAGGATGATGGGTAATTTCCTTGTTTGTACTCCAAAAGAAAATAATGTCACATCATTGGTTGACTACATTGTTTAGGATGTTTTGAACCTATCTGAACCTTTTGATGTATGCTTTGGAAAATATTTCCCAGATTGAATTAGATTCTGAAACAACAAATTATGATAGATATAGCAAAGTTGTATGCACTTTTTTTAGAAGAGTTGACTATATATTATATAATTTTATAGCTTTTATGCAAAGCAAAGCTATACCTTAGAGAAATTGAAATCTGATCTGTTTGTCAATTCGAAATGGATTAGTTGTATATATATATATCTGCATAATTGTAAACTTCAGTTTTAATATAAAAGGTTGACACAGTTATTAACATTATATCATAAGTTGAAAAGCAACTTGGCTGTATATAATTGGTTTTTTTTATAAAGAGTGGATCCCTTATGAGGTAAAAGTTCAGCAACTATAAGCTTGACATTATTAAATTAATTTTTATTGAACATCAATTTATCTCCTAATGAATAAATTATCATTAGTATATTTTACAAAACTAAGTAATTTCTTTTGCTTAATTATACAACTTGGTTTCCAAAAAAACTATGAAATCAACTAAATGATTAGTTTCAACAAAACTTTTGGGAGATCACATTTTTATGATTCCCTTTAAAAGTTATAATTGTTTAACCCAAACCACCATTATACATGACATCAGCTGTTGAAAATAGATCATGTTTGTTAAACACAAACAGTGGTCTTTGAATTTAACAAACCGGTCATGAACCAATGTAGTTTAAATGGTTCTATCTTGGTGGTCTTTGAATTTATCAAATCTGTCATGAACCAATGTAGTTAAAATGGTTCTATCTTGTTGGTCTTTGAATTTAACAAACCTGTCATGAACCAATGTAGTTTATATGGTTCTATCTTGTTGGTCTTTGAATTTAACAAACCTGTCATGAACCAATGTAGTTTATATGGTCCTATCTTGTTGGTCTTTGAATTTAACAAACCTGTCATGAACCAATGTAGTTTATATGGTCCTATTTTGGTGGTCTTTGAATTTAACAAACCGGTCATGAACCAATGTAGTTTATATGGTCCTATCTTGGTGGTCTTTGAATTTAACAAACCTGTCATGAACCAATGTAGTTTAAGTGGTTCTATCTTGGTGGTCTTTGAATTTAACAAACCTGTCATGAACCAATGTAGTTTAAATGGTTCTATCTTGGTGGTCTTTGAATTTAACAAACCGGTCTTGAACCAATGTAGTTTAAATGGTTCTATCTTGGTGGTCTTTGAATTTAACAAACCTGTCATGAACCAATGTAGTTTAAATGGTTCTATCTTGGTGGTCTTTGAATTTAACAAACCTGTCATGAACCAATGTAGTTTATATGGTCCTATCTTGTTGGTCTTTGAATTTAACAAACCTGTCATGAACTAATGTTGTTTAAAGGGTTCTATCTTGATGGTCTTTTTCAGTATAAGGTTTGATGGGACTACTTTGATTATTATAACAGTGCAACATTTGTTCTTATGGAGTCATTATTATGGATAGAAACCAGGTGAGCAATGAAGGCTCCATGGAGGTGCTATATATCATTTTATGTCTTTATTTGACTTGATGTATATTTTAGAAGACAGTATGAATAGATTGTATAATGTCATAATGTATCTTTAGTTTGTATTATTCATCAACAATGTTATTATGAATGGTGCTTTAAATATTGTGTATGAACCCAAAGTCTTTCAGTTGTGAAATAATGCTTTTGATTGTATATTGTTTGCAGTCACTGTTGTGTTTAATAAATATACATCATACATGTGCAAGTAGTTTTTACTTGGTGCTAATATTTTTTGTCTCAGAGAAAAGGGATTTGAAGTTTGTATGTGAATATGCATGCTTGAAAATTATCAGAATTTCAAGATTTTTACCTTTTTACCTTTTTTGCCACTAGATGTTTCTTTACAAAATATTGAAATTTTCCAGATTTTGGTACCTTCTGTACTTTAATCCATGTTTATCCTTATGATAAAAAATAAGTTTTAAAAACAGCTGAATAATGTTCTTGCTTTACCTAGAAAAAAGATTGAAGCTTTTAATGTAAAAAAGTGTAGAGGTAATAAAATAACTGATTCCCTGATTCAGTTTTCAGATTGAATAAATGAGTATCGGCTAAGTAGCTTATATCTGCATTTCATGTCAATATTGTAACAAATGGGGGCCAAGTTACCTGTATGTAATTTATGTTTTATTAATTCTGTTTAGTTGTAATGTGGACCAATACTTTGCAGAATTATTTGTTTGAGAACAAAAGTTTGAGTGGAAAATTGGTGCAATAAGTATTTCTAATAAAATACTACAATAGATGGAATTTCAGCTGATAGTATTCAATATATTGTTAGATAAAATTGATGTTCTACTAAATTTTTATGATGTATGCACCATTTTGAGTTTATGATATAAGAATTGTAGATACTTGGTATTGCACCATCAGCATTGGAAGAGAATCATATTTTTGTATTGAAATATAAATTTAAGATTAAATTAAAAATAAAAATGACTTGTATTTCAGTTGGAAGTAAATAAATTTATCCTATATATGTATTCTTGTAGACCCAAACAAGTTTTCATGTGCATCAAGATATATAATCCAGATTTAAAATGTTAAAGGGGAGATAATTTACTTACTTCAATATACAAATAGTATTGTTGGTGGGAATTTTATATCTAATAATAAGTAAACTCAGGATTATACTGGTCTTTCAATGTATTGCTAATATCTGTTAGAACACTGCTACGTATTTGTTTAACTTAGGATAAAATGCTCATCCTATATTAAATTAATGTATTTATGATAATATGTTAGGACAGTACAACACATTTGTTTAACCCATGATAATGCTTGTCTTTCAGAATGTGTTAACATATGTTTTATGATACTGTTTAGTAAATTTTAAAAAAAACCTTGGTCTTTCAGTTTATTTTTTGTATGTTTGTCAGAAGTGTATAATATATTTAAAAAATATGCATTCCAATTTTCGAATATTTTGTCTTTTATTGTATTTTTTGTTCTAAATTTCAATAAAAACCTTTTGTAATCAGTTGGGTCTTTCCTGTCAATATAGATATGCAATAGTTGAAATGTGGTCTGTAAAGAAAACATGATAAACCTGATGAAGACATAAATGTTCTCCAGGGTTTTTGCCTCACCTGTGGCGAACTTTGCGGAAGGCAAGACATAAGTGTTGCTTTTCCAGCGAAGACGGTGGAGTCATCAATTGTTCAGCTTTCTGCTGAAGTCAGTTTGATAGGAACTACTTGTGATGATCAATGATATTTCTATAAAGTTGCATTACTATCAGTACATATCAGTGTGTCCGGGAATAATAGGAAATAACCTTGAAATAGTACACTTTTATTTGTACTGCAACAGGAAGCCTTCATTAACCTTACAGCAAGTCAAGGATTCAAAACAGCATCTACTTGTTACTGTTCTCAATACCTGCTTATAAAATATGTTGGGGATAAATTTGCTCGTAACTTGGGCAGTTTTTGAAGCAGTTGAATATATAGTCGATTTTAAATTATCTCACCAGCATATACTAAATGCTTTTCATTCACTTTTGGTAAATAAAGCTATGGAAAGTTGCAAAAATCTCCTGCTCGACTCCTGTAGATGACAATAATGGTTTGTCAGTGGTGGATCTCAGATTAATAAAAAAAAAAAAGGCATGCAAGAAGGGGTAGACAGAAAAAAAGATAGCCATAAAGGGGCACAAATGTGAACCCCTTCCCCTCAATTATGGATCAACATTTGTGTTTTTGTGAATCCACACTGATTGTGATAGCTGTAACTGCTCTGTGTATTTGAATGGTTATAAGGAATGTTGACAAGAATGTATTGACTACATTCATTTGTTGTCAACTGTAAGTTCTGTGCAAGTGCTTTGTACTGATGGAGGAAGTTAAATGTAGGACCCATTTACCTTAAATTTTTCCATAATATCATAGCAGTAAGTTTTACTGATTGAGGAACCCATAGTCCCCAATTACCATTCTGTCTCTGGCAAGTTACCGACTATTATTGCCCCAATTTAATCAAGTGCATATTGCATGTTTGCCAACTAGCACAGTAAGCCTAGGATCACAAAAGTATTATCTACATGCTCAAAAGATTTGTTTGTATAAGTTGACGATCAACAACTTTTAACACTAGCTTTGTTGAGTAGAAAATGAATACAGAGTTTTGAACATAGAAAAAAGCAAAACTGTATATAAAAGGCATTTTCTTTTTGTTGCCTTCATTTCTGATTTCATGTAGCACCAAGTAAAGCCTTTATTTTGTGCATAACTGTAAAAATATATATGGCCAAATCTGGTTGCGTAGGTAGTATAAGGCCAAACCTGGTTGCATAGGTAAACCTAGCTGGGGTAGATAGTATAAGGCCAAACCTGACTGGAATAAATAGTATAAGACCAAACCTGGCCAGATTATAAAATATAAAAGCCAAACCTGGTGGGAAGATAACAAAGCACTAAAACTGGCAGGGTAGATAATATAATGTAAAACCTGGCTATTGTGTACTGCACCTTTTTGTTGATTCATTAAACTGGCCATCCTGGCTTATACTTCATGATAGTGGTATATCAATATTCATGATAGAGGTACATCAATATTCAATCAGCTTTGAATGTTAATACTTCCATAGTGGCATACACGTCTGTAAGCCTCCAACCAAAATAGCTGAAGATGCCTCAATTACTTGCATTACCCAATCATTTTTTTCAAAATCTTTCGTGTTATCTGTAATGTTCATTCAACTGAAGATTTACAGCTTTGCCTACAAACAATACAGGTGTTAATGGGGCTACTTTTTGGCTTATTGTGACAATAACACTTGTGAAATCCTCTTTGACCATTTAACAGAAAGCTCTTTTACTTGGCAGGATTGTTTGTCATCAAGTGTAGTTGACCATATTGTAGTGCTTTTTTTATTCAACCATTTTTATTGGAGTTATGGGACTTTGACCATTTTTTGTGTATTGTGACAATAACACCTTGTGTTTGATTGATTGGTGTTTAACGCCACTTTCAGCACATTTGTGCTATTCATGATGGTCAGTTGTTATTGGTGGAGGAAGCCAGAGTGGCCTAGAGAACCACAACATTCGGTAGGAAAACTGGCAATCCTAGTCGATTAATATTGGAGTCAAGCACATCTTCAAATTGCAGGATTCCAACTCCCAATCTCAATGTTGACAGGCTAGCAATACAGCAGTTTGACTACTAAGACCACAGAGGCCCCCTAACACCTTGTGAACGCAAGTCCTCCAAGACTGTTATAAAAAATTCCCTCACACTTGGTAGGATTGTTTATTATTATGTGTAGTTGCCCCATTTTGATTCATATTTACAGGAGTGAAACTAAAAGTTATTGGACTTCGACTAATTTTTGGAGAATTGAAATTCACTCTGTAAACTCCACTGAGATCAATTGACAATAAAATGCTCCGCTGGGCGCAGCTTGATACGACCGCAGAGGTTGAACCCTGAACAGTTGGGGCAAGTATGGACACAACATTCAAGCTTGATACAGCACTAAATTTGGATTGTGATTAAATATTTGACACAGAATGAATGTGGTCTAAGAACTTAAAAAAATTTTCATTTACCTATTCAAACCATATCATTATTATTTGCTTTAATATTTAAATCAGAAATGACCAATTTAAAATGGAAAATTTTAAAGAAAAAAAAAGGAAAAAAAAAATCCCTCCCCCAATTTTTTGAACCCCCTTATGACTCATCACCCCCAAACTCAATCCCAGCCTTCCCTTTGTGGTATGGTACCTTGCAGTACAATTTCAGAGAGATCCATACACTTGAACACAAGTTATTGTCTGGAAACTAGAAAAATGCTTGTTTTAGGCCCCTTTTTGGCCCCAAATTCCTAAACGTTTAGGGCAATTACCCCCAAACTCAAACCCAGCTTTCCCTTTGAGATGTGGAACCTTGTAGTACAATTTCAGAGAGATCCATAAACTTGAACACAAGTTATCGTCTGGAAACTAGAAAAATGCTTATTTTTGGCTCCTTTTTGGCCCCTTATTCCTAAACTTTTTGGGCAATTACCCCCAAACTCAATTCCAGCTTTCCCTTTGTGATATGCAACCTTGTAGTACAATTTCATTAAGATCCATACACTTACACACAAGTTATTATCATGAACTAGAAAAATGGTTGTTTTTTGCCCCTTTTTTGGCCCCCAATTTCTAAAATTTTGAGGCAATTACCCCCAAAATCAATCCCAGCATTCCCTTTGTGATATGGAACCTTGTGGTACAATGTCAGAGAGATCCATACACTAACACACAATTTATGTCTTGAAGTTACAATAAAATGCTCTCCGCTGGGCGCAGCTTGATACGACAGCAGAGGTCAAACCCTGAACAGTTGGGGCAAGTATGGACACACAAGGCTGTAACTAGGCATATTATTTTAGTGAGGCATAACTGATCGCCGAGCATAGCGAAGTGAAAAAAAAAGCCGAGCGAAGCGAGGCGAAAAATTTTGGCAGGGGTCTGGGATAAATGGTGTAAAATCCTGCATTCTGGGCATTTCCAGAGAGCTTGACATCGTTGAAACAAGCTATCCGGTGTTTTTATTTTTGGACATTTTTTATATATTTTTCATATTTTAAGACATGTACTAACACCAAATTTTTAACAACTTTATCTAAATGTATATATCGGATAAACATCCAAATATCAATTTGAGTCTGCCGCCAGAACACAGAACAAACAACGACTCAGTAGCAATTGTTATTCAAATTGAAGTTTACCAATTTTTCTATGGACGGTTTCGTCAAATCGTTTCAGAATATTTGGTCTGCTGACATCCTTATTGCGATGAACATGAAGCATGGCAAGACCGCACAGTCTCTCATCACTCATGCTAGTTCAAATAATTATGACGTCTTGAAAGACTATTTTGTTTTTTTTTCTGGGACGGTTTCGTCCTAGAAAAAAAAATATAATAGCCTTTCAAGACGTCACAGTCATAAATATTTGTACTACACTAATGCATGCATGCTCTTTCCCAAGTTTTCGGTCGTCTAAAGGCAGAAAAAGAACGTTCAATGCAAACACTCGTCACTGGGAGAGTTAATAAAAGCAGAAGAACACGTCTTATAATATCGGATAATCATATCTTTTTCATCTGAATTCACTGAGGTATGAGGGTACCCCTTATGTCATTTTATGTTATTTTAGGAATATTATTTTTAGTTTTTTCTTTTTGCCACATGCTACCTTTTAATGTTATGGATACGGCAAATTGGATATAACTAGTATATCGTTTTATGTTATTCTAGGAATATTGATTTTTAGGGTTTTTTTTTTATGGATACGGGGAAATTGGACTGGCGTTTTCGCCGTTTACATGAAGGTCCGTGATTTAAGATTATTTCTGGAAATAGTCAGTAGGTCGACAATCGAATAATGAAGGGGGTAGGAAGGGTCCGATCCCGAAATCTCGAATTAAAAGACACGAAAACCCGTAGTCCCGAATTTAAAAACATGAAATCCCGTTTTAAAGGTCCTACCGTCCCTCTGTAATGTCAAAATTGGATTACGGGATGTTCTTTCAAATTTTAAGGTAAAAGAAACATGGACAAAAACTAATCCATGCAGGTTTCATATTATTTATATTTTGTTTATCTGTATAAAGAGAACGAATAAAGTTGGGGGAAATGAATACTCAGACAGAAAAAACAAATGACTATATTTCGTATTTAATGCCCATAAACATATACACACAAAAAAAAAATCAGTGTCGAAATTTTAGTGAGGCAATTGCCTCACTTGCCTCAATGGTAGTTACGGCCTTCCCTTTGTGGTATGGTATCTTGCAGTACAATTTCAGAGAGATCCATACACTTGAATACAAGTTATTGTCTGGAAACTAGAAAAATGCTTGTTTTTTGGCCCCTTTTTGGCCTCACATTCCTAAACGTTTAAGGCAATTACCCCCAAACTCAAACCCAGCTTTCCCTTTGTGATATGGAACCTTGTAGTACAATTTCATAAAGATCCATACACTTACACAAAAGTTATTGTCCTGAAACTAGAAAAATGCTTGTTTTTTGCCCCTTTTTGGCCCCGAATTCCTACAATTTTGAGGCGATTGATTCATATTTACAGGAGTGAAACTAAAAGTTATTGGACTTCGACTAATTTTTGGAGAATTGAAATTCACTCTGTAAACTCCACTGAGATCAATTGACAATAAAATGCTCCGCTGGGCGCAGCTTGATACGACCGCAGAGGTCGAACCCTGAACAGTTGGGGCAAGTATGGACACAACATTCAAGCTTGATACAGCACTGAATTTGGATTGTGATTAAATATTTGACACAGCATAGGTTTCTGACACAGAATGAATGTGGTCTAAGAACTTAAATTTTCATTTACCTATTCAAACCATATCATTATTATTTGCTTTAATATTTAAATCAGAAATGACCAATTTAAAATGGAAAATTTTAAAGAAAAAAAAAGGAAAAAAAAAATCCCTCCCCCAATTTTTTGAACCCCCTTATGACTCATCACCCCCAAACTCAATCCCAGCCTTCCCTTTGTGGTATGGTACCTTGCAGTACAATTTCAGAGAGATCCATACACTTGAACACAAGTTATTGTCTGGAAACTAGAAAAATGCTTGTTTTAGGCCCCTTTTTGGCCCCAAATTCCTAAACCTTTAGGGCAATTACCCCCAAACTCAAACCCAGCTTCCCTTTGAGATGTGGAACCTTGTAGTACAATTTCAGAGAGATCCATACACTTGAACACAAGTTATTGTCTGGAATCTAGAAAAATGCTTGTTTTTTTTTACCCCTTTTTGGCCCCACATTCCTAAACGTTTAAGGCAATTACCCCCAAACTCAAACCCAGCTTTCCCTTTGTGATATGGAACCTTGTAGTACAATTTCATAAAGATCCATACACTTACACACAAGTTATTGTCATGAAACTAGAAAAATGCTTGTTTTTTGCCCGTTTTTTGGCCCCTAATTCCTTAAATTTTGAGGCAATTACCCCCAAAATCAATCCGAGCATTCCCTTTGTGATATGGAACCTTGTGGTACAATGTCAGAGAGATCCATACACTAACACACAAGTTATGTCTGGAAGTTACAAAAATGCTTATTTTTGGCCCCTTTTTGGCCCCTAATTCCTTAACTATTGGTACCATAACCCCCAAAATCAATCCCCACCTTCCTTTTGTGGTATTGAACCTTATGGTAAAATTTCATAGAGATCCATTCACTTAAACCAAAATTAGAGTGCGAAAACCAATGTGTCTTCGGACGACGAGGACAACGTCATACCAATATACGACCGCAAAAAATTTTGCGGTCGTATAAAAATGCTTATTTTTGGCCCCTAATTCCTTAACTGTTGGTACCATAACCCCCAAAATCAATCCCAACCTTCCTTTTGTGGTATTGAACCTTATGGTAAAATTTCATAGAGATCCATTCACTTAAACTAAAGTTAGAGTGCGAAAACCAATGTGTCTTCGGACGACAACGACGACGACGCCGCCAACGTCATTTCCTCCAAACTGCATGTCAAATCTTAACCAAACTAACCAGAAATAATACATGGAAAGTATGTCATGAAATTATTCAAATTTGTTAAGACAGGACAAAACTCAATTATTTATTCTCGTTTGAAACTACAAGTTTAAATCTTTTGGACCTTTTAAGTGATATTGGAGACTTTTTACAAATATGACTCATTTTGGGCAAATTTTGTGTCACATCTTCATGTTTTACTTTTTAACAAAAAGGACAGTTTGAATAAAACTTTCCAGTTATAATTTATGGATGGTCTTTTTTTCTAAATGTCTTTTTTTCCGAATATTTTTTTTTGTTCCAATCAAGTAGAAAACTATGGCTGCCAGAGCCCTATAATCCATTCTGTCTAATGATTAGATAAATTTTTCTTCCTCTGATCTAAATCTTTCCAACCGTTGTAGGAATATGAAGATTTTAAGACCCTCTAAAAAGCTGACAACGTTTATTACTGCATAGTGATTAGATTCCACACATGGCAGCAATAACACCATATAAATTCACAATTAGCCCTATTAGAAATCTTAGAAACTTTACTAGGACAGGTAAAACTGAACCTACTTCGCTGCATTCTGTATGTGGCTGTCCCAAGTCAGGACACAGTAATTCAGTGGCTATTGTTTGTTTCTGTAAATCATATCCCTTTTTCTTTTATTGTTATTTACATATGGCATTACTGATTAGTTTTCTTGTTTGAATTGTTCTACATTTGTGGTGTTGGGCCTTATATACCGTGCTATGCTGTATGGGTTTTGCTCATTGTTGAAAGCCATATGGTGACCTATAGTTGCTATTTTTTTTATGTCAATTAGTGTGGTGGAAATTATCTCATTTGCAATCATACTACATCTTTTTATTCTATATCTAATATATGACATGAAAGGTCCTTTAATATCATTACTCTTTTGTTCATTCCAGGCTACCAAAAATGGGGAACACCCAACATGGCAGGGAGTACATATTTTTCTTAGTGTGATTTCATTAAAATTATAAGTATTATATTTTCTCTAAACCAAGTTAAATTATCACAATTCTTACAATGACACTAATTCATTTAAATGTTGGACCCAGCAGATGACCTGAATTGACAGCTAAAGCCATCTGCTACAATAAAGTACTAATGAACTAAAGACAGGTGTCAACAGGTCAACACATAATCAACATCAAGAATAAACATGAAAACAACAAATTCAATAAGTTAAAAATTTAATTAACAGGATTATCAAACAATATAATGAGAGTACAATCTAGCAACTATGAGTAGTTTACTTAAATATACCCAATTAATCATTCTTTTTTACATAATGCAGCTTTTAAAAATTCACAAAACCACAACCTGTCTTTATATATTAAATTCTTAAATTCAACAATGAACTTATCTGGCTGCCATTAGACAACAGAATGCTAAAAGTATTCACTTTTGCCTCAATGGTATAAAATTAAAGGACTAACTTGAATGAGTTATGAGTTTAAGGAAATGTAGCTACCATAACAATCAGATCTTTTATGTCCCATTCTATGGAAAAAAAAAAATATTTTATAAGGATTAAAATAAAATCTATTTTTAAACAATACATTAGTCTGATTATAAAGATTAAATATTTTCATGTAGAGTTTAAATGAGTGATGTCTTTAAATTGATATTAAACATGTTCAACAACAACCTCTTTCTAAAAAGCCTGCAAGTTTTATAAAAAAAATGCTTCTTTATCAAATTCCTTGAATCTACCAAAGAACATGATTTCAGTCATATATGTATCCCTGGCAATCATACGTATATATGTTAACCAGTTTAGTACAGAATTACATGTAGTCTTACCATAATTAATTTCATTATTGTGTATATTGTACATTTCATATATTATCTGTGTCAAGTGCAGGAAATTTGCATATAATATTAAACAGAAAACCTTTTATCTAAAATTCTATATATATGTGAGATAATGTAATATAAGATAACAAACATTAACATTGACATAAACTGTATGTCCAGTGATTATTTTAAGGACTGAAAACTTCCTTCAGTAAAATAGATAAATTGTCTATCTGTTTCTGAGTATAACTAAGTTTCAGATAAAAAAAATTGGGTCATTCAAGTATGATAAATTTTATCTCTAATTTTGTATGTTCCGTGGAATTTTAAATAATTATGAATCATCTTATAATAACAAATATGTAGATAACTATTTCAATCTTTGGAAGTTGACATTTAAATATCATTTATTTATCCTCATTACATGTATATGATGTATGTACAATTTATAAATGATATCTAGAACATCTGCATACAGAACTAGGTACATGTACATGTATAGATGCATGATATTTTTCTAATGCAATTCCTGAACTTCCTCCCAACATTGTCCATGAAAAAGCAATATAAAAGATGGCAAAATGCAAAAAAAATTGTAGAGATCTTTTTTAAGGTCAAGAAAAATATATATAAGGTTACTACACATTTTTTTGTGCATACTCTTATGAATAAGATTTTTGGTTAACTCAAGATGCAGTTACCTACATTGTACATGTACAAAATGTACATTCAACAGGCTATTATTTCAACTTGGAATTATTTTTAATTATGGAATTTGCTTAATTTCTTGTGCTTGAAAATTTTAATAAATTCCATGTTTATTCTGTATTTTAATGTTCTGTGCGGCGCACAACACTTTCTATTACAAAGAAGAATGCACATTTTCAATAGAATGTACTGTGTGGCGCACAACACTATCTATACAAAATACATTGTATGGAAAATGTTATGAACCGCTCAAAACATTATAATACAGAATAAACATGGAATTTATTAAAAATTTCAAGCACAAGAAATTATGCAAATTCCATAATTAAAAATAATTCCAAGTTGAAATAATAGCCTGTTATTTGTAGGTTCTCATTAAGACAAATCAATGGGTTCTGGACTCTATAAAATCAGGTTGAATTCACCAATTTCAACAATTTCTAAACTTATGATTTCAAATTTATCCAGGTCCTTTCAGCTACATGTACATTTTGTAAGTCATAATCATTTCATTAGTTTAAAAAAATCAAAAAGTTAATTTCTCCTTTGCTGTTTAGATTATTGTTGAGCAGAAAACTTAAAAATAAATTAACTTGAAACATTGTTTTTTTGAATCTTAATAACTTTGGGTCAACAATGTCAATTAATAATGTCCTTGTACAAATGTACATGTTGTATTCTCCTGAAAAAAATACATAATAGAATAGTTGTCTGAGATTTTTTTTTTATTTTAGTGTTTTTACATGCAGTGTTTGAGTACATAATATTGTACCTTCCCTAAAAAAATACAGGAAGGTTGTTTATCATATACTTATACAATGTATGTCATGCCATATCTTAATTTCTGTATTGTTGTTTCAAATAAAAATCATGTGTGTAAAGTCACAACAGTTTTCATATTTGATGTGCAATGGTTCATTTATACATCTAATTTAAATCCTTTCTGATTAAACTTTCCTGTATATACACAATTGACACATCAATTGTTGTAATTACACAAGTTACTATAATAAATAATCTACTTACTTACTTATACATGTTTAATGGATGAATTGAAAATAGCTTCCAAAGACTGACTTATCAAATTGCCATAATTGGAAGTTTAAAGCATTTTCTTTAGTCTCAATATAGTTTTTTTTTGAAATCCTAGAATCCATTTTTTAAATAAAATCCTGATTTCTGATGCTCAAAAACAGTTGATCCTAGTGGCCCCTTGAGAAATAGAACCTCTTGTTTTGTCAAACATATAAATTGTACATGTTCATGTAACCCTAAACAGACATATACTTTTTGGCATAATATTGAGACAATACAATTTCCAAGTTTCAAATTAGGGAAGAATTCAATACATATACATGTGGTAAAAGATGCAATCCTATTAAAACCAGATCTTTCAATTTGCTCCATTCAATTGTTTTTTTTTCACATTGTGTAGGACATGTAGGACATTCCGTGATAGAATATATGCCTGATGTAACTTCAGTAACCTTTTATCATCCAATCATTCAAATATTTCCCTTAAATTTTCAGGAATTTTCAACTTGAGTAATTGGCTATCAAAAAATTTTGTTGGGCTAAATGCGAAATATTTCCCTAAAAATTAGTCTGGAAAGTCGATGTTCCTACCAATATTTTTCTGATAAAGCATGTAAAATGTACCAACCTGAATGTAAATATTTCTGACTCAATAATACTGTAAAGGTTTCTATATTGGCATTTTGATTCAATTCTATCAATCTACATTGCATGTTTGAAAGGAATCAAGTGACAACATGTCACTCTAAATGATAAGTTGAATAAGAATTTGAATAAAAAGTCTAAACAAGAGGTCACCAGAAACAAACAAATCTGACAGAGCAAGTAAAAGATCTGATTTCAATCAGACTGATCAAAACATGTTGGTAAAAGATGATCAATCAAAATGCTAATAAGATATATGAGTTCAGTAAATGTATCTGATTAAAAAAATCCATATGACAAGAGTTGTCGTTTTCTAATCTGCATAATGTTTCAAGCTAAATGCTTACTATTTCATTGTATTTCTGGTATATCTAAGATTATTGCAAAAAGTTCTATGGTACATGTAGATGGACTTTATATTTTAACAAAAACTGACTTTTATATTTCCTAGTGGAACAAGAATTTATAAAAAGATCAACATTTTTTTCTCTAAATTAAACATAGGTACATGTACACATCCACATGTCATGTTAATGTTTACTCTAGTACCTGAGTATTGCCGGATAATAATAAAATGATTGAAATAAATGCTTGCAAAGGTACACAGCAAATCTCTTAAAACAGTGATGAAGTCAAGTACACCAATTGCACATACATTGAATGTACATGTACTTTCTTGAATATTTTTCATTATTTATAACTTTAATTACTCACTAACTTTCATGAATGTATCAGAATTTTAACATTAATGTGAAGACCATGCATTATTTAATATTCCATTATTTTTTTGCTATGTTTCTTTTAAATGATATTCAGAGTACAAAAAATATATAAAGGCTTTGAATTTTTAAAATTTTTCTTTTTTACTTAATGTTTTACATAAAAGCTATAACATGTTTAATCTGCTCTGTAATATGGTATTTCATTTATATACAAATTTATACTTAATCTGTCGGCAGTATCCTTAAAAGAATTAAATACAAAATGACAAATAAAATCTACAATTCCATAAATTACTCATAAACTGTATACAACAACACAACCCATAAATTAATATTTAAAAGACATAAAAATTATAAAAAAAAACTTAACAATGTAGATCACAAAAATAATTTGTAGTCCTATACAACTTTTCTGTTATCGTTTCTTCTTAATTCTTCTCCTTTTTAACACAAGTTCATACATAGCTTCAATCGCATCAGACAACCCTTCTCCAGTGATAGCACAAGCACCAAGTAATGACCACAATTGTGAAGGAGGTAGTTCGTGTAAGCCTAACTGCTTTTCTACATTAACAGGATCTAATGATCCCGGCATGTCTTGTTTATTGGCAATCACAAGTATGGGTAGTCCTGGGTTATCAGAACAGCGAATTAGTTTAGTCAATTCTAATTTAGCCTCTTCTATTCTTTCTTTATCAACTGAATCAACAACAAATATAATTCCTTCTGATGATCGAATATATGCTCTCCAAAGTGGACGAGTCTTATCTGCACCACCAATATCCCATATTGTGAATGTTGTTCCTTTAGCAGTACCAGTATCACATTTAACTTTCTCACAGTTAAATCCTATAGTTGGAGTTGTGTTGGTATACTGATCATACTTCAATCTGTATAAAAGAGTTGTCTTTCCTGACTGATCCAAGCCAATCATAGTGAGTTGCACTGCTGAAGAAGATCCACCCATGTTACATTCTCATTTCCCCTTCACCTTTTACTACGCTATACGAAAATTTAAAACTTCAAAAAAAAACACAAATATTGGTACACAACACGGATAACTATTCGTCACAAATTCAGGAATGTAAACATTGCTGTGAATGGATTTTAACTTCCTTTTTAAGTTTTACACTAATTGTTTTGTATTGTTCTGTCACTTTCATACAGGAAAACACATCTTGCTCATATACTTCGTTTCTTCCTTCTTCCGAGAGTGGACTTTATCATTTCATGATCTAAAAAAATAATTTGATTGAAAGGTAAAACTTCCGGTTATAACGCCACCTATGACAGGTGAAGCCGAAGGATTTGATAAATAAAATCATGACCCGAACTCGGACCATGCTTGGTGCGTGTTTATAAGAAGCATTGTTATAGAGTACAACATTAAAACGGTAGATATTCATTATTAGCAGAGCATTATAAGACAAATACACTTTAGGCTAAAACTAAGAAGTAGCATTTACTTGTCTGGTAGATTCACTATTTACATTACATCACAGTTGGATAACTCGGTCTAAACGGTATTCGCAAACAAACTTGGACTAAAACAAACTTAATTTATGTAGTAAATATAATCTTATATTTTTGTATTAAGTTATAAGTGGTCTCTTCCTATATAAAGGTAAACACAGACGTGCCGCCTTATGGGTCACTTTTTGGAATATCAAATACATCAATGGGATGCGCGGTTAATATAACCAGAGACATATAAATCTATATGCCAATGGGTCATATATGTTCATCTTCTGTTCAGGTGTACTGGTATTTTTTTCTCTCTGATGATAAGAATGATCCCATGTGGATAATACCTAAAATCAGATGTCACAGATTATATGTCTGATACCTGGGGAATATATAAATGTGTTATGATTTTCCTATGCATGGACAGAGGCATATAATTATGAATACAATATATGGGTCATTTTCAAAAAATGTCGAATTTTCAGTACACCCATGCTAAATTTTTTATTTCTGATGGAAAATGCAGTTGTAAGTGTTTAAATGAAAGTTTGTAGGATTTATGAGTCGGAACATTAATAATAAACACGATTTAGATCTATTTTGATAAGATTAAAATATATTTAAGCCCGATTTTTGCGTAATTTACGTGCGTACAGTGTCCGAGTAACACATTTAAAATGATTTTTTTCCTATTTTTTGATCGCCTTGATATCTGCAAAAGGGACTTTTTTAGAACGTAAATAATAACTCTAACGAAAAATCGTAGCTTCTTTATTATTATATGTAACATTTTTTCAACGAACTAAATTCCATCAGCGTACATGAAGTTCATTTCAATCCTGTTACCGCTACTTAAATCAGCCGTTAAAATTTTCTCCCTATGAATATTGAACTAGTCAGTGTTGATTTCAAAAGCGCAAAGTAACCTAAACATTTAACACAGCACGTTTCTTGTATAACAGTGTAGAGAAAAGAAATTTCAAGACATTAAGTGATAAAAAAGGTGGGTACTTTTTTGTCATGTCTATGCTGTTACCAACATATTGATTAATTACACAAATATTATACTTGCAAAAAGTGCAATAACGTGTTGGAAACCATAATCACATCAGAAAAACATTATCTCTTCATCAAAGGGAGTAGTTATTTCATAACAGCATTCAAAAATGAAGAAATTTGTCTATCCTGTTATGTCTATCCTGTTACTATGGTTGCTATGGTTACAGTAACAGGATAGACAATAGTAGACAGAAACGTCTTTAAAAGTTTATAATAACATATAGTTGCACACATAATGAAATGTTTCGTTGTTTGAACTCATCTAAAGGTTATAACGTCTTAATCTATGCAATTTTGCATTTGCAGGTGCAATACTGCTATCGGTAACAGGATAGACAAAAAGGTAACAGTATATAACTTAATATAGTGATATATCATTAACGAACGTTCCTGTTACCAATAAAATAAAGACAAAAGTAAACCAACATGCGAGGGATTTACTTGATGTTGGGTTTATTTGAAAGAGAGAGCAAATGCTGAACATTATGAATTGCTATCTTAAACTTGCATTACTGGTGGTTATTTTTATAACCTTTGAAAACCAATTTTTAGAGGCATTTTTCAGTACAACATGGAAAATTGGCAAATAATCTATTATTTCACAGAATGAATATATATAGAAGTTTTTACTCTTGAAAACCATCTTATTGGCTATGAAACGCAAGCTTAAAATTTTACCGAAACCTTTTCTAAATAACCCGAAATTTCTTTTGAACATGGTAACAGGAGAGGCAAAATATTGCACCACCTATCAAAAAATATTTCAATATATTCTTGTATAACATTATCAAGATTGCATCTTTTTATATGTTTTTCTATAAGTACTGTTTGTTTTGATTTGCTTATGACGAGGGTTGTTTGAATAAGTAACTTTAAATCAATTTTGCAATTTCAAAATTCGACATTTTTTTAAAATGACCCATATGTCTCTGGAATGGGTATATAGGGATTTTCGGAAAACTCAATATATAAATGGGGTAGGTTTTTATAACCTCGGCCAGACATCTGTATACATATTTGTATGTTAATGTAGAGGTTAGATGAGGCAAATATTTATCATGTATATATTTCTAATATAAAAAATAGGTTTGCGGTAAAATTTTGGGAAAACCCAAAATAAACACTTTCCACACCGAGACACACATAAACAATATCAAATCTTTGAATAAAAGTATATATACATAGAACGATAATTAAATCTGAAATCATTTTTTTTTTAAAGAAGACAATAAACGTTTTCAAAACACAAAGCGATCCCAGTGGCACTGTTAACTGACACAGTATGTGTTGAAAAATCTCATTTGTGAAAGAGAGTAAAAAAAAACAATAGGAATAGTCGAAAACAAACTGACAATGCCATGGCAAAAATCGAAAAGTGATCAATAGACAAAAGTTACTGGATATTTGGGGGTGCGTCTAAACACTGCTAAGGAGTCCTTAGTGCACTAAGGACTTATGATATGCCACTAAGGACTAGATGGGGTGCTATTACATGTAGTGTCTTTTCATATTATTGTAGATATTGATATTTAATGCATAAAATTCAAATTTTATAGAAAAATAATCACAAATAAATGAGTTATTCAACATTGTTTAGACACGTGCCTGTTTTTCTTTGATATGCCGAAAATCAATGAACCGTTAGACACGTGTCAAATTACATAACTGATTACACGGGAATCCTGCTATCTGTTGTGTTTAATCGACAATATTGGAAAAGTTGGATACTAATAAATGAATAGTTTTTCAGATTATAGTTCAGTGATCAATTTTGATTTGACTTCGCACTGAATAAGTTGTTAAAATTTTATTCATGTTTTTTTTTTCAGTTTCTCAAGAGTATTTTGTAATTATTTCTTGTAAATAATAGATTTGTTTCCAAAGCAATATATCTAAATTTATATTCATATATGAAGACGTGAAGCAATTTATTACTGGACAAAAACGAATTCAATATGATAATAAATTTTTACTACATGCAACCAATATAAGAAAGAAGATGTGGTATGATTGGCGATGAGACAACTCTTCACAAGAGACAAAATGACACAGAAATTAATAACTATAAGTCACCGTACGGCCTTCAACAATGAGTAAAGCATATACAACATAGTCATTATTTCATACAATATCTTAAACAGACAATTTGGTTAAAAAAATACAAATCGGATTTCCTTCTCTTCTTAAAGAAAAATAGATTAAAAGAAAATATATTTGAAAATATTTCTGTTTGTTTTTTTCAAGGATTTATATAGTAATATACTATACAAATCCTTATTATTTTTTTTTCATTTTTACACGTGAGAGATTTAGGTATAAAGTATTCAAATTATCTTGTATTACAAAAAATGATTATTTTCACATCATGAAAAAGCATATTTTCACATCATGAAAAAGCATATTTTCACATCATGAAAAAGCATATTTTCAAGGCATTCGTACGATGCATAACCTTTTTATGTCAAAATTATATCTAAAGCTCTAAAATTAACACATACGGGCCGGGATAATTTTCGGAAATAATGTGCTAAAAATTGTGGAACATTTAAAAAAAAACATTTGTCTCCTTTATATATTTAAAAATGAAACTTCAAAGTTCGATAATGATATTTTAACTTCTTATACTTTGAGAAAAAAACAAATGTCGAACAATTACAAAAAGAAAAAATAAGTACGGTATGAAGCCTTTGTAAACAGCTATCAAACTGGTTGAAAACTAGTGGTTTAGAATAACCCCAAGGACGTCACATGATTTTTTTTTCAATTCAATCGTAATTCGTACTAAGTATGAAGCAGTAATAGAAAGTGGAAAAGCAAACACCCGGTTTTGATATTTTTTACAGAATTTACTCATAAATTTTAACGAAACACGCATCTTTGTCGGAATTAAAATTAAAACAAAAAACTTATAAATATATCTATTCCTTTTGTCTTGGTATCTCTAAATATTACTTCCATGCTCTTACATAAACATTTAACAAGCTGACCACACTCTTAACTTATTAGTTGGCGCACATCAAAGTCGTGCACAAATGGCAAATAACTTTGTCGAGAAAGAAATAAAAAATAAATAAAATTATTTGTCCTTTTAATCATTGCAAATAAGAACAACATATTTCATTATAAATTATTAAACATTAATCTTTTCGATACAATTGTTAATTACTTAAAATAAAAAGATTATGATTGTTTATTCAGTTGTTATGTTATATGGCACGTGTCAATCGGTTCACTGATTTTCGGCATATCAAAGAAAAATGGGCACGTGCTTAAACAATGCTTAATAACTCGTTTATTTATGATTATTTTTCTATAATTTTTTTAATTTATGCATTAAATATCAATCTCTAACTTAATATGGAAAAATAATGCATGTAACAGCACCCCATCTAGTCCTTAGTGGCGTAGTATACGTCCTTAGTGCACTAAGGACTCCTTAGCAGTGTTTAGACGTACCGGATATTTGGTGAATTACATTGTCATTCGATTGTGTAATTACAGGTAGCTATGTTCTTAGGATTTACTATATAAATCCTTGGTGTGATGGGTAATTGAAAAGGTGTCAACAGTCCGCGTGTTAGTAATTAGTTTTAAGGTGGTTAAAAAGGTGTCAACTGTATCTTATTCTTAATAACTTCTGCCAGTAAACCCAGCAGGCATTTCAACGTTGAAACAACGTTGAATTAACATTGATCTGTAACGTTGAAAAGACGTTGAAATAACGGTTGGTTTTGAAAGTTGACACAACGTTGAATATCTGACGTTGAAACAACGTTATATTTTCAACATTGTATCAACGTTGATTTTTGATTGAATATAGGTTGAAACTTAACATTGAAACAACATCACCCTAATATTGCAGCAACATTCTTTCATGTTGAAATAAGCAATACGTTGCTTGTTGTTGGTTCATCTGTCACATGTGTTTGTCGTTACAAATTTAGGCGGTTGGTTTTTCTCGTTTGAATTGATTATTGAAGGGTGTATTGTGTCCGGGTCTTCTATTGCGGTCTATACGGTGTGGTGTGTGCTTATTGTTGAAGTCCGTTTAGTGACCTCCACGTCAATTGGACTCTGGTGGATATTTGTCTCATTGGAAATCATACCACATCTTCTTATATCTATAATAGTTAGTAACCACACAAGATATTGAAGCCACATGACTCTACAGAGGACATCAGCAAGATTTGAAAAAAAAACAGTACAACAGATGTCAAGTTATGACAAAAGCTAAATTAAATATAGCCAAAAGGTGATCTGGTAAATGAATACAAATAATTTCTTAATCAATTTTTATTATTTTCGTGAAAATGAATTGTAGTTTCTAAACTCCTCCAATCATTTCTGGTGCACAATCCTTCTTTAATTCAGCTTCTGTTATCTTTGTGTAGGCCTCCATTACTCTTCCTGAAAAAACAAACACAAATAATATTTTGTAAACATGACTTAGCAATTACGTAGAACGTCAAAGGCAGGGAATAAAATGTTATATAGGCCAGGTTTTTTTAAAATAATTTACTGGTTTATATAATACCGGATCCGTTTTTACCATTTTTTTCGCTCCTATACATGTACAATGTAGCAATGCCGCCTATCTCGAGCACCACGATCTATTGTTCAAATGCCACCTATTTCGGCCACCACGATCTATTGTAACAATGCCACCCTTCTCAAGCACTAGGATCTATTGTAACAATGCCACCCATCTCGAGCACCAGGATCTATTGTAACAATGTCACCCATCTCGAGCACCAGGATCAATTGTTAAAATGCCACCTATCTCGAGCTCAGGATCTATTGTACAAATGCCACCCATCTCGAGCACCAGGATCTATTGTAACAATGCCACCCATCTCGAGCACCAGGATCTACTGTAACAATGCCACCCATCTCGAGCACCAGGATCTATTGTTAAAATGCCACCCATCTCAAGCACCAGGATCTATTGTAACAATGCCACCCATCTCGAGCACCAGGATCTATTGTAACAATGCCACCCATCTCGAGCACCAGGATCTATTGAAACAATGCCACCCATTGAGCATATAAATCAATTCAAATCACATAGTTCACACAAACACAGGCAATCCAACATACATACTGATTATTGATAATCAAAAATGTTAAAAAATAAAAAAAAAATACATACCTTGACAGCTATTACTTTTATCCTTAAATCTTTCTTTCCTAAGTTACTGATCTGTCCCTTTCCTAAGTTACTGTTCTGTCTCTAATACCTGTGCAAAAAAATAAGAATAACATCGATCATCATCGCCAAGCAATATTTTAAATTTGTAAAATTCGATTGAAGAGTAAAAAGAAATTATTAAAATTCAGAGTATAGTTGACAATAATTAAAATAGTATGATTATGGATGACGGGTTAAAATTTTAGATAAAAAAGGGGGAGATGATAATCTTACTTCGCAAAAGTTCCTTTTCTTTAACAAATCAGTAGTAAATAACTAAAATTAGCTGTATGTAGGCTGAATATGGTGTTTCCAGATTGTAGTACATATTTATATAGAAGTGCAGTCATAAATAAGTTGAACGTACAACAAAAAAGACGATGTACACACTGGAGTCAGTAATGTTATCTTTACAACATACACTATGGCGAGATTTTCAAAATATACAAGTACGTTTGCGCATTTATAATCTCCCAATGTTAACACCACACAAGCATTAAAAGACAATTAGTACAGCAACGAATAATAATTTAAAGAAACACTTACATTTCTATGAATTCTTCTTTGCTGAAAACGGTCCTAAATATTGTCCAGGAAAATGATACAATTTCCGCGTTTGAAAAAGGCGGTCACACACGTGTGGTCATACATTAATCAGCATCATGTCACGTGATAATTTTATCAATAGATTATTGGGAGTGCTAATCCTCGTGTATCAGTTGTGTAGATGCCGCACTTTCACATGCTGTGTCTTATCTTTGATTAATATATTTCCGGATAATAACAAATTAGTTAGTAGCATATTTCGATGAATGATAATTTAAATTTGTACACTTTTATGATTTTGATAAACGTCCCGGTTTTGGAATATTCCTAATTTTACTAGATATTGTACAAAAAAAAATGAAAGGAAACATTGATTACAATTTTTCATAGCAAAATCCTTATTTATGAACTTTTGTTGATACAATAACAAAGGATGTACAACTATAATGATTCACCTTTAACGCTGATGGTGGATAATTTTTTACACCGATGCATACAATTTTTTTTCTGGACGAACCTCCATCGTCGACATGTCAACCAACATTTAACGTTGAAACAACATATTTATTTCAACCTAACTTCAAGATTGAAAATTCAACTAAAATTCAACGTTGAATCAACTTACTTTCTGCAACATAACGTCGACGTTGCAGTTACAACGTTCAAACAACGTTGAAGCAACGTCATGACGAAATATCAACCACATTTCAACGTTGAAATGACGTTGCGTGCCGGGTGGGAAGGCACGCCTCCACAAGTTGGGAGTAATGACATTCGTAATCCTTCACCAATAAACTAATTCAAATTAACAATACACGTGGCAGTATTCATCTGTAACCATATATATAGGTCTGTAACCACTGGTCAAATAAGTCATGCATATGAATTTTATCTGAAATATTTTTTTTAAAGTAATTTATAATCGTTTCTTGTTATCTGGTGGAAGATAAATAATTTTATTATTTTAAGTGATAACTAATTTCAAATAAAGGAGATAACTTCGTTTATCTTATATACATTTTTCGAGTAGTCCAAGTTAAAGATTGAGTTTGTGAGGCCGAGTTTTTCATAGTCCGCGGAGTTCATGGAATGTAGGGCCTCGGTGACCGAGTGGTCTTAGTAGTTCAACTACTGTATCAATAGTCTGTCAACACTACGGTTATGAGTTCGATCCCCGCACGTGGCATGCGAATTAGACTCCAATCTTAATCGACTAGGATTGCCAGTTTTATCTTCATTTCTCTCCAGGTGCTCCGGCTTCCTCCACGAATAAAAACTGGCCGCAACAAAATAGCCAACACTTGCATAATGTCAATGGTAGTGAAAATTATCATGACCATGCAATTTTAAATGACTGTTACAATAAACCGATTACAGACCCAAAGATCATTGCTGATACATTGATTCAATAACTATTTTACAAATATTACTGAAAATATTAATCTTACTTCAAACTCAAGCACCAGTTGTTCTGGAAAACTTGATAATTATATTTCATGTCGGATACCAGAAAATGTGTTTTTTACCATACCACAAATAACCAATGAATTTGTACTCCATCAGTTAATCACACTTGAGTCAAAAGCAACAGGTCTTGATGATATCAGTGCAAAGTTTTTAAAAATGTCATCACACCTTATTTCAGTTCCATTATGTCACATTTATAATTTAAGCATCAGAAAATCAATATACCCATCGTTATTCAAACTGGCTAAAGTTATACCAGTTTTTAAGAACAAAGGTTCGAAAAATGATGTATTTAACTACAGACCAATTGCAATTTTACCATTACTATCTAAAATCCTTGAGCGACACGTAAAAACTCATTTGATGAATTTTCTAAACAAGTATAATCTGTTATATATCATGCAATCAGGCTTTCGTACAAACCATTCATGTCAGACTGCTATGACGTCTTTGTTAGATAAATGGTCAAAAGCCTTTGACGAAAGAAATTTAGTAGGGGCAGTATTTTTGGATCTGTGTAAAGCTTTTGATCTTCTAAATCATAAACTGCTCTTTCAAAAATTACAGAAATATAAATGTTCTTATAATTCACTTCATTGGTTTACTTCGTATATGGCCGATAGACATCAGGTCGTATCCATTTCAAATGTAACTACATTAAAAGCAGGTGTACCCCAAGGGTCAGATTTAGGTCCTATATTATTCTTAATATATTTATTAATGATTTGCCTTTAAGTAATCCTAATCATAACACTGGTTTTTTTGCTGATGGAAGCACTATTTCTGTGATTGGAAAAGACAAAAGGTATATTAGTCAGACACTCATTGCTGTATTAGAAAATATTTGTCATTGGTGTGAAGAAAACAAAATGTTAGTTAATGTGTCAAAAACAAAGATAATGTGTATAGGTTCAAAACAAAAACTGTCTGTCATGTGCAATGACACATTAAATATATCTATTAATGGCCAACATATTAATGAAAGTCACTGTGAAAAAGTCCTTGGTATTTTTTTTGCTGCAAATCTGTCTTGGTATGATCATATTAATCATATTATCAAAAAAGTTAATTCTTCATTAGCTTTATTAAAAAGAATCAAGAAATACTTGAATCATAATGCACGAATTCTATTTTACAATGCTTATATTCTTCCAGATTTGGATTAATGTTGTTCAGTATAGGGAAACTGTAACAAGCTTTTAATTGACAGTTTACTAAAATTGCAAAAAAGGGAAACTAGAATTATTTTAAACGAACACGATATTCGTAAACCATCTATTGAACTATTTATGGAATCTGGAATTATTGACGTTACTAAGAGAATACTTTACCACAAGTCATTATTAATGTATAAATCAAAACATGAACTGGCACCAAAATATTTATCAAATCTTATTGTGCAACAATCGTACAATACTCGACTTTCATCATCAGATACTTTTATTGTCCCTAAATCAAATACAGAATTATACAAATCAAGTTTTTCTTTTAGTGGTCCAAAAGTGTGGAATTCATTATCCAGTGGAATTAAAAAATCAAAAACTGTATCTGCATTCAAATACTCTTACAAGTCATTATATTTTTAACAAAATGTGAAATTTATCAGTTTAACCACAATGTATACTATAGGTGTATTATTTTTGTTATATATAGATATAGGAAGATGTGGTATGCGTGCCAATGAGACAACTCTCCATCCAAGTAACAATTTATAAAAGTAAACCATTATAGGTCAAGGTACGGCCTTCAATGTAAAAATATATATATATTGTTTATGTTTGTGTATTAGTAGATTGATTATGTTTTATTCATGTAGTTAATACTGTATGTAGAGAGCCTTATTGAAAATTGGTTTAATCCAAATGAGTTACTCTCTTTAAATAAAGATGTTATTATTATTATTATCATTATTAGTGCTCAGGGGCGACCTACATTTGCGCGAATTTGAATATGACAAGCATTACGTTTGCGCGAATTTACCTGTAATTTACCTAAGTTATTACCTTTGATGAATCCTGAGAATAACCTGAATTTTGCTATTGTTTTGTTAGGAAAATTAGTTTACTCGTTGGTTGTTGTCTATCATATTTGTTTTTCGTTTATTATTTTGAATATAAATTGGCAATCATACCACATCTTGCGATTTCAGATAACATTAACGGGAAATTTCCCCATTTTGAAATTTCAAAAAATTGTTAAACGGTCAACTGAATTTCCTCTTTGTGCGCTTTACAAGAGCTTGGTTATCGCTACCACGAATGTTAATGTAAGTAGTCGCCAGAACTTGCAATATAATCTCAATGAAGGTGTAGATGACTGGATGAGTAGAATACAACTGTTCATTAAAATGGCTGTGAAAACATTCTGCCCCATTGTTGGTACGTATACGTTTTGTGTCTACATTAGGCACAGCCGTCCACATTGCTGGTGGAAATCTCGACTCACTGATTACGTAATTTTCAATTAAGTAGTCGATAAATTTGTATTTTATAAATTTGTTTTTTTTAAGTTATCCTCGCAAACGTAGTGACTTTTCAGTAGGTAAATTTCGCGCAGACGTAATACGTTTTGTCGCGCAAAGGTGAATTTTTTCGCGCAAACTAGGACGAATTCGCGCAAACGTAACGCGCCGGTGCTAAGAGTGGCGTTAACTTCAATCATGGAGTCTATCACATATAAGTTTTAGTAGTCTCAGTATACATATCGACATTAGACATTAAACTTTTCATTAAACCAATCATAGGCAAGATATGAGATAAAAGAAATACCTGTACAGCTGGTAACATCATAAACAAAGAATGCAGACTATGGCACAATGCTATTGAAATATATTCTCAATGTCTACGATTTTTTTGTTGTTATTCATTTTTTGTCGATAGTCTTTTCTGATGACTAGTTTAAAATACACTGTATTCAGAGGCGGATCCAGGACTTTCGAGGGTGGGGGCGTAATTCCATAAAACTTACCGAATACTAAAAGTTAGAATAAATTTGGACAATTTTATGCCAAAATATATTTTGTCCGATCAAAAAAGGGGCGTATGCCTTCTACACCCACTCCTTGAATCCTCTACTGGTAATATAAGTCCTTCTCTTACAATTCCAATCAAACATATCCTCGTTCCAAATTATTGATGTCATTCCAACATATGATTTGAGCTTTAAGAATATCTCTCTTTATTTCCAGTGCACTGCATTCTAGCATAAAGTGTACCTATCTTCTTTAGCAAGTCCGCAGTTGTCTTTTTCCACATTTCTGCTGAATTAAGCCCTAAGCTGTCTACTTGGTACATTTCGGGAATTTTAATCACATATACATCATGAATAAGAGGAACACGAAACACTTTGAAAATTGGTGTCTTAATAGAGGTTAGATTCTGTGTGTATGAATCATATGTATTTTAGAACAGGAGAATTTTTTTTGCTCTCACCTTTTTTCACAATACGTTATTTATTTGTTTTCTTTTAATTTCAATTATTTTCGTGCTTCTCTATTTAATATAGATATACTAGAAATACCCGCTTATTTACTTTTTACTATTCACAGCGGTCACTGATAATTTTTATTATCAGGACGAGACCAGGACCGCGGCTGTGGATAGTAAACTAGCAATACTAGTTAATGGTAAGTTGTAAATAAAAGTTATTTCTAGTATATTCATATTAATATAACACAGAAAAACACAACAATAATTGAGATTACAAGAAAAAAATTAAATAACTGATTTTGGACAAAAAAGGTGAGGGCAAACACATTTGTCCAGTCCAAGAACCTATGGTATAAATGTATCTTTCGTGTTTATCAGTATGCAGAAAAATTAACACGGACTAAAAATTACCAGTCCTTTTGTTTTTTTTTTATTATTATTACTGTATAGTTTACTTACATCGTCTCCTGGTATTCAGATTCTATTTAAAGCAAACGGTCACATTCAAATTACGACGCAGTCATATCCTCGTCATTTGGTTTCTGGTGAATG